AGCTTCCCAAGTCGCCTTTGTATCCTCACTCGCCTCCATCCGCATCGATCCTTCAAACAAACATCATCAACACATCCACCACGAGATCAACGGCGGCCCACCTAAAATTCCCACTTGGGGCTAGAACCAGTTCGACTCCGCTCATTACCAACCAACTCAGGGCTAGACTGAACTGTTGCCTTCTGAACCTCTCTTCTCTTTGAAGGCTTTGGTAAGATACTCTGTCAATAGAGATCTAGCGGCCGAGCTTTCTCCAAGTCGGTGGCGGACAACAAGAAACCATATTGACTGAGACCTTGTCTACAGCTTAGGCTCTTTTACTTCGAGTTCAACAAAACCCCCTGTGACAACGTGGATATTGACTGGCTGGGCCACCGGCTTCACTCAAGCCTTGAGACAATTGTGCAACCATCAACCACTTGGGTGCCAATTTAGCAACGAAGATCACAACTTCAGCGAAAACGCCATATCAAAACCGCCTCCGTATCCGCTGCACAGCAAACACAGTATCAGTTCGAATCTCCACACAATCTCGCCAACAGTCTCCGACTTGTCTCTCAATCCCACAAAGCCAACTTGGCTGACTGAAAGCTCCCTCTGGCGAACGCTGCTTTCCGAGACAATTGCCTGATATTCCCTTTCCCAGCAACAAGTCTCAACATTCTGAAACGGGTTTGAAAACGCACACCCGAGATCTCTGTCCAGTTAAACCACTCTCGGCTCCATTGACTTCAAAGGAAGTTCGGATACGAGATACCAAGTCAGCTCAGGACAGGCGCAGTAAAAACAGGCGCAATCCGTGTTTCGGCATCACCAAACGTGAAAAACCAGCAAACCACAAACAAGATGTGTACTTACTTCTATCTCCATCACCACCACATGCCACCCTGCACCCGCAACATCGACATGGTGGTACACTACAGCTTCTGCCCCAACTCCACCATCGACAGTGCAGGTGCTCAGCAGCCGTGCGACAGCCCGCATTTTGACAACACCCAGAGCGTCGACTACAACGATCCCTGCGCCTCCGGTGGATGTCTCGTTTCGGCCGACTGCACCTCGGGCGGCTGCCGTCTCGAGCAACTCAACGGCCGTTGGGTATGCTGCCAGTGCAACGGCCGCGGCAATGAGTATCGCTGGTGTCGCCACCGCATGCGCAGCAGCCCAGATACCTTTTGCTACCACGTTTGCTGTAGTGGGTGCAAGGCCGATAACAAGTCATCATCGTCGTCGAGTTCCAGCTCCAAACGCAAGGGTGCCAAGTAGGTCGGTGATAAAACTGAAGGACAGGGGCAAATTAGAACGTTGTCATGACGATATGAAAAGATGAAAAGATTTGGGTAGCCGAAGGATTTTGGAAGACTGGAAGGAGAGCAGAGGGGAAGCTCAGGTCAACCTTCACAACTCCGGATGAACCTCTGCGATAAACCCAAAGAGACCTCACCCGGCCCGACTTGACGGTGTCACCGCCGACACCTGTTTCTTCTTTCCGTCCCCTACCCGTTCTTGTTTCTGAAGACCGCTTGGGAGCGACAAATGGCGGCCGATGGAAATGTTGGGGCACGCGTGACGCGTGGAGGGCCCCGAACGAGGGGCCAATGTGAATGACCGATCATGAGATTTGGGCGCTAGGTTTTGACATGATTATTTTTCTTTTCTCTTGATGGATCTCGTATGAGCTGGCCGGCCAGTGTGGACTAACGGCAACTTGGCATCTGTAACCATCTCGGTGTTGTCGCGTGTTGATAGGCGAAGGTGCCCTAAACCCACCCACCCTTGAGACTTCAACCGGCCAGTGCTGTAGGGAACTTCTCAACACCCCTTCGGCAAGATTTGTGTATCTTTATCTTTCTTCGTGTAACAATAGCGGGCCGGATTTCCCCTTGAGGAAGGCCCAAGTTAGTGACTGCGATCAAGCGATGAGGCTTTTGGTGTTTCACAGATCCTGCTGGTATTCTCGCTCGCGTTGGTTGCCCGAACCGACAGGTGAAGCTGCTTGATTCGATGGAGAAGAGATAGATTGAAACCAGGAAAATTGCTTGGTCAGATCTGTTGACCCAACTGGTCAGTTCAATCCTCTAGTTCCATGCGGTATCCAAACGAGCTTCCGGTTTCTGCAGCCATGCTGCTGGCATCGAGGGTGGGTGGCCCGTTTGGAAGGCCACCCCCACCCTAATGACCACAGGTATTGACATCTTGCTTAAATATTGAATGATAATAGTGACTGATTAGTATGCCAAAAGGGCCGGCCGTCCTGGGTGACTTCTTTGCCATGGAGTCCTACACCCGGTCCAGAGGCATCAACACAACGCATAGACAAACGGGAGGCTACCAGAGAAGTCGTTCGGAATGAAAACCAGATTCAGTAACTTTGGAAGAAACGATACAATGACTAGTTTCGTTTCGAAGAACGCTATAAAGAAGATGGAGAGCGTCCACCGCTTGGTGGTTGAAATAACGAGGAGTATGGCGTGAGCGTCCTCTGATAAGCAAGCAGCAGCCCTGGTAAGAGAAGTTGACACCCCTGAAGCACTCTTTCGGTGCCTGGGATGCATTCTGTGGCCTCGAATATGGCACTAACGATCCAGGTCTCAAGCCGAATTCAAAAAGGAGCGATCCACAAGCCCCCTCCCCTCCCCAGCAGACACGACTCCAGACTCGACGACGTAGGGATCCGCGGCTGCGAAATGTGTCATCAGGTAGCCTATGCCTTGCCGTGTGAGCACGTCAAGACGCAGATAGTCTACTGTGCCAATGCAATCCTCGAAAATAGTGCCGATGAGGGTGAAGTCCAGGGCAGCTCTGCGGCCCGATCTTCCTCGTCATCCGCAAAGCCGAAACACAAGACAAAGCCAGTTTCTGAGCCCTCGAGGTCCGATAGGAAGAACCAAGGCTCGGGGTCGCCGAAAGCCATGTCGTACAAGCAACCCTGCGCCAACTTGACAATCCAGTCCTTGCCATACCCGATGCCGCCGTCTTTCGCAGAAAACCCCGACTTCTTCACGTCATCCCTGCCATCCCCCAACTGCCCACTGTCTGATTGCCCATTCGGAATGAAAGGTCGGTGTTGGACCTGTTGTTGGTGCGGGAAAGGCGAGAATAGAACTGGACGTTGTGGGTGCGTGATGCTTGTCGAGGGGAATATGTTGCGATGTGAACACTTGTGTTGTAACGAGTGTGAACCGACTAGCATAAGAGACAGTGTGTAGGACTGAGCAGGGAATCTGCATCAGGAAACCGGCGAGGCTTTCCTCATGTCTATGGATTCGTTGGATCGGGATAAAATGGTACGATGTGTGCATGGTAACGACAGCAGATTCCCTCCTTGCTTCCCAGCCGGCTTCTCATGAAATAGCAGGTGACCCATGTCTCTCGCGTCATGTATTCCAGTTCAGCCCGTTTTTTCCGAGGAGACGGGTATCGAGAGGGCGTCTTCCGACCTGGCCAGGGAAGGGTCTAGGGGATATTTGAAACAAACCCAACTGTTTGTAACGTTGCTTTCCTGCCAGATCCTTTCAGCCGTTGAAAAGCCTATGTGTTGAACATGTCAACGACTCAACCTTGACTTGACGCAATCGTGGTTCAAGCGTGACAGACATCCGGATTCCGATCGAACACCTTGCAGCTGATGGCTTCGTGAAAACTTGCAACCGGAAGATATTGCCCTCTCTGGCACAGATCAGATCAACGTGGCGCGCGGCCTCGGATCAGGCATGATGCACATGGACGATAGTCTCGTCTCATCACTTGCCCGCCATAAGCACTTCTCGAAGATCTAGGGACTTTGGTAAGCGTCTACGCTGCATGCGCGGAATCATGAAATCTCTCCGCTGCAAGACATGGCTGGTTGGGAGATGCCTCCCACGACGCTTCCCACCCACAATGTAACTGTGATGACGCTGCAGATAATGCCAGGCTGCCAATGACACAATCTAACAGGCTGACCGATGAGTTAAATTTCGATAAAGATCGGAAACAGGACGTGTGATGTTCACGCCTAGCTGCAACCATGCGCTATGCGTGTAATGTGCAGCTTGCACTATCCAGGGCATCCAGAAATTGGCCGGGGGGGGAGGGCAGTAACAGGCAGAGTGTGATCGATAACCCAGCTGGACCCCTATGAATTCTCGATGACCAAGGTTGTGCGAAAAATGAAGAACTGCGTTGAAATCTCGAAGAGATCGAACCTTTGACCCCATATTCGGAATGCAATGGCAAAGTGCCTGGCAACGTACAATCGATTACCGGGAGCCTGGTCGTTGGGTCAGATCGGGCAGCCGGGGGCAGGGGTTTCAGCAAACACTGTGCAACGGTAGACGTTGGTTGTTGTTCTGATTGGTTGGTAGCCCTGTACGAAGAAAGCAAGGCGAAGCGCCGCAACCTCACATCTCCGAAGACAGGCCCGAGACGAAATAGAACGCTACAGGCTGGACAGATCACGGATGATTGTCAGGCTCCCTGTGGGTGAATTCGTATCGGGAATGGGAGTTCTGAAGGTAATTCGAGGAGACAGCTGGCCACCACACAGTCTTCTTTTCTTTTTTCCAGAACAAGGAGGGTGTCATGCTCACGATCGCGACACCCTCATGAGGCGTCAGGACTTTCAAAGCCAGATCGTGGTGGCGGTCTCGCAGTGCAGAATCATTTGTATGACTGGAAGTCACAAGGAAGGCGGCCAATAGATGGGCCTTGTCGAGTATCCTGAAGAACTAAACAGTTTCGAGATGGTGTCCATGACAATCTGGGGGGTGCCGAAGGTCTTCGGGAAAGGGAAAGGTATAAGATGACGGATACCGACATCTCTTCCTCATGAGTGTAGGCGTACACAAACCGAGATTTGTATCCTGAGTGACCACCTGTCAGCCTAGACACAACATCTCGTGGGCACGGGACAGAGCGGCTCAGTCGAAGACACACCTTTCACACTCAACTCCCTCTCAAGCCCTCTCTTGATTTGGAATCTCAAAGCACCTCTCGTGCTCCCACGCCCAATATCCACCATGTGCCACGGACATCCGCATATCCACGGCTGTGGCCACCAATCCATGACTTGGCATTACTGCCCGTCAGCCCTGATCGACCTTGAGACGGGGTACGAGACAGCGTGCTCCAATGTCACCTTTGCTGCTCCCCAGCCATCCAATGCCGCCTGTGTGCTGATCAATTGCGATTACCGCAGTGGGGGCACAGGGTGGACGTGCTGCAACTGCGGAGGGCGTAACACGAGCGGGTGGTGCAAGAACATGTCGCCCAATCCCAAATGGGAGAAGAACACGATCACCAACGAATGGGAATGGATCGAGACCTGTGACCACGGGTGTTGTCGGAATTGTGCCAAAGACTGTACGTCCTGACCCCCTCCTGATAACCCCCCCGGATTCCACTGTTCCATGGCCAAGCCCCAGGTGTGGTTCCTGACACGCACCCAGCCTCGAGCAACTACGGCGAGCCCAGCCGCAAAGACGGGAAGAGAAGTAAAGATTCTCGAAAACACCGCCACCGAACACAAGGAGAAGCCGGGTCTTCTTCGGCAGCTGATCCCATGGCCTCGTACAACATCACGCTGGACTACAGCAGCAAAGAGTCGAGGGGATTGTCCCGGAAAGAGGGAAAGTCGTCCTCGGGGCACAAGAAGAAATAGGCGAAGATCCATGGCGAAAAGCGGAAGGCAAAAGGCGAAAGGCGAGTGTTGAATTCCTGTACCATGTGTTTATAAGAACATGTATATTTGTACCATAGCAACTTGGGCTCCCAACGGGCCCAAGCACGGCGGTGTTTTTTAGAGCATTTTCATGGCACATAGCTAGGCATGGGAAACAGGATAGGGACAGGAAGCAGAAAAAGATCAAGGGCTTACATGATGGAGCATGGAGTTTGGCGGTGACCTGCACAGAAACGAGGCGGGATTAGTGTGTTCGTTCTTGGCTTGCTGTTTTGGAGTTTTGAATTAATCGGGGGCCGGTTCCTTTGTGCGTTGGGGCGGCCGGCAAAGCCTGACGGAGGTCGAATCATCGATAAAAGGCTGAGGTGGAGATATAATGAACGAAGAGATGACTTGATTCTTGGTGACTCATGTGTTTGTTCCAATGGCTCGTGATTACTGTTGGTGACTCTGAAAACAGTTGGCTGGCTCATGCCAGTAAAAGATGGCCGGTCAGGTGTAGGTAAGATTTGAAGAAGGAGCGGTCTGCCATCTGTTGATATATGGGCAGGAGCGAGTGGTGGGTAATAAAAGACCGAGGGAAGGACCTCTGGAGGGTCTGGGTCCCGTCTGGATGAGCTTAGGTGGGCGGGCAGCTGAGAAGGCATTCCAAGATGGGTGGTATATAATGCGTACTATACAGCCGACGGTTTTCGGCATGTTGTGCTTCGTGTGCAACTGGAAATAGAACGGTGAACACCCACAATCTAGCTACCAAGATCGAACCAACCCTGTCTCGGGTCAGGCATCCCTGCATGGGCATGGGGCGACTTGTGGCACATTGCTCTGAGGTTGTGAATCGACGTCGCCGAAGAGATCGGTGTTGAGTACCGTCATTTCACTGTGATGCCATGGGAAATAAGCCGACTTTATGGACGAGCTTGTGGCGGGTGTGGTTAACGACTGGCCACGGAAGGGTCTAGATTTGCTCGGCCAGCTGCATACCTACCTGAGCCAACCAGCTTTAACGGGATTGGGTCCGATGTTCATGATAGGGAATGAAGCTGTCTCAAAACATGGCGCCACCGACAACATCGTATGTCTACATTTTTGATCAGATCGCAACCTAGCAGTGATGAGAGCTGGGCATTCAGATCAGGACCGTCAGGTGCCCTAGGCAAGCTCACTTTGTTCCAAGACACCTACCTGCCCGTCACCTATCACATCTTGATCTGTACCTATCTGTACAACCGGAACCATTCCGTTACACCACATTGCCGTCGGTGATTGAAGAAGATTCTTTGCATTTGCTTTGTTCGACTGCGTCAGGTCCATGGAACCGATGTTGAGTATGGCTGGCGGAGGTGGTCATGTGACGAACCATGTCCTTTCTGTATTGTCTGCATATATCTACTCCTTATAACACCAGTGTCGGGTGCCATAGTATAGCAGCCTAATGTCTCTCGTCAGTACCATCAGTCTCGATGTGGTGTGCTTGTCTTGGGACATGTGGAACAGGGTGACATGACAGACACCTAGTGACTGAGCTGCCTTGTCCTCCCTCTTGTGCCATGGAAAAGTGATGGCTAGTTTTGACCCCTGGTGAGCTATTTTGTGGTGTGAGGTTGCCGTCGGTCTCGGCGGAAGGTTGACTCTTTGTCTGTGTGACGGCGTACCAACGGGTAGCACCCAATGCCACGTGCCAACCATCGGTTGATTGCAGCCGATGACGGCAAGGCAATCGGAGAGCCGTTATCTCTCTGCCCTTTGTTCGGACGCGGACGCATGCGATTCAAACTGTCAGATTGGCATCTGGTGCTTTGACCCGAGCCCAACGACGGTTGTGTAAACCATGGTGCCACGCGGCGAAAGCCGCCAGGTCCTTCGGAGCAACTTGTCTGATATTAAAACGTCCGGCACTGGCCCCGTGTGGAGTCTTGACCCTGAGCAATACCTACTTACTGTGTACCACCATAAGGTATTGTGCAGTGCACTGTTGCGGCACAATTGCAGGCCTGTACAGATGATACGGAGTATTTAAATATCAGGTTTATATCGATACTGATATCTTGGACCTATTCGTACCATTGAGCAATTGTTTGGTCAAGCTGAGTACGGACTTGTGGGGACGGGCATTTGTGATTGGTGTCGCATGGGTGCCCCATCACCCAAAAGGCCTGGACCTCTGCTCTGAACAGAGGCGCTGATCATGCTTTGCACGTGTGGTGTCTTTGACGGCAGCCAGAACGGGCCACCTGGACCCGACAGGCAGGTTCCTTTGTCCGTTCTTCACCGTCTTGATCATCTCAAAGAGCTTCAGCACGTGGTTCTGAGGATGCCGTGGTTGAGATGATTCTTTCATGGCATGGGAAGAAGGAGTGGGTGGAAGTGAGGATCGGCCCCTGGCCCACAGCCCACCCCGACAAGGCAAGGGTGATGGTTGGAGGGCGCGGAGCGAAGCTGCAAGTGCGCGGGCCACCCACCTACGAGCCACATGGTTACCCGGCACTGTAGAAGTTCAGAGGTGCCTCCCGTTTCACCATTTCCTTCAAGTTCCCCTTTCCTGATTCTCTGCCCGGCCTGGCCCGTTTCTGCTTTTAGTGCCTCTCTGTCTCTGCCTCACTTAACCAAACCACTTTCCACCTCCATCATCCCAAGTGACAAAACCACCAACCAAACACCAGACTTTGCACCATCGACTCCCTCCACGTCCTTAGTGCCCGCCTTGGTCACTGTTGCAACACGCCGCCACTGAAATACCGATCGGCATTTCCCACCACCGCTCTTTGTCCTTTTTCGTCTTTGTCGGCGTTTCACCTTGCGACAAGGGCTCCAGCAAAAAAACAATTGCCCCGGGGTTCTATTTTCGCCTTATCGCCAGCATGTCCCTCGACTCGGCCAGTCGTCCCATCATGGCTCCATCGGTACGTCTGTAAACCTGTTTATGCCCGTCGGTCCGTTGACGTTGCATCCTCATCGCCTTCTCTCCCAAACCTTCCCGCAATTCACTAACACTATTCTTTCCCCCCTTATTACAGGAGAAGCGCTACAGCACCTACAGCATGACACCCTCCGACGCCCCCACCACCCTCAGCACCGACAGCATGACTGCCGAGATCAGGCCCATCGTCGACGGCCTTGAGCGCCTCAAGAACCCTCGCCTCGCCGACCAGCGCGTGTACCTCAATGAAGAAAAGACTACCAACCTCCAGAAGCTTGCCCTGAGCGCCAAGCTCGAGCGCGCGCTTGACCGGAGGATGAGCAGCCAAGATGCCGTCATGCGGCCGCGGAAACCATCAGTTGTCGTCACCGAGAAGGAGAAGGCTTGAATGAAGACATGCGCGACGACGACAGTCATTTGTTGAGATGGAGAATGGGAAGAAGGCCAAGACGATGGAGGCACGCATCAGCGGGTGCGATGTGGAGCAGCTATTGCAATGCCCGGTCCACGCCGTGTTTCCTCGCCAAATTCGATGCAGGAACCGCCTCGAAAACTACACCATCCTGGCAGTAGTCGAGCCATCAACTGGAGTCAACATCAGAAGAGAGGAGCAGTCATTTCATCATCAGCGCGCGTTCGGGGGCCAGCTTGGGAAACTTTTCATTGTTAATTTATTTTCGTTCGTGTTTTCAGTTTTGCGGCATTGGCATTGTCGATGTACTGTCAGGAAAGGGGTGCTGCTTCAGGATCGATGGGATGGTATGGGCAGCAATAGATATTGAGACGAGACGGGAGGTGATGTGGAATCTTGAAGGATTGTTGCAGGATTGTGGGCGTGGTATCATACTAGCCGTTCATCGGCTTTTGTCTGGGAAAGTGAGAGGTTATATCAGTGGGAAATGGACCAGGACTTATCGGCGGGCGTAATTGCAAATCCTCACAATTATATATCTCTTGTCAAAAAAAAAGAAAAGAAAAGCGATGCCTGGTATTATGTCCGTCTCATTCACTGCGCTCTCTGCTTGCCCTGAGTTCTTGTCGCCTGAACGCCTTGGTGAACTCCCGTGAAACGATGTAACGACAGCCAAGAAAATAAAACAGACCGACAGCCAGCACCACTATGCTGCTGTCTCTATCGCATCCCAGATAAGCTTCCAATGCCCTATCCTCTTGCCATGGCATCACCAATTCCCTCATACCACTTCTCCCGTCAAACCCTCTAGTTCCCCTCCTTCGCAATCCTCCCCTCAATCTCCTTCAACAACTCAGCCAACTCCTTCTCCTCCCCCTCAAACTCCAACGCCTTGGCTACCGCCCCCCTGGCCTCTTGCAACCTCCCCATTTCAAGCAGGCACTTCCCCCTCCTAAACCAAGCCTTCGCATTACCCTGGCTCTTGGCAGCCACGCTCGCCTCTGCATCCACCGCCGCCTCTGGCCAGTTCCCCAGTTGCATATGCGCCTGCGCCCTGTTGCTATACAGCGCGTGGACCTCCTCCCGCACCAGCTGCGACGGCTCCCACGGGGCCCGTGTAAGCGCCATTTGGAGACCGAGGGTGTAGAACTTGATTGCTTCGGCGTGGCGCCCCTTGCGGTATTCGTTGTTGCCCGACTCGCGAAGCTTGGAGACGTTGGCTGAGCGCTTTGGGTTGACGGGCATGGGGGGAGGGGGGACGATGTGGGGGGGCTCGATTTGGGTGAGGATGGTTCTGTGGAGATTGTTGAGGGCGGCGAGCTCGGCCTCAAGGGCTCGCGAGGAGGGGCCGAGGGAGGAGATGGATTTGGATTTGGGGTCGATGGTTAGGGGGAGGAGGTGGAAATGGTCTTGGTCAGACATTTTGGCTGCTTTGGTGGGGTTTTTTTCGAGGTTTAGGAGAGTTATTAGCGGCAGTTTGTTTAACGATGACGAGGATGGAGGTTTGGTGGGCAAGCAGAAGAGGAAAAAATAAGCTGCGAAAGTTGAGGTCGTGGTTCTAGTTGTGGGTTGAGGTGGTGGATTGGCTTGGACTGGTGAGAGCTGTCGAGAGGACACTTGTGCCAGTTGGGGTGACTTGGCCTTCAAAGTGAACCGTGGCGTTGGCAGGCGGCGCGTGGACGGACAGCTTTCCCCAGAAATTCCTTATCTCTTATCGGGGAGCCAACGTCGAATCCTGATTTACCTAGGGTAGTTGATAAGCCAAGTTAAGTTAAGCTGGCCCTCAGCTTGATTTGACTTGCCGCCTAGAGCTTAAATTTAATTTGAGATTATTACTAGCTTAATTTAGCTTATGAATATAAGCTTTCAGTTATATTATTAAATATTCAAGGATTATTAATGGATTTTGTTAGAATAGGTGTTTGTGACGAACCCCTGTACAGAACCTCTGAAAGGGATACTAGTTGAAGGTAACTTCTGACAATTGGTTCGGTGCAGCTAAACAGTGCACAACAAGATGTCTCGATGTAAACACAAGATGCCGTGAATACAACTGTGAATTGCATACTGCGGAACTGTCTATCTACACCAGCCAGTTCCTCCGTATATATAGACCTGTTTATCACTATTATCACCAGTGATAATGTCGATTATCACTCGTCGTTCACCGAAGGCTGGTGGTAATCGTGATTATCACCCTTGGCGCTAGTGATAATCTGACTTCCCCACTTTTCCGTTCCTAGTGGTTGGACGGGTCGCGCCCCGCGCTCCCCACTTATGTCAGGTCCGTGACAAATACCACTATAGTACTCCGTAGTGGAGTTCGCGCTTGACCTTTACCATATATTTCCTAGGGGCTTTACAGGACCTAGAAGTCGAAGATTTGGCTGCGTTTTGCAAAAAACGTGCTCACGCTTATACAAAACAGAGAGAAATCGGCCACCGGCCTACCGTAGGTGCGGGTAGCTGTGGGCCTACAGGGCCGCTATTTCCACAAGGCATTTATAGGGCCTTTAGTAGCCTAAATCCAGAATTTAGGCCATTTTAGGCCACCGTAGCGTCCGATGCAGGGCTTCGAAGTTGACTTTGTACTACGTGAATCTTTGAGGGTGGCGGGTAGGAATGTTGAGGCCGATCTTCGCCGTATCTACCAGTTCCTTCGGAACTAAACGCCTTGCAGTATTACAGCAGTAACCTACTGTAAAATAGGGCTTACAGGGCCCCGTTTTTAACATATACACTAGGCATAGCTTTTAAAATATAAATTAACACACATTAGGTAAAAGCTCTGGGTCTCCTCTTGCAGACCCAAAACCGGAGAACGTGTGACGAACCCCTGTACAGAACCTCTGAAAGGGATACTGGTTGAAGGTAACTTCTGACAATTGGTTCGGTGCAGCTAAACAGTGCACAACAAGATGTCTCAATGTAAACACTAGCTACCGTGAATACAAGCTTGAATTGTATACTGCGGAACTGTCTATCTACACCAGCCAGTTCCTCCGTATATATAGACCTTGGGGCCGTGAGGTGCTCGCCCTGCTATGGGCCCGATCACTCCTAGCACATTGCATCCTGCATTGTGCTCGTCGTGCTATACCTCTGATCACTCCTAGCACATTGCATCTGCATTGTGCTCGTCGTGCTATGCCTCTGATCATCCCTAGCATCTTGCATCCTGCAGACTGCTCGTGAGCCTTGGCGCCATAGCACTTTTGCCTAGCCCTGATCGGCTTGTTCCCTGACTTCCTGAATGATTGGCTAGGGGCGACCTGCGCCCCACATGTGGCGCGACGTGCCGTTGGGTTAACTGTGACAGAACGCCAAAACCCAAACATCATTTTGACCCTTTTGTTCTCCCCGCCCATGCCGTTGCATGGTTTTTGTCTCGCACGCAGATTCTCATCATGTCATGCCAACAATCAAAAACACAAATGTTACTCACTCCAAAGTCCTCCCAGATATTTCCCTCGGCCAGGCATAGCCAAATCAAATCACTCGTAAATCAGTAGTCATCCCTCTGTAAGAAACCCATTCGATATCATTGCTCGTTGCCCACACTCGGATTCACAGTCGAAAAGACAACGGGGGGCTTCCATGAGTTCGTCATGGACGGCTCTGAGACAAACATCAGAGATATCCAGTACAGTTCATGTTCCCAGCAGCCCTCTTGTGGCGTGCTCGGGATTGAAGTCGCTGGCAACTGTCAGTTGGCTGGCGTTGGTGTGTTTACCGGGCAAATGGGCTGACTTACTTTTGTCTTTGAGACAGTCGATCGTCCCCTTCAAAAATGCAAGCTGGCGAGTATCGAGATATTTGATGGCCGATTTTGAGACGCTCTCGGCATCCCACTCGAAATTCATCAGATCACAACGCTTGAAGTAGGTCCAGTACGCCAACATCACACCGGCACCATGCTGGACGTCTTCGACGAACGTTGTAAGCGGGTGGTCTCTTGGGCCGTAACGTGTCTCCTAGAGAAAAAGTCAGCAAGAAATGCGCGTTGAAGCAGAATAGCAAAGGTTAGGCTGTACCAGAGGCCGCCCTTTCGAGTTTTCCTTTGCATGACGGTACCGATCTTTGCAAATGCAGGCCACATTGTGGAGAAACAAGAACACAACCAGAAAGGCCGTAAACCATGCATCCTTCGAATCCTTCCAGAGTTCGGGACCCGAGCTGAGAATCTTTTCGAACATACTCAGAAATTGTGGCACCTGGCTCTTGAATACCGTGTGATACCGAATGCTGTCAAACTGTGCCACGATCATTCGGGGAATGTACCTCGTCTTCAGCTCCCTCGATTCCATCCCCAGTGACTCTTGACCGCAAATCCATGCCGAGCCGGTTTGGTGTCCTGGCCAACAGTCTGTTAGTGGTATTCATCAAATTGGCGCTGGAACATCATCAGGAATTACATACGAATCGCAAACCAAAGGCGAACAGCTTTTAGTAGAAACTCAGCCAGATCTACGCTTTTCTTGTCCCGATTTTCTTCTCGGTTTTGTTTGTGCCGCTGCAAGACAAGAGGTGGGTAATCAGCTTTCAGTCCAAATTCAAGTCAACTGAAACGTGGGGGTTCTCGTACCGATGACTGCCGAAGATGCTCCGCGATCATGGAATACATATCTTTGACGAGATCATCAGAGTCCTTGGCCGAATCTTCCAGTCCCTTGATAGCATTGGCCGCGATGTAGTGTTGAAAGGCTCGCCCGTGTTCCTTCACATTCACGAGACCGTACGCCGGAATTCTGATGCCATCCCTGCCAACAAAATTCCGGACGAGCTGATCACCCTCGACTGCCCTGAACGCCCGCACTTTAAGTGTCATTGGCGTTTCGCAGAGCCCTTGAGCCATTTCAATGACCTTGATGTGATTGTCTGCCCAATCGTTCGCCCTGATGTTGATCAACTGGGTATGATCAAATCGCTTCGTGTAGCCCAGCCCCCCATCTCGCTGCAACACCACCGAAGCCAGCTTGTAACGAAGACACGGGAGGTTATGGATAGTCTTTTTGGATTCCCTGCGCACCTTGAGACAGGTGACGCAAGGTGCCAAAGGGTCATTCGGGTTATCCACATTGGGAAGACACTAAACACACCAGAGATTAGATTGTCATGCTGTTGTTCGTCATTGCATTTTGTTTACTTACCCTCACTCTCTGGTTATGACATCGTATGCAGGCCCGCATGGTCCTGGTATCGGAGGTCTGTTTCCTCAAATTCTCTCTCTGCCGTTTCCGTCGCTGTTCTTCCGGTTCTTCCAGTTCGGGTTCTTCTTTGATCGCCAGCCCTTGATTGACAGCGGCCGCTGCGCCTTGCTGAGTGACGTCCAACATCAGTGCTTGCTCCACGGCGACCCAGCCGCCAACAAGAGCCGTTTCCATAGGTACAATGATCTGTTCATCAACATCCTGCACCTCTGATTTCTGAAGCTCATCCCAGGTGTGGCCATTTCCCTCTTTTGTGACATGCACATATGCACTGCAAATCGATGAGGCTTCGGTGTCTAGCAAGTTGCCAGGGCTAGCTCTCAAGGAACCACTGTCGACCCTCGGAAGACAATATGGAAAACGATGCTCTTGGGTGATATCGACACTGCTACCAAATACCCCATCAGGATATGCTGCCTGGGCGTGAAATTGCGATAAGTACGCATGTTGCCCCTGGGCATTTGTTGGGTCCCTCGAGGTCGAATGGGCCCCATTTAGGGAAGGCGGCGGCAGGCTATGCGTGGGTGTAGAGCCGGACTGAAAGGTGCGATGGAAGGCCTCCGGGAAACAATCTTCCTTCTGCGGTAGTGGCAATGCGACACTTTCCCAGCAATAGCGAGACTGACCAAGCCCGCCATTACCGGTATCGACTGGCGGCTGATGTAGCGGCTGAGGTGCTGGGCGGCCAGGCCGCGATTCCCAATCTTCGGTTGGATTCACGTATTGCGTAGAAGAAACAGGCTGGGTGGTGGCAAGTCCCATGGGCAGCTCTAAAGGAACCTCACCGACGTATGGGGGGACATCTCCGTCACCCATTGTGGAATTGTCCACTATCAGACTAAAGAAGGCTCCGTGTTGGTCTATGGAACACGTCAATCATCACTGTCCAACCGGACCTTGGATTGCAACGCCATCTCGTTCGTACCTTGCTTGTAGTCGTACGGAGACCATGTAGGAACTGCTGCGCCGTCCAACCAGTTCCCATACCCATGCAGGTTTGGGGCAAACGTGGGGTGGTGGTACAGGGAGCCACCATAGAGATCACTATCTTGTGACGGGATCAGGCTGAATGGATTGACCGGTAAAGTCGGTGTGATCTCGTCAAGTATGGCACCTAGCTGACGGCGTTTCTTTGGCTGGCGGGTATCTGCATCTATCGGACTGCGGCAGCGCGGCGGCTTCGACAACCCACCCTAAGGTTCAGTAAGCATCCAGAACTATTCTCGACAAGTTGCAAGTAGGACGGCACAGAAAGATCAAGAATAAAGTGAAAGGAAAAGGGAGTATTTACGGTCGGACGCAAAAGTGGACTCTCCATCCTGCTCCCCTCACCTACGTGCCCTCGCTCGCTGTTTTTTGCTTCCCCAGTTTGATTCGGGATACAAAGAACGGTTCTATCAGAATATTGGTTCGCCAAGTCAACCTGATCTCACACAATGGCCCAGGAAAGATCAGGAGCAAGATCTTGCCAAGGCTATGGGTGCCGTGGTCCGGAGCCTTTGATCCCAGAATTTGCTGCCACCACGAGAAGCCGGTTGCAAATGTGGTGTCAGACAGATCGGGCAACACGGGCAACAGTCTAGTAGACGCAAGAACAACCAACTGAGACCGGGCCGGATGGTGGAGGGACTGCGCTCGGAAAGGATTGGTCGGCACGAGAAATGCCACTGCAAGCGAGACCGGCGAGATGTCAAGAGGGCGAGACTTGGCCGGATTCAATTCGAACGCTGTGCAACACCGGCCCGCTTTCACAACCTGTTAAGCAAGACAGCAGCACAAGCCTGGCTTCTCGTCGAGTGCAACAAAACCCCTGGATGGGTTGCAGATGCGCCGTCAGCATGCATCCACACCCGTGGGAACTTTGAACTCGAAGACTGCGGCTGGTGGGTTGGCGGACTGCCTGGTGAGGGGGTGCCCAAAGGGTCGTGTCGTGAGACGCAAAATCGCACCAAGGAAATACCGACTTTCACCAGAATTCTGGTGTGACCTGCCCCGTGTCTAACCCAGTTGGTCAAACAGGACTGGGTTACGTGCTGTCCGCGGGGAGGGGAGGGGGGGCGAGACAGGGTACGACGATGTCGAGAGGTGGGATATCCTTGTGTTTCGAAACACCAAGTGGAGGCCGGGGAGAAAAGACCCTGGGGTGACAGTCCCCTGCGAGGCAGGTGCTGTGCTCCAGACCACAAAAGTGTGATGATACCTTAGACCGTCCTGCGAACAGGAAAGGCTCAGAGATGGAGATGAAGGCTTTGGGGCAATCTTGGATGAAACGGGGGAAAATGGCGAACAGGTGATAGTGATGAGGGCAGAGGGAAGAGGTGTTGCGGTCACGATCCACGGCCCAAAATCGATGTCGTCTCCCACCTCTGTCCAATCATCGGCAGTGAGATGTCTTGCAGCAGCCAACAGCTCGCCTACTGTGGAAAAGAGGGGTTAGCAAGTCTTGAGACAGAGAATTCCAGGCCTGGGCTCCCACGGCTCCTCCTCTTGTTGAGAGAGGCCACAGCAGCAACGACAGGGGGGTCTCCATTGGGAACACAGTGCATGTATCATGCAGGCAGCCATTGACAGGCCAGCCACATCTTGGTTTTGTTGCACTGGACTGGATGCAGTTGGAGATTTTCTCCCATCATCATCACCCATCACTCCTTGGCTCCTCCCTTTTCTCCCCACAATCTACGCCTTTGTTCGAATCGAGTCGCTCGTCCCGTCCCAGCGATACGGAAAATGGGATGTATCTCGCAGCAGCATCTGCGATCCCGCTCATTCTCCCAGAAACCCAGTACCGACCTCCGCTTCGTGTGACGTGAACTCTGCCGATGAAGCAAGGGAGAAACAGTCGCGTTCTCATTGGTGCGTCATAAATCACATTTCTGGCCACAGTGGTCAGCCAATCAACTTTTCTCGATCATTTCACACTCAGACCTGATCATCGTCACTTGCTCATCAAGAGCCTCATATTGACGGGTGCTACAGAAAACCCTTTCTATGAATCCCTGAGTCCCGTTTCCGGAATACTACCAAACGCTCGGACACGACTATGACAGCGGAACCATCCCGGGGCCCGGACGGTCCGTTCCTAGCCTGTTGTACTTTAGTCGAGAAATGTTTCCATCTATCACTAGTGAACTTGGTTTAGTCTGCTCTATCCGCCCGGAAATTGGAGGGGACCCCCCAATCTCGTCTAATTGGGCCGCCAGGTTCTTCTCTCCCGTGAGCGGGCCTAAGCTCCCCTGCGTACGCCCTATGAGACTCCAAACAGAATTTGTCGACAGATGTATGTGTCCCCAGGCCTTCGATGCCTTTTCCTTGAGGATGGGAGGTTAACGCCCGATGAGCGATATAATGCTAATGCTGCTAACATAATGACTTGATCCGAGGACAGCACGGCCTTGATGAGTATCATACAACATGGACAATTCCGGGTAGGCGGCTCTTTACCGTACGACCAACCTCACCAGGACCCCTTTTGCTTTCGTTCTATATCTCCGAACCGGTTTGCAGTTTTGTCCTTGGCGGAGCCCAAGTACATGCCACCTTTTAGGAAAATACCGCGCTTCTGGCGGGCCTATGTCTTCCCTTGAACGCCCTCCATGGTTGGCCATGATAGGCATTGGACATGACGAGCTGATCATGCTGATGCAAGGTCCGACAGCTCAACAGCACACACAACTTCGGCACACCACTCAACATCGCTGCCGCCAACCTGCCTGAGCGAAACACCTGTCCAATCGTCCCCCACTACCGACCCCATGAGCCGTTGTCCGAATATGGGCTGGATGTGGGTGACCAGCCCATGTCGTGGAAGAGCGATCGTCCACCCGGCGAGGTTGGGCTCGACTAGGTATAATAATGGCTCCTCTCCGTCCTCGGTGGAACCCAATGTCAGCCCTGGGCTTAGAACAGATTTATTCTCTCTCACTCTACTGGAAAAGCCAGGAATACAGCACATATTCTCTCAAACTACCAATGGATCAAGTTAGCAGCTTGTTTGGGCAATCTCGTGCAGGCCTGGGATGGTTGGAGCACCACGCCATGGCTTGGGTGCCTGAAGCCATTTCCTCGGACAGTTATGTTGTTGACCTTGGTCCTCGGGGTGTTCAAGAGGTGCAAGAGGGACTGCAAAGGTTCAAAGGTCAGTGATGTGCCCCCGTTCTGTGTTGGGTGATGCTTTCATTTGCTGACGAATAAGCAGAGCTTGAGCTTGATGGTCACGAAGTCAGTCGTCATAATTTCCACCTTCCAACCCTCGAGGCGCAACTGGAGCAAGCCTGCCACGAGGTTCATCGAGGCCGCGGATTTGTCATCCTCAGGGGCCTCGATCCCCAACAGTATTCAGTCGAGGACAACCTGATGATCTACCTCGGGATTGCTGCGTATATTGGGGATCAGAGAGGGTTTCAGGACAAGAAGGGGAACATGTTGAGTATGTTTTGGAATCAAAACAATGTGATGAACTGAACTGATACCTGCCTCGCCCACATAGCCCACATCACAGCCTCCAAAGACTGGAAGACACCCCCTGAGCTCCGTCATGGTATTCATACCACCAAAGGCCTAAGTTGGCACTGTGATATCGGAGTCGACATCCTCGCGCTTCACGTCCGCTCCCTCGCCGAGCATGGTGGGGACACATTTATAGCTTCATCGCTCACAATTGTAAAGGAGCTTGAGGCGCTATACCCACACGTCATCCAAGCCCTTCAAGAAGCTGCGTGGCCAATCCAAATGTCGGTTGGCACAATTTTGTCACATTTCACATGCGCACTGAGCCATCGCTAATTATATTTCCCGCTTATTAGCTCAGGCAATCCGATCCCCCGCTACATTCTGGCGCCACTCCTGCACATGGACCCTGAGAACAACCACATCATTCTGAGCGTTGACCCTGGGAGACTTGGTGTGCACCCATCTACGACAAGAACCGATGGCACTTCGCCAATTCCGCCCCTCACACCAACTCAGCTCGAGACCCTCCGCATCCTCAACCAAGTCGCCTCAAAGTATCGTCTTCGCCTAGACACAAAGGCTGGCGACATCGTCTTGCTCAACAACTTTGCCCATTTGCATGCTCGCGATGCCTACAGCGATCCCGGACAAGGCCAAGGACGACATCTGGTCAGATTGTACCTGCGTAATACAGCACTGGCGCACCCCGTTCCAGAGTCTATGCGTGTCCCCTGGGAGGCAGCATTTGGGCCCAGGAATGGGGAGGGCCGATATCCTGTTGCTCCAGCTTTAGAATACAAAGCACCTCGATACACGGCTGGTTCTGCTGCTTTTCCCCTGGACGACAACGATGATGTCAACGGAGACGGCACCGCATGATTCCTTCGTTGCCAGGACGCTCACTGCCACAATCTCCCTTTGCCAGCCTCAAGTTGGCTTTGATTTTGAGCAACTTCGAAGTTGAGCTGCTGCCAGCAACACTCTCGCAACCTTATCTTCAATCTAACCCGGACTATCTGCGTTGGCCTCTGGTTGTTTCACAAGCCAACGCCTTTGCACCCATTTTAGTGCAGGCCTATCATTATGTGGAATTTTTTTGGGTAGTGGTGGCCAGAAACTTTGTCTCAGAATGTGGGTATCTATGGAGGACAACGCAGTGGCCAAATATATGAGGTTACAATGAGCCAAAAGTCTAGCCTGATGGCGATTGCTAGTTTCATGAGCCTTAGGATGTCTCGTCGAGTACTTTTCGAATTAAAAATGGTCCCCTGTTCATCGCAGCTTTCCGTAATGTCTCGGCCATCACAGGCAGTCAAACATCCGTCATCAGGTAGGGATGCGAGCATGCCAACTGCATGCAAGCATAGCCTGATCACATCCACACAAAAGTTCAGAATCCGGAGGGGAAACGCCTCCTGTCAGAACGGGCCGAAGTCTCGGAAAGCAGCTGGTCAATTGTATGTGTCCAAGACATGGATGGGTACAAGACACCCCACGCTTCAGTGTCCGTAGCCCCTATTACTGGGTGATTGACACGATGGTGGATACTGTGATTGGGGAGCCGAACACGGGCAGGTACCAAAAGAGTCACCATAATCTGCAAGCACGGCGGCTGTCAACCATGAAATTCCGCCATAAAATGTAACAGTGGATGTCTTAACTGAAGACCTGGTGTCCACGAAGAGGTGGGTACCCTAGTACCAGGGCAAAGTGACAGACCAAGCATCTCGGACATGGCTCCGCTGACAACAGCATCACATTAGGCTCGAGCTTCTTCTTTCAGATATACTTGCATCAATGCGGGGGCCTCCATCCAGGTTAGGCAGATGGAACTGATGTCAGAACTTTGGGGCAGGAGGGCAGCCGCCCTCTTTCGCGAGTCTGGCAGCACTCACCCATCTTGACTTTGCTACTGATCACCCCCGGCCCATTTTCGGCCTGATTGGCATGACCATACAACTAGAGAATGTGTCGGAGGCTGTTTCAATACCTCGATGGTCGGTTTACCGAGCATACCAATGGTATGCCTCATCACAATCTCCTACGGGTGGTACCGGTTTATTTTTCATTGCCTCTCCCTTGATCATCTGTCGAATGCTGCCGCAGTCAGTTATCAGGAGAAACAGCATTTGTAACTCCTCTTGCCACGGGTCGTAGACCAGAATCAATCGACTGCTTCGGGTAGAAGGTATTCTGCCGCATATATCCGGGCATCACACCATGCTTCGACCATATCGAGTAGTGAACACTTCGACAGGCGCCCACGGGCTGATCTCCCAACCGGCGTCCTCTCAGCTAAGCAACAGTTCCGCGAACAATCGCTCACTGGATGTCACGAATATCGAACTAGTATCACTTAGTACCCGAACCATTGAAGACATTAGACCTGGAGAAGAGTGTGTATACGACTGTGTTGTCCGAGTCCGATTCGGTGCCGAGGTCCGTGGACACGTATCTGTTCAGCTCATCGCTGTCTTTTGCCTCCCCAAGGAAGCCCAAGACGGATGCGTGGACAAAGTCCGGCGGCAAACGGGTGTTAAGCACCAACACCATCAACTCCCATTCTCACTATACTTGATCAGGATTGTTCAGTAGATACGCATTCAAGTTTATACCAAGAAAATAGCTCATCGTGGATGTGTGGTACTGTCTGGGCAGTGCACTTGATGACGAACCGCTTGCCCTTTCCAAACCCGCATGCAACCAGACATCACGTATTGCGTGCCATCGCCGCCAAGATAAAGCTGGATAGGTACCTAATCTGTCACCGGTTCCATGGTAGCTGGGTGCCAAAGGCTGATCCCAAGTGACAGGACTGTAGAGAACATGTCGAGTGGGTGTCCGGCATCGAGTACGAGCATTGAAGGGCCACAGAGTACCCTACCTCCGCGGATCAAGAGGAGACTAGCTGTTCCAACCAAGGATAGTCGCGTTTGTCACGGTCAAGTCACAAAGTCCAGCCAGCCACCCCACATCACGCTGCCTGAGCGGTTTGAGATGGCGCACGTCGCACCCCCCCCCCCTTATTCTGATTCTGGACCACCTCAGTTCTTGAGTCCGGGGCATCTCCCCGTTGAATAGGATTACCTGACATGTCTGGCCTTCCACCGATTACCTACCCTGTCATTCGACTGTCACTTAGACAGTGGAGCCGAGCAGCGGCTGCGGTAAGTCTTCCTGTTGGATCGGATTTGGATCTTCACCCAAGCCTGAGCTACACTAGGTTAGCCCCCCACGATGCCCCAGTCATCCCCTGAGCCGGCCGGCAGCATTATTGGCAACGGTGTGTAGTGCAATTGCTTCGAGTAAGATGGAGGCGAGGTGGGCGAGCAACTCGGAGAGTACATGCTGTTCTTAGCTTTACTGGCCCTTGGTTCGACGCTGACAGGATATCCAGCCACGTCTCATGGGGATTTCCTGCGGTGAAGGTCACAACAGGCATGACGCCGGGTACCTGTAGGAAGCAAACTACTTGATGACTCGCGGTGCAGTTGACAACTTGCTCAAGACCGGCATGCCAATCCCTGAAGTCTTGGGACTCCCCAGGGCTCCATGTTGATAGTCCCCTTTCAATGCCTGTCTTGCTATATATCCATTTACGATGTGGAACAACACACTTGGTGGCTGGACACAAGCCGCAAACACTGTGCGGAGGATTTTCCGACGCACAGGCTGATACGGCATCCGTGGTATATCACCTACCTACCTCGTCAGCACCCCACCGCACCTGCAGAGCCTCCTCCCTCTGCTTTCTCTTCATCTTTCCGCCTGTCTCGACTCCTTTGCTACCTCGACCACCTCGACCACGAAAGGCACACGACAATGGTTATGTTTCGAGAATTACGGGCTCTAGTCGAGACATTGACGCCCGCATTCCATCATTGATGCCGCACGCTCTCATCCGTCTGTATCTAAATACGAAAAATTGCGGTAGCCGTCTGATGTCCACCTCCATCTCTTTTTCTTATCTTCTCGCCCATTCGACCGAAGCTTCTTCTCCACGATGGAAGCCCCCGCCGCGCACGATCGGAAGAAGTTGCCGAGGGTACCCATGTCTTTCTCTTTAGGCCTGGACGCTGGTCCCCATCTGATTTCGACACTACTACAACGAGTCAGCATCATCCCTGGTTGTGGAGCTCTCAGCAAGGAACCATAGTGACGCTTCATGTATTGGGTCTGAGGTATGGCGGGCATGTTGCAAGGAGAAATCAACCGTGTGTCAGGGAGCCATCGCTTCTGCGAACCAACCGGACTTTTGGAACGAAAATTTGCTCAGACTCTCGTCAACTACGGCTTTCGCGGTGAGCAACGAGTTTTCCTTGACTCGACGAACTCATTGACAGCTCCAGCCTCAGTATAGCTGTGTTGTCCATGCAATACAAGCAAACTCGTAAGCCTGCTGAAGAACTGGCTAATCGACTTGTCATGCACGACCATTCGCGCCCAAGAGTCGGCCATCAGGAACGAGCGACTCGAGTGCCCATAAGCAGACGTCCACCTGTCTCTTGCACACTGCCGGCTTTTCAAACGATCAAAACAACGTACCGAATCGACGAGAACGAATCCCACACACCCAGCTCGACAGTTATTGCAAACATTATCTCCTTGGCGATCTCCCATCCGTCCAGACTTTCGGATGAGTCGGGCGAGGCTCACGAGCCTTGCCAACGAGGCCCGACAGCTACTACTTTGGGGGTCTACGCTAAAAAGGAATGGCATTCAGTTCCTTTTAGAGCTGTCTCTATGGGATCGGCATGACTCGCAGCCTCGAACGTCCGAAACATTTCTAGTCGCCACTCGCCAAGCAACTGCGTTCTAGTTTCCGTCGGAAACTCCCACTCGATCGAGGGACAACAACAAGCGTTAGGCCAAGACGGGCGCCATCTTGACAGCCCGGAAACAGTCTAGATCGCGGGTTTACTAGGGGATGGCGCCGTGCCAGCGTTTGAGGCCTGTTGATGGGATTGATGTAGTGTTCGCTGCATCGCCCAAATAACTACACTGAATTGCTAACAGAGAAGGATTCGGCTTTAGGGAACAGACCTCCCCGGCTGCTTTGTCACCTAAGCGAACGCGGGCTGTCGGAGTGTTGGGGAAGATGGGATCAAAATCCAGCTAGAAAAACGAGGGCACAATTCAAGAGCAGGACGACAGAATAGGCAAAATATGGGCATGAAAGTGGATGGATCTCCCCAGCAGCCAGCTGCAAATCTCGAGGGCAATATAGATCGTGTTTACTACACCTGCCCAGAACCCCCTGGCACAGCTTGAGCAGCTCCTTGCTCCTTGACAACCCGCCTAAAGTTCTTTGGGAATCTCCTCGCCAACCTGAACTGCTCCGTTTCTTCTTCCACCGCGGCAGGAAGGTGCTCCCTCCAGGTGCCAGCCATGTCTGATCCGAATCCGAGTTTTCCACCCCACGACCAAGAGATGACGCGCTCTGCTCTTGCGCCTTCAGGGGCATGCAGGAGGCCGGGGGCGATGTCGACCATGTCTGGGCGGGAGTCGCAGGCGTAAAAGACCACGGCTGAGCAAGTGCTGCAGTGGTAGCGCTGGACGCCTTGGGAGCTGGGGTAGAGGGATAATGTGCCGAGTCTGGGGTCGGTTCCAATGGCGGATTGGAGGGCGGTGGTGTCGAGGGGAAGGGGGGAGGTGGGATCAGAGGCAAAGGTGATGTGTTTTAGCTCTGCAAAGGTCCAGGCAAAGATCTCGGTTCCGGAGACGAGGCGGCAGTCGGAGCAGCCGTCGAGTGAGCCGAGGAGTTTGTAACTCTCTGGATCGACGAACCAAGGCAGTTGCCCCCCCTTTGACTGGCGTTCTTTCAAGTCCCTTTGGGCATTGCCGGCTTTGAGGACGAAGTCGACGCCGCCGCAGTGGCATTTGAGGGGGATGTTGCCCTCTTTTTCGGGAAGGTGGAGGAGGTTGTCAGCATGGGAAAGGAGTATGTTTTTATCCTCGGGCCAGTATCCCTCCGAGGTGATTTCTTTAGACTTTTCTCTCCAGCCTAGCCAGCGTCGGGGTTTGGCGGCGGAGGGAGGGTTGAGACCGTTGAGCCAGGGGACTGCCCCGCCGTCGATGGTGTCGGCTAGGAACATGTGAGCGTCCCATTCTATGAGGTTTTGGCCTAGTGGCAGTGGGGAGGAAGGGGTGAGGACGCCGGTGAAGGCGAGGTAATTGGTGACGCCGGGGGTGGAGTTGTCTTCCCAGAAGAGGGTGGTGGAGCAGTGACTGCAAAAGTAGATGTTTAAGCGGGGGGAGAAGGCATATTGTTTGAGGTTGTCAGAGGGTTGGGGAGGGGGCCCGGGCCAGAGGATGTCGGTGGAGCCGCGCAGGGAGCCGGTGAGGTGCCGACAGGAGTTGCAGTGGCAGTTTGTTGCTTTGAGAGGGAGGGAGGTGGTGGGGATGGGTTTGGAGGTGAAGGTCAGGGCGCGGCAGTGGCATTGGGCTGTGAGGGTGATGGTATCGGTGTTGGACTCCATAGTGGTGCTGATGGGTTGGGTTGTTTGATGGTGGGACAGGATGGCGGTGACAGGTGCGGGGGCAGGTCAATATATAGCCCACTTAGGAGATAACGTGTTGGTTAAGAGATGCAGTTTGTATTACCTCCTAAAGTGTGGGTGATCTATCGTGAATACGCTTGATACGCCCGGCAGGCAAAGGCTGTCACCCGAAAGGCGTCGTGAGCTCCAATGGAAAGCGCGGTTGAGAACCAATCTGACGTCACTTAATTGGCTGTTCAATAATGGGCGATGCTCTCTCGGAATAGTTCCTCTTTGGGCACCGGCCGGTAACATGAGAACACATGGACAAAAGTAGTTCATCTCCGAGGAAATTCTGTAGTTTGTTTCCAACTACAACTAGAGGAAGAGTAATCCAACAACTCCTGAGTGGGAAAATCTCCGATCCAACCATGCTCCAGAAAAGACTTACACACCTTGTTGTATACCCACCCCCACAAACTCCAAAACAGCCAAATCCGATGTAAATGCTAATGATGCCCGTCCGTTTCTGCTTTTGTCTATGCCAACCGCTCATCGTTGCGCGCAATGGCACTTGGGCTTGCGAACCCATTCTGTTGGCTGCCTTCGTTCTTTAGTAGCTTCCTGCTTGCTGCTTTGTCGTCATCTTCGTCGTCTGTCATGAGACCATCAAGCTCAAACTCGCTGGCATCCTGCACCTGAGCCTCGTCACTACTGCGAGCGTGGCCGTTGAGGGAAATCATGGACGGGGGGTTGGCGGCACGGTCGTAGACGTTGGTGAACATCATGACGACCAAAAACACCAGGAAGGCCAAGCTGTACATGATCAAAATGTACGCCACGGCGTCCATTCCGGAACCGGCAATGAATGCCATTTGTTCTTCGGTAGCGCCCATAAACAGGAAGCCTGAGGCGTAGAGAAGCTGTATTTGTGTGTTAGCAACACATTGAAGTAGCCGGTTAGCAAAGACTTACAAAAACAGGAACGTATTGGAAGCTGTTGATCTGTGTCCCGTCCTCTGATACGCCTGCCTTGTCCCTGAGCACAAAAGAGATTTCGATGATGCGAGTGACACCAACGGCCATCAATGTATACCCAAATGCCGCGTGTGTCATCGCACTCGTCATCAGCTCCTGAGGATGCGCCGACATGGCCCATCCTGTAATGAAGATGACAAAGCCAGGGACGAAGTTGCGCTTGGGGGTGCCGTCTCGGCCCTTGCTCAGCCAAACTCCAGCAAGGCCGGCGCTCCACCAAATGATGCCCATGGTCGTGTGCTGCCAGTCATTCCTGACCCATTCGGTTCCCCATCTGTGCTCAGTAAAGGTGTTGACACAACCCCATGCAGCAATAACGGCGCTGTCGAAGAACTCTTGGCTGCGGCCAGTCCGACGGAGCCAAACCTGACCAACGAGCAGCACGATGGTAAGGAGGACGCCATATGCGATGAAGGCACTGCCCATGATGAAGTGAGCGGCACATTGTCCCAGGTGATCACCCTGGCAAAAGCCCAGTAGAGTGATACCTCCAAACAGCATCTGAACCCATGATAGCAGCGGGAATGCTTTTCCGTTGACGCTGTGAAGAATGCGAATGAAGGGACGGATACGGCCGTGGATGCCCCGCTCGAGATGTAGCTTCAAGTAGACGCCCAAGACAATCTGAGCAACCAGAAGAAAGAACAACGGTGTCGCGGCCTTTGCGTGGGCGTTTTCCGGGTTAAATTCGCGGCCCTTGTGGAGATGGCCGAGGACGTAGCCTAGCAATGCCAGTACGGTGCTGCCAACTTGTAGTGGGACGTGCCAACGGCTTTTGACGATCTGGGTGTGCGCGCCATTGTCAGCCCCTGCTCTTCGCTTCGAGATGTCGATGACAACCCCTGCTACGCCGTTGACTTACCCCAAGCACCATCCCCAAGGGAAACAGTATCCCAAAGGTAAACGTCTGTAAAAATATGTGTATCCATAGTGTTGTGTCCTGGTATGTTGTCAGCAAGACTCGATGCCCTGGATTCCAATGCTGCCCAGAACTCATGTCCAACATACGATTGGATCCAGCGATATGGTTGACCCTTCCGGGATGTTGTCCCCGCCGTGATTTCCATGCGATAGCGCCATTGGGAGAAGTGCGGCGGCTATTGTGATCCTGGCGATCGAAGGAGAGATTCGAGGGACATAACGCAACAGAGACGAGGAGCCAATGCTCCCCGCTTGGGTAGCAAAAGTCATGGCGAGGACTCGGCTTCGGCAGGACAAGCAGCTCCCTGGAAGACCGCTTCACTGTGGACGAACTTGCGCAACTTTGGCACGAATGCACGGATCACCGGTGTCGAAAAGATCAGATGAATGCGGGCGATGACGTTACTGTTATCGTGGGGTTCGTGGCGGGCGACGGACAATGAAGGTGCAACCGAGAACAGGAACAGGAACAGGAACAGGAACAGGAACAGGGCTTTCAGGTGCCAGCCGCGGTGGCCAGAAGTTTAACGTTATAAAGGGAGCATGAGAATTTGATCCTTCTTGGAAAAAAAGGGATGGGCTTTTCGATCCGGCCTCTTCGGCATCGGAATCTTGACCAAGTTGCTTGGATTTCCTTGGACAACTCGGCGCTCATATCGACCTGTAACTGCTTCACCCATGCAGTCGGGTACTCGCTCCTCGGCATTGGGATGCGTGATTGGCCAAGCAAGCAATTCTGTGGGTCTCAATCTAACTGCTTTTGGCCAAGCCTGGGCGCCGGGACATACTGGCTTGTCCAAGTGGGCATGTTCCTCATGTTTCCTCGAGTCGACATCTTGGGAGATGGAAAAACATCGCCAGTTGTTTCACACATTTTGCTCAAGATGTTGGTGTGAGTCGCACAGAGATTGCCATTCGGGGCTTACTGGTAACATTGCGCAGGTACCGTCAGCTTCGCCAAAGGTACTCTGCAGCGGCCGGGGGGGGGGGGGGGGGGCCACTGTTCATCTCTTGGCACCGTTACACAGCCATCCGGACAATCAGGGCACAACAGACAAGCTTTTGAGGCTTCATTAACTCAGGTTGGCAATTAATAATAACAGCGCAATTATTTTCCCTGGGCAGCGAGCTTCATGTCGGCCTCCCACTCCTTTTGCATCTCGTCTGCAAACACATCATCGGTCAAGACCTTCCACCCCACTAGAGCCATGCCTTTCCCGCACTCCACCGCTCTCGCAAACGCGTCCTCCGTTGCGGCGGCCCTCGTAAATCCCTTGGTGTGGTTCGGCGAGCCCTCCTCCGTGCCGATTCCGAAAACACCGTGGAACCCGGGGCACTCGTAGCAGACGTCGCCCATGTCGGTGCTACCAGCTAGAATATCCTTTGGCTCGTCATAAGAGACCGTTCCCTCCGGCATCGCCTCGACATATGCCTTGCACAGCGATGCGCTTGGTCGAACGTCGGCATACGAGTTGAGGGGCTCCGTGTGCATCTGGCAGCCGGTTGCGAGCGCAGCGCCCTCAAAACACTTCAGCACTCGCTGCCACAGCGCCTCCGCCTGCGCGCGTGTTTGGCTGCGGATGTAGTATTCGACACAGCAGTTCCCCGGTGTGACGTTGGGCCGGTCACCGGCCGATCTGAAGATACCGTGGATGCGATCGTACGGGCGAATTTGCTGGCGCAGCATGCTGATGGCATTGTACGAGAGGCACACAGCATCGAGTGCGTTGACTCCGTCCCAGGGCGCGATGGCCGCGTGCGACTCCTTGCCGGTGAAGTGGACACGGAACTTGACGTTGGCCAGCATGCGCACAAAAGAGACGCCCCGGATGTGGGACGGGAGGTTGTGGCCTGGCCCTGGATGGACCATCAACGCTGCCGAAGCTCCCTTGTAAGCGCCGGCTGCGATCAACTTCAATTTACCACCACCTCCTTCCTCGGCAGGAGTCCCCAGGAGACGAACACGACCTGGCAGGCCGGATGCCTTGAGAGCGGCCGCAACGCCAAGGAACGAGGCGAGCGATGCTGAGGCAATCAAGTTGTGTCCACAGGCGTGGCCGATGCCAGGAAGGGCGTCATACTCGGCATTGAAGACGACAAGACGGCCACCAGAGCCGAACTCGGCAGAGAATGATGTCTCGAGCCCAAAGGCATGGGGCGTCACCTTGAAGCCCAGTGAGGTCAGGATGGTGACGAAGGCTTCGTGTGCCTTGAACTCTTCATATGCCAGCTCGGGGTTGGAGTGTATTTGGTGGTTGATGGATGATATCTCGGCGTTTCTAGCCTGTATCTCATTTTCGATCACGGACGTCCACTGTTGAGCCATGTTGGTGAGGATGTTGATGAGGACTTTGAAAGGGATTGGTGATGGATGATGCCAGCCAGGAGAAGAACTCAAGTTGGGCAACCGTCTTATATCAGGTTTTGGACAGACCACAACGCCGAATATCCTCAAAACGGTCCGCCAAGGTCTCTGCGAACGGCTCAACTCTCAGCATCACAAAGATCGGTCCGGCTGATGATGGCATTGGATGATTTGCCCTTGGCGCTCCCCGCCACGACAACCCCACCGTTCTTTGATGGTTTTGGTCACTTCAACCAATGGTGCGAGAGTGTGTTCAATTTCATCGAGACGGCCCTTCGTTCAATTACCTACTCACGCTACTCTGCCGATACCTGAGAGCAAATGATCTCATTGGATATACCGAGACGAAGGAGCCAATCGTGAACTCGACGCCAGGTACGCAGTCACCTCCGCATCCCCCACATGCCGCCGAAACCAGCAACTGGTACGCCGAGACACGAGGCTTGAAAGATGTCACGAATCTTGGCCATTCCAACCCTTGACCCACCCTCTTGAAGCAGCAACACACAACGCATTGCTTGAACAAGACCTTCATCTTTGAGTTCCCCCAACGCCCAGATTCGCTTGAACGGATCTATCGTCTCGATCCCCGCCCAGAACAGCGGCCATTGCATGCGATCTGGCTGGTCTTCTCTGCCGGTGGCCAAGCTTTTCTGGATGAGGAGCAACAAAGAATCAACGACGTCGGCAATCTTGACAGTCTGGGGCTGGGGTGGAGAAAAGGCCAGATGTTCCTCAGTCAAACTGCATCGGAAGTGGTAGATACGGAGTGTATAAAAGTTCACTCCAGCCCAATCTGCGTTCAACATCACACGATCTCGGAGCGCAGCATTTGAAGCGGTTAGGCGTAGAACGCGAAGAGGACCTGGCTCACACTGCAAGGCCTGTATCTTGCTCAGGATTTCGTCGCTGGCCTTTGTATCCAGGGGCAGCTGTTCATCGGCAGCGTTATTGACCTCCTGCACGAGGACCCAGGTGTCGTGGATCATGTCAAGAGCGCTGGAGTTCTTCATGTCGTCCACAACCTCGTCATCGGGATACCTCTCGGCCCAGAACGATTCCAGAGTGGTTCTTGAAATCTTGTACAGATTTACCAAAGCTTGCCGAGAAGCTGACGAAGTTAGAAGCCTGGCAATCCTCCCACCTTCTCCTTGTGTGGCTGCTTGTGCATCAATCCAAAAAAGCCAAACCATAAGACGAGCCAACAGTGCCTTTTTCGACTCCGGCCAGGCCGGATTCTCCGCATCTGCAGAAGTCAACATTTGGTGGAGGTTGAAAGCCGTCAAGTACTCCTCCATCATCTTGCTGAGCTCACTCATCAGCATGCGGTTTCCTGCAGCATGGCGACGCTTCTGATGCAGGTAAAGGAACCAAAAACAGGACATGGCATTCAGGGGGTCGATTTCGCGACTTCGGATCTCTGCCTCCAGCTGCTGATGCCCGAGACGATAGTTTTCATCGGCGCGGGCAAACAGGGCGCCTTGGGATCCTGCTCGCCACGCCATTTCGTTCTGTGTTGCTGCCAGGAGGAGATGCAAGATAGCTTTGCTTTCGCGGGCCGTCTCCCACACAATAGCATGAGTAGACCAGTTGGGATTCTTCGCGCTCCCAAACCCAAACGTCGCGCTGCTACGGTACCATGCCAAAGCCTCGCGCTCCGCTTGGGACGGGGATACGCCCAAAGGCAGAGGGGCGAGAAGGGCATCGGAGCTGATGTGCATATCCAATGTTGGTTCGGGATACGGGACAGGAAACCATGGCATGAAGTCCGAGCAGCCTAGGCCCGTGAGAAAGCTGAAGCCTGGGATTATGGGCAGGTCGCTCATCGACAAGTCAACGTCCGGCGTCCAAGTGGATGCTTGAGCCTGAATGAGTTGGTCATGTGTGTCGTTGACGGCGGGAGCTAAACGTCTAAGAGACCGACTTTCAGCTTGCGGGATGTCTTGCCCTGGCTGGTGGGTCTGTAGTTCCGGAGGAGGAGGCCATTCACACCCGGCCTTTTGCTTGACACACTTCAAGCAATCAGGGTGTCGCTCATCGCATTTGACATGTCTAGCACGGCACGTCAAGCAGCCTTGCATTGATGCTCGGTCAGTCAAGTGGCTACCCAACCCCACGGGGGATGCTTACCGTTCTTGGATCTCGTCCCGGTTCTCGGTTCAGCGGAGGACATAGACATCTTCTTGGTCTTGCCGACGCGATGTAAGCGTGTACCCGAGTTGGAACTTCGGCGAGGGTGTTGGTAAGTGACAATGGCGTGATGGAAGTCGGGTCATCAGGTTACCTACAGATTCAAGAGGCGACCCATTTTTATCTTATCATCTTCTCTTCACATGTCGTCCCTTCTTCGTTGGCGAAGGTGTGCTTGCGGGGTTGGGGGTGTGACTATTCAGCCTCGTTCTCACAGAGCTGACCCCTCATGGTCCTGGTGGTTGAAGTGTCGGCTCGACAGACCAATCATCTTAGACCGTCGCGTGAACGCACCAATCGTCTTGTCTCTTCTGCGCGGTTTCTGCATGCACCGAGAGGACAGGGCTTGAAGGACAAATATTGGGTACGCTGCTGTCATCTACAGCTCAGACTGGCCCAGCCGCAAGCATTGACACGAGGACTCAAGCCATGGTGTAAAAGGGTAAACACTTTCCGTCTCTCTATCCTCATACGTAAGTATCTGCATACAGGTTTTCTTCTATTCGTCTGCTCTAACACCCATTACAAACCCAGGTGCGCCACTCGGCTAGCTGGCTTGCACCTTCCACAACTTCCAATTATTCCTGCAATGGTCTCTGGTATGTCCTATCAAGCCTTCTTGTTCTCGGTGCTTCCGAGTGCTTGCAGTTTCTTGGCGTGGAATTGCTGTCAAATGTCAGTCGTCACGATCAGGGAGATAAAGGGGGTCATTGGCTGAAGGAACCACTTACACCATCCACACCAGCCCCAACCAGCTTGAGCGGAATCTTTTGCAACAACCAAGGCACCGGAACATTGACACGGGTCACCTTGGCATCCTCATCTTTGACCTCTGGGTTCAAGAGGACATTCCTCGGAAGCAAAGGGTCGAAAATCGAGGGCCTTGCCAACCCAACCATATCGCAATCACCCCTCCTGAGCGCCTCCTCCATCCCAAGCCTGGTGGTGAAGCCGCCCGTAACCATCAATGGAATCCCGGCCAACTCCCGCTTAGCTACTCTGGCAAACTCGAGAAAGAACGCCTCTCTTTTCTTGGTGCTCTCGGCGAGCATCTCCCTCGGTTTGATATCCTCAAAACTGCCCCCGCTGATCTCGACAAAATCCAGCTCTGTCTTTGCCAGGAGTTGGAGCTGCTCGATGCTGTCTTCTTTGCCTTGCCTGTCGGTTTGCTGGTGATCCACGCTGTTTAGCTTGAGGCCTACGACGAACCCTTTGTATTCTTTGGTGGCTTCCCTCACGGCAGCGATGATCTCGAGGATGACGCGGGCTCGCTTGGCAGCTGTGCCACCGTAGGCATCGGTTCGCTTGTTGGAATGAGGGGAAAGGAACTGCGTGAGGAGGAAGCCGTGGGCGGCGTGGATCTGGACGCCGTTGAAGCCGGCTTTGGCGAGGATGAGGGCGGAGTGGGCGTGCTTGGTGATGAGGGATTGGATTTCGGGGATGGTCATTTCTCGGGGGTGGGCGAAGAGGAGGGTGCGGGCTATCTTTGGGAGGAGGCCGGGGCCTAGGTCGAGGGGAATGGGGGAGGGGGCCAAGGGGGGTTCGAACATGGAGCGGGCTTTGGAGGCGAAGCGGAGGAGTTGTTTGCCCGGGTGGATTAGTTGGACTATTACTGGGGATGGGGGGGTGTTGGAGGAGGCAGGGGGGCGGAAGGAAGCTGCCCAGGATTGGAGGGAGGAGAGGAGGGTTTCTTCGGGGAGGTTGGGTTGGTTGGCAAGAACGGCGTTGGTGGTGACTTGGAGGGGGTCGATGGCTACCGAGCCGGTGAGGATGAGGCCCCAGGAGCCGGTGGACCAGGAGGAGGAGATGGCTTTTAATTGGGGGGAGGGGAGGTTGGTGGTGGGATCGGCGCAGTCTTCGAACATGGAGGCTTTGGCGAGGCGATTGGGGATGGTGAGGTTGGAGACGGGGAGGGTTAGGGGTTGGGAGAGGAGGAGATTAGGTGATGGAGGCATTTTGGGTGTTGCTGAAGGGGCGGAAGGAGCTTTGGTGAGTATTGAAGATTCAAGGGGTCAAAGCGTGATATCAGGATACGGTGGTGTGGTCTGGAGTCAGCAACAGGTGCAGCTATGCAGTGGGCATGGTGGTGTTTATACTTGAGCATGGAGGCCTTGGTTTGTCTACTTTCGTTGCCCAAGCGGATCATGCCCGTTCCCATGTTTCCCTTTTGACTTCACTGCCTCACTTCCATAAGGCACGCGTGTCACATTGGGTCATACGGCGGGCCTCGGTGTTGACGCTGGACCTTCACCAAAGTGTCCGTTTAGCAGGGGTTTTCTTTCGAGATATTTGTCAAACGGACAAACTTTTCCTTCTTGTCTAAGAAGTCACTCATCGAGGCTCCATATCTCGGACACATATGATGGTCAGGGTGAGGCATCGGGTCTCGCTTTGCTTGTGTAAGCCATCGCGCGCGGGTTCCGTTTTGGGACTAGCGGCTGTGCAACCCCAACCCTTGACACAAAGTCACTACAGCCACTTGTTGATGCCAATGAGGACAATGTTGGGATGGTTACACCAGCGGCCTACAATTTCTAAGCCCAGTAATAAGTGCCGTTGGAGTGGGTCTTCTATTCGGTCAGTACTGAATGCTGATGTTTCATCATTGGTGGTCTTGTCTTGTGCGGAGACTTTTATGTTTGGATGGAGCAATCTTCGCCGCTGATGAAGAACACCGAGGTTTGAAAGCGAGGTTGCGGAGGTTTTCTTTTATCACACTTGAAGGTTTGTACTCCGTCAAAGCTTGGTGCAGACGAATAGGGACACGCCTATTTGATGGCAGAGTGTGGGGGGTGGAGGCTTGTAGGGAAGGAACGTTCTCTTGATTACACCCCTTCCAGGCACTGTTAGTCCCCCCCCTGGATTCTGCATACAAAAATTGTCTTCTCGACTACCCTCTCTAACAGATGGCTGAATGGGGGTGGGACTGCTGAGGCTCTTGCTGCTTCATGTTGGGGGGTTATAAGGTAACCTGGTAAGTGGTCATGTTGGGGGAGTGAAGGTGGGAAGTAGCGGGACCGGACGTGTGTCAATGCAAGTTCCAGTGAGGTGCGAAGGCAAGTTCAAGTGCTGTTAAGGGCAGTGGCGTGACTTCTGTTGATGTTGTGAAGGAAGGAGAGAATCTGTCTTACACAACAGCTGAGCTGAGTGCCTTCCTTTCAGTCTGGTGTTGGCGGCAGTTGCTCTCACTGCTGCCTGTCCCTTCCTGTCATTACTTTTGCTGGTAAGGCAGTTGCGTCAAGCCAATGGAATGGGTCCTTGGCACGGTTGCCGTTGCTGTTGCTGTTGCTGCTGGAGTACTTGCAGCAGAGCAATCTTGAATTACCAGCAGCGGGTTTTGACTCGACAGCAACTTTGATTTGACAGCAGTTTTTCTGACAGCATTTTGGTTACCAGCAACTCAACTGCTCTTGGCCCTGCCAGCAGAGAGCCATTGCAGCAAAGCATTAGCTTTGGTGTTGGCCTTCCTCCCTGCCACTGGTGTGGTGCCGACTGATATCCTTTCGAGGCAGTAGTTTGTTCAGAAAGCACATTCAGGGGATCGCTCCACCTTACCCCTTGCATTACTTGCCCGGCTTGTACAACGTCAGAAATGTTCCGGCTGTTTGATCCGACACAGTGGCTCTCCTCTCAGATTCATGGTGTTCCGGACCCTTGGCTAAATGACGCTTGATCACTTGAACCGGTACCCTTATTAACGGCTCATTGTCTACACGGCACCCCCACATACCCCCATCACCATAATATTCCTCGATTGGCCAAAGTCTGAAGCAAACCCAATTGATAGTTGGAGAGCATCTTTTGCTCGTTCCAGTGGACTTGGCTCTGCACCACACAGCAGACAACAAGCTTTCGCGCTATCACCATCGAACGTGGCCAAGCAAAAGTCATCACATCATGGAGTTTTACTAGCTGACGCCTTTTTACAACCCTGAGATCAAATTCTCCCTTCGCACAATGACTCTTTTCAACCCTCCCGTTATGAGATCTGTGATGATGCTCACCGGGTAATTTCACCCGCGCAATATAGGAATCGGATGAGGAATTATGCAGCCATCGACCATCCTGGCCCCACGCAGTAGAGATTTGTCCGCTTACATGTTGCATGTAGGACTCGGCAGGTGAAGGTCTCGAAGGCTTTTACACATCGGATATCTTGTCTGCGCACCCGCCATCAAGGCTTCGCCAAGGAATACCACAACGCAGAGGCAGAGCCGCCATCTACACAACCACATGGCAAGATCTGGGCCAGCCGCCGCTGCTACCCCACGAATGCCTGTTCCTTACCACCCAGTACCGCCCGACTGGTTATACGCACATGAACAAGTACGGACACGAACAAACGCCACAAACACCGCAGCTCCCTGGCGCAGCCCGCAACCGATATTGCTCCTCCCGAGGAGCCGTCAGCTTGAGGACTCGGGGTTTACTCGGTCGGTACCATCGTGGAAGATCGGCCGAGATCCCCTGCTGTTCCCCTGAAAGGCGCGTTTCCCACGTTCCCGTATATGGCACCAACAAATGACGCTGCATCTCGAGATTAATCTTCCGCAAATCTCCCCAGTTGCACACCACAGGATCGGCTCGCCCAGGACCACATACACTCTCGTTCCGGGCTCGTCTGTTGTTCCTCGCTCACAGCCTACGTTCCTTACCATCAGCCTTGACCATGTTAATCTATTGACAACCGGCAAAACGCTTGAGTGATCCGATCCCAGTGCTCACAAGATCACAATCTCAAAAGGCAAGAAAATCAGATTTAAACATGGGGAGACCGCCATACGATCTAGTGGGTAAAGTCGCACCACTCCCATTACCAGTCTTTACCACGGACTCACCAGCCACCGCCTGTGGAAGCGGCCGACGAGGGCAAGATATCGGCTCATCCCGTCGATGAGTATATTTCGGGCTGCATTTTCCCAGATTCTCAAGCCACTTCCCCAGGATCTTACCCCAGACGACAAGAAGCGAGTCCCGGAGATCTCCATCGACGTCTGTGTCTGCCCCTGATTACAAAAGGTTTTGTCATACAGCTCGCCTGCATCACGTTACAAGTCACAACATACGCCGCAGATCTCTCGCCTGATGTTAACTCTCGCCCCCTTTTGCGCCCTGTTGGGCTTGGCGGCAACCTCATATGCCAACCCATTCGACAAACAAGACGCACTTACCGACTGCCTGGTCGGATCAGGCGTTCCAATCAATGCACCTGGTTCGGCCGATTGGAAGCTTGATTCTGCCCCTTTCAACCTGCGGCTCAATTACACCCCCGTCGCTATTGCTGTCCCAACAACAGCCAAGCACGTTCAAGATGCCGTTGCTTGTGCTGCCGAGCTTGGGATCAAAGCCAATGCCAAATGCGGCGGGCACAGTTATGCATCATTCGGTCTCGGTGGCGAAGATGGCCATCTCACGATTGAGATGGACCGAATGAACAAGGTTGTCCTGGACAACAGCACCGGCATTGCAACGGTTGAAGGTGGCTCAAGGTTGGGTCACGTTGCCTGGGAGCTCTACCAGCAAGGTAGGAGGGGCTTCAGCCACGGCACATGTCCAGGGTGAGTTGTGATTTCCATTACATTGAATTCAGTTGACAGAATAGTGGGGCTAACCAGAAAGATAGGGTCGGAGTGGGAGGTCATGCACTTCACGGTGGGTATGGTATCAGCTCCCACACCAAGGGTTTAGCTCTTGACTGGATAGTTGGGGCCACCGTTGTCCTCGCCAATTCGACAATTGTCAACTGCTCCAAGACGGAGAATCCGGACTTGTTTTGGGCCATCCGTGGTGCAGGATCCTCCATGGGCGTTGTCACCGAGTTCAAATTCGACACCTTTGAGGTGCCTGAGAAGGTTACCTACTTCATTGCGCCAGTACAATGGCCAACAGAGGCCAGAGCTTTGGTTGGTGTCCGAGCCGTTCATGAGTTTGCCAAGACTATGCCAATGGAGTTGAACATGCGTTTGTTCATCGCCAAGCGCTTTATCAACCTGGAGGGTCTGTATTATGGAGACAAGGCAGGCCTGCAAGCTGTTCTCGCACCTTTGCAAAAGATAACCAACGCAACACTCGCGGTGGCCACAACAGGTGGCTGGCTGGATCAAATCAAACACTTTGGCAACGGAGTCAACATTGATCAGGGGCACAATCTCGCGCAACATGAGACTTTCTACTCGACCAGTCTTTACACCAAGGCTTTGAGCGAAGAGAAGCTCGAGCAGTTCGTCAGCTACTGGTTCAAGCAGGCCAAGTCCAATCCTAGGGACTGGTATGTGCACATTGACTTGCACGGCGGTGAGAACTCGGCAGTCAGCTCTCAGGATGACGATTCAAGTGCCTATGCGCACCGAGATTATCTTTTGATGTACCTTCTGTATGACCGCATAGACAAGGGCACATATCCCGCCGACGGCCATACCATCATGAGCAACTTTGCCCGCAACATCACCGAGGGCCTGCCCAAAGAGGACTGGGGAATGTACATCAACTACCCTGACTCCAGGGGTCTTATGGACCAGGAAACAGCGCAGGTCAATTACTGGGGCAAGAATCTACCGAGACTTCAGGCAATCAAGAAGGCCGTTGATCCGAACGATGTCTTTCATTACCCCCAGGGTGTCTTGCCAACTACTGATGCTAGAAGTCTTTGAGCGAGACCTGACATTGGTGGAAAGGACTAACGGTGTGAAGTCAGGGAGATACCCTTGTATATATGAGGAATGGGATAGACGAAAGATTCATTCAAATAAACTCGCAGTTTTCAATTCCAAGGATATCAAAGCATCTGCTCCAAGCGCCTTACAAACTAGCAATCTCACATCATGTTTAGAACCAGCCAAACACCGAAGCTAATGAATGCGACCTTCACCAAGCTTCCTTCTAACCTTTCACTGCCGCTAGTCACTTCAGTCAAAGGCCCTCTAGGGCTTGCGACGGTTCTCACTGTTGTCTCATTTCCACCCACAAACGCCCTAGTCACATTCATCCTAGCAACCCACCCCTCCAAAAACCTCTTCACAGCCCAATACGCCGGCTTCCTCTGATAATCCTCCGTCCAAAGACACGCACCGCCCTTCCCTGGAAACGTCCCCGGCACCCAGCTATACCGATCCGTAAACTGCCACACCGTCACCCCGACACACCTCTCTACCTCGAGACACGCCCTCACCGCAACAACATAATCACTTGCCTGCTGCTCCACCGCCAGCTCACTCGCAGTTTCCACATCCTCTTGCGCCACATCCAGCTCCGTCCAGGCGACATCCACCCCCAGATCAGCAAACCTTTGCAGAGTCGCTATCAAACTCTCCACGCTCGGCGTCTGGCCAACTGTGAAGTGAGCCTGGAGTCCCACGCCATCAATTTTAACACCTTTACTCTGAAGCGACTTGACCAGTTCAACAGCGGCGGTTTGCTTTTCTGGTGCGGTCTCAAGGTTGAAGTCGTTGTAGTAGAGCTTCGTCTCTGGGGGCGCTACCTCCCTTGCAACCTCAAAAGAATGAGCGATATACTCCTCCCCCAACACGTTGAAAAACACCGAGTTGCGAAATGTTCCGTTTTCGTTTAGCGCCTCATTGACGACATCCCAGGCGTAGCAGGCACTGCCAAAGTGGGAGATTACCGAGGTGATGTGTGTTGTGATCAACTGTCGTAACGTGTCTGGTGTCCATGATGTGGAGGAGACAAAGGGGGGGAGTTGGGAGTGCCAGGTCAGTGTGTGACAACGCAAGAGGTGGTTGTAGCTGTTGGCAAGGGAGGCGACTTGGTCAGAGGCGTTGAAGGAAAAGTCGCCTGGTTGGGGCTGGATGAGACCCCATTTTTGTGAGTTTTCTGGGGTGAGCTGGCCGAATTCGAGGGGGTTAGAGAGGATGTTTTGGTAGGTTGGGTCGGCGAAGTTATTGGTTTCGGTGGCAGTGCCAAAGTAGAGTTTTCCGGCGGAGAGGAAGAGGGAGTGTAGGCCGGTGGAGGGGGGTTCGCGGTTGGATTGGGCGATTGTTGTTGTTGCCAAGAGGGTGGTGGTCAGGAGGACGGATATTCTTGTCATGGTGATTATGGTGAGTGTTAATGACTCGCAAGCCGTTTGTGGCTTCTGTTTTCAAATGTCAAAATGACAGCTTCTCTGTATTTTCACCTGTTTTACACTATCGCTAACAGTGAACTGTCGTGGACAACTCGAGGGGTGAGCCCGGTTCTTGTATGTGTGCCGCTTTTGATGGGCAGAAGATCTGGGGTATTTTCATGCTTGATTCGGCCGATTTCCGGATTTTTTGATAAGTTTAATTCACCTTTTTGGTCACTCGTTTGATCTCCATCTAGGGCCGTGTTTACCTTGTCGGCGCCAAGTGAGCGCTCAGAACAATGCTCAGGCCATCGACGTTTCAGACGAAGAAGCAGCCTTTGGAGTCACGCATTTGGCAATTCAATGCTTTGAAAGCAATGCAACAGACCACAAAACTTCATATATCACTGTTCCAGCTCAGTAATCACCACCAACCCATTGTTTCACATGTGTGAGAGCTGTAGTTATGACCTCTGAAAGAAGAAGCAAAAGGGACTCTAACCCTCTATACTTTTTAGGGGCAAAATGGTTTCAGGTAACGAAGTCTCTTTCACTAGACTTTGCAGTACAGAAAAACATATTAATGCGTTGCGGCTGGTTTTTTTCTATTTTTTCTTTCCTTTTCGTTATTAATGCTCCATTTGATTATTGGCAGTTCCAGGTTTCCAGAGACTTTGCCATGATCTGATGATAACTGGTTACCCCTGAACCCCTTTTTACGCCTTATCAGCCCGCAGTCTGCAACCAAGGTACCATGGGCATCCATTGGCCAATGGACAATATCTTGCATCAACCACCACCAACTTCAGCTGCACTGTGTCGACTGTTAAAGATGTGCAGGTTCCCCGCTGCCAAGTTGGACTGTGCCACAGCTCGGTTCCATCCCCGTCCTTTCCACGGAAGTATCGCGCCATTCGATACTGGAAGAAAGGTGCGAGTAGCCGAGCGAACATGCATGCGGTTTGGGGGTCGGAGCTCAATCAGGACGATAAGGTGCTCTCAAATGTGGGCACCAGTTGGTTTGAGAAGCCGATTGGTGGGGGAGGGGATAGATTGCGTACGAGATGCATGTGCTGTCGCGCAATCCGGACCAACGCCCGGACGCCTTGTCTTAAACCGGTGTGCGGATGTAACGACGGCAGGGCTAGCGCCCGGTGGGATTCTCACAAGGTCAACCCCGTCACCTGCCACATGAGCGAGGGAGTTTTATTCTAGAACTGCTGTTCACCTTCTTTCCCGCACCACCTCGCCTGTCGATCATCAACAGCACAGCAACAATGACCGAGGAAAAGGCAGCATCTCCAGCCCCCGAGGCGGCCACCAAGGCCCAATCACCGCCACCTGCCGCTGCTTCGTCACCAACCCCAGAACCTGCCCAGCCAGAGCCTGCCCATATTCAAGCTGACGATGAGGTGCCTGATGACACTGATGTGGACTCGTCGTGGGGAGAGGTAGGATATCGGACCGCCTCTGGTCACATTCTATTCCTTTTGCTGACAAGCCACAGGACGCCGTCTCCTCGACTGCTAGCATCTCTAGTTCCATCTTGGACTACAGAAAAGAGAACGGGCGCACTTACCACGCCTATAGAGACGGAAGTTAGTGGCAGCCAAGTCTTGTGACAGGTGGAGAACACTAGTGGTGATAGTGATACTAACACAATGTAACAGAATACCTGATCCCCAATGATGAACAAGAAAACGAGCGTCTTGATTTTCAACACCATCTTTGGTATCTGACTCTCGATGGTCGGTTGGGATTCGCTCCTCCCGCTCATCCTGAAGCCAAATTTGCTGGCCGGGTTCTCGATGTTGGCACTGGTACAGGTATCTGGGCTATTGATTTTGGTGATGAGCATCCAGATGCCCATGTTATCGGCGTCGACCTCTCACCGATTCAACCGAGCTTGTAAGCGCCTCGGTTTCTTGCAATGGAGAAAGAATTATAGGCAACTGCTGACATTGAGTTTCCACTACAGCACACCTCCCAATGTCCACTTTCAAATCGACGATCTGGAGGACGAATGGACCTTCTCACAGCCATTTGACTACATTCACGTTCGCGCCATGTCCGGTTCAATCAAGAACTGGTCTGCGTTTCTTGAAAGATGCATCGAGTAATGAGCCCCACCCAAAATCTTTCTCAATTGCTTCTGACATGCGAAAATAGAAACTTGAAGCCTGGCGGTTGGCTCGAAGTTCAAGAACCGGGCAGACCCATTGCCGACGATGACACATTCCCCCCTGACTGTGCTCTCGCCAAAGCTACCGCTCTTTTTGCGGAAGGACTCGCAGCAGCAGGCTCGCCGCTTCTTGACGTCTTCACTCTCAAGGACTTGTTCAACGGAGCCGGCTTTGTCAGCTACGATGAAAAGCGGGCTTATTGGCCCAGCAACCCTTGGCCCAAAGACAAGAAGCTCAAGGAGATCGCCATGTGGTCCAACACAAACCTCTCCGCCGGCGTTGAGGGTTTCTTGATGGCGGTGGCGACACGCTTCTTGGGCTGGAGTCTGCCAGAAGTCACTGTTCTTTCTGCTCAAGCAAGAGCTGATCTCAACGACAGAAGAATCCATGCCTATTGGCCAGTGTAAGTTTGCCTGAGGGTGGCTGTTGATTTGGTTCAAAGCTAACAAGACTTTGCAGCATCTCTGCATTTGCGCAAAAGCCCGAGTGAAAAACACGAGGATGTAGCTTGCTTTTTGAATACCCATTATGTACCTAAATGCTACCATATATCTAACGTCTATTAAGCATTACCATCGTGTCATTAGTCGTCGTTCCCAATTTTGAGTCCCGCCCCCAGTGCCTATCTTCCAGCAATTGAAATACCATGCCAGCTTTTCCAACCTTTGTTGTCTCAACCTATACAGCAGATATATGGCTCATAGTCCGACCCAACGCGGCCTCCTCCCGCTGTCCTTCAGTCTTGAGTGCTGCGGAAAACTTGCTAGCAGCACGAATTTTATCACCATAAGCAACAAAACACAATGGAACGGCTGCCAAAGCTGCACTGATACCAGCAAGCAACGCACAAGACTTGGCAATACCCAAAGCTTTGAGCATATCTTCGATAGCGAGTGGGAGGAGAGCACCAGCAACACTACGCGTGGTGCCCAATGCCGCCAGGGCAGAGGCAGAGTAGATACCATACGCATCCGCAACGTACTAATCTTGATGAGTAAAAAGTCCAGGATGCTTGTGAAAGTGAGTACTCACGTTGATCATTGCTACCCACATGATATTGTAAGCAATTCCATAAGGCACAGTTGCGATAAAGGGGACCGCCCAATGCACATCGGACCGAGCAGACAGTCCAATCCACAGTATTGAGATGACGAAAAACGGGCCTCCAATGCAGGCCAGAGGGAGGCGGAAGTACTCTGCTCTCTTTGTAGGGTGTTTGGCGCTGAGCCGAAGAGTGACTGGGTCGCACCACCAGCAGATGAAGCAGCCGATGATAGTTCCAAGACCAACTTAAGAGATGATAAGCTTTGTGCTAGGTAGGTACTGAAAACAGTAGTTGGGAGGAGCACTTACTGATCATAAACAATAGCCCTGAAACACCAGGACTGAATCCGTACACGCCCACGAAAATTGCGTAATAGATCTGGACCATCCTGTGACCGGTTGTCAGTATAATTCAACGCATGAAGATCCAGCCGACGTACATGTAGAACACCGAGTAAATAAAACCGATGTAAAGAGATGTGAGAACCACCACCATCTCTCCACATAGCAACTCCAACGGGCGCAGCAAGGTTGTTTTCTACCCCTATTTGTCAGCCCCATTCCCCTTAATCCTCTCAGGGATACATGTCACAAACTCACCAAAGTGACAAAGACACTCTTCTGACTCAACTCCGCCGGCGCCACCCACCTCCTCCCATCCTCCCTCGGCTCCTCCTTATTCAACCTCTCCGCCTTCCTCTTCAAAATCTTGGCCGCCAACGTCTCAGGGATGGCCAACACTGAAGCCAGCGTGACTCCCGCAAAGATCAACGCGATCCTATTTCCTCGTCAGCCCCCCTCATCTCTTTTTACCCATAATTTCTGAAAATACTCACCAAAAAACCCACCTCCACCCCAAAATCCCTCCCACAAAACCCCCCAAAACTGGCGCCCCCAAAGGCCCCACAAACGTAGAAGCACTCCAAACCATCAACATCCTTCCCCGCTGTACCTCATCCCCAAAGCAATCAGCTATAACCCCTCCAAACACACTCAACGGTGGACTCCCAAAAGTCCCGCACAAGAACCTCATCAACAAAAAACTCCACCAACTCGGCGCAACAGACGCCCCCGCCGTGCTAGCCACAAACAATAAGAAACCCGTCACAAGAATGGGTTTCCTCCCGTAGGTTTCGGACAAGGGCGCAAAAATGATAGGCCCGAAGCAGAACCCCATCAGGTAGAGCGAGGCAGGGAGGACAGATTGGGGGCCGACGGGGACGTGAAATTCAGCAGATAGGAGGGGGAAGAGGTTGGCCGAGGCGATGGTGGAGCCCATTGTTGAATTGAGGCATGTGAGGGTAGCGCATAGGAGCAGGATGGATTTCTTTTTCTGTTTAGAGGGGAGGAGGTATGGTTAGAAGAGCAAAGGGGGAGAAGAGAAGGAGGAGGAAGGATGACGAACCATGGACCAGTTGTAGGGGTTCTCGGGGTCGTTAGGAGAGAACGACACAACAGCGTATTCTTGTTGGTCGGGTGGTGTTGGTGAGGAGGCGTTGTCGTCATGGTTGGATGCCAGCGAGATGGTATCATGAGTGCTGGAACCGCTAGAGGAACTACTGCTGTTCACCACCGGAAAAGGCGTAACCTTTTCCTCCACCTCTGCTTTCTCCATCGTTGAAGCTGGGGCGTTCCAATGTTAAAATAAAAACCAAAGCAAAGCAAGTTGAATTGCCCAAAAAAAAAACACCTCAAAAAAATAAAAAGAAGTTACGGTTGCATATATGTAACAAGACACAAGCACAACTTGTAAAACGAGAGCACGAAATTAATAAAAAGTCAAGACCAAGAGTCGTCAACTTGCCTGAGGAGTGGGTGAGTGTCTGGAAACAAAAAGGAGACACCAACCTGTCCCTATTTAAAGCCATAACACCATGCACTCCGCATTTTCATTCTCCAACCACCCGGGACGGAAGCTAAAAACCAAGGCCCATCAGTCTAGTCTCCTCGTTCTACAGAAACACAATACAGTGACTCAATTTTCCGGGACTCCCCCTGGCCTTCCTGTTCAAGCATGGAAGCAAAGCTGGTAAGCGGTCCCGGTTGCCCCTAGCCAGGAAGAAATTTCATTGCTATCACAGGACAATGTAGTATCGTAACGTCTGAGCACCGGAAACAAGCCGTCTCCTCTGCTGCTTGGTCCCGGTCCGATGACGGCTACACTCCCCGCCGGCCGGTGGTGCCCTTCCGCCGACCAGGGGCCATTAGCAGTCTGGGCGGTCGTGGGAGGTGGGGTCTTGAAGGAACCGCATCCCCGGAATCACCTAGCAGGAGGGAAGTTCCACAGGTTCAAGGTGAGATGGTTCGTGGAACATGGGATGGGAACAAGGACTCGGGCAGACAGGGTGCGGTACCCCCAGAGATCAAAGATCGAGTCCAGCCACGAAACTCGAGACGGGTCTCGAGTCACTCCAACGTGTGTTGGCATCGGCGTTCCTGAGCTTGTGTACTCGCATGTTACTACGCTGCTAGCGAATTAAAAAAATGTTCTACGAATACGAACGTAGCGGTCACAGAGTTGAAGGAAGCCGCGGCATATGGGTCAACTTATCCGGAATTAGTCCTGTTGCTTTCCGTTAGTCATGAAGATCATCCTGTGGGTTGGGTGACCATGGCCTCGAACTCGACCTTGGCGTTTTCTGGAACTCAATGCAAGTTTGGGACCTAGCGGCTGTTGAAACTGCCCAACCTCCAACGGTGATTGGCGTCTCGATCTGAGCCCACCAGGTGGATGATGTTCAAGGCTGAAATTGATAAACAGCCCGATTTGGAAGGTTTTCAGAGTGCACTTACACCAGAAAAGTGGGTATCTCTGGTCCGAAGTAAACCATCTGAGGTCCATTGGCAGCGCGAGCTTCATCAAAGGATGAAAAGGTCCTGTGTTTGATTGGTGTTGAGGTTGTAGGTAGACCCACGAGCCCTGGGTCTGTTGCGTCATCAGACCACAGGGGAGCTATCAGAGCCACAACGAATGAGCGGTGAAAGATGTATGGATGGGACGAATTTTGATGCTTGATGATGTCCTTCTTCAATCTTCTCAGGACCTTGAGGCTAGAACCCGTAGCAGAGTCGGCGGAGAGTTCACAGTGAGAAACGCACAATATTTCCCCAGTCATGTGCAGAACCAGCCAAGTTTGCCATATTGCAGATAAATCCCCGGCAGGCTGTTCCTCTTTGCGCTTCCGATTGGCCCCAAGTCTGCGCAAATGGTCACCTGCCATCCTGATATCACCCAATATTCGGCGTAAACCTGGCTGGCCGACCGGCATGCCATCGGAGGGGCACCAAGCGTGCTGCTCTCGAACTCCGATATCGTTCCGCTTCAGCGCTTTAGCCATCAGAGAACCTCTTCGATGTTCCGTATCTTCAAGGGCGTATCACTGGGTTCGACAGACCGCCAGTTGCGTGAGCGATGACATTACACCAATGCCTCGCCAAACTGTCTCGATCAATCCAGGCCACCCTTCCAGAACTCCAGTCCAAGGCTCCTGTGCAGCAAATGAATAGTCATGACTCATGGGAGGTGCCAAAAATGCAAGGTAAATAGAATCTGTATGTCTTGTTCCTAAACGGGTCAAATAATCCGACCACCAAACCGTCACCCTCCATCTCACTCAACTCCCTCAAACGCCAAACCCAGCCAGGTATCATATGCAAAAAGACCACGACACCGCTATTATATAGTTGCGATGCGTTCCCACGTTGCTGCCACAGCCATAAAACCCCAAAACGCAGTCATCTTCTGACTCCGTGATTGCACCTTTGTATATCGACCACAGCCAAGATAGAGGGGTGAAAAACACGGTTGAAAGGGGTATCTCATCAAAGTCGGAAACCATGCAGAGCTATGAAACAATAGAAAGAAGTCGGTTGTAGAGCCTCAAAACGAGGTTGATCAGTAGAGCGACAATGCCGACCACGGCATAAATCTGGAGGAACTCAAACTTGTAACGAGTGCGAACCTCGGTCTCGAGAAAGCCTTCCTGGTTCTTGTTGGCAGCGGTGGGCGGGCTCGCAGGGAAACGACCAGTAGAGATGTACTGCTCCATCAGAGCATCCTTCTCATACCACCGCTCCCGGAGCCACACATCGAACTGTTCGGCGCTGTCCAGGGGAATATCCGCAATACGGAATCGACGCCAGTAGAGGTTGACTGACTTTGGAGGTTGGCCGCGGAAGTAGGTACCTGAGAGAGTAAAAAGCTGCTCGCCGAACTTCCCACGACTATGACAAAGTGACCTGTCAGAGACACATCACACTCTCCACATAAGGGCAATGGAAACTTACGGTACACCTTCGTATGCCACAGTGCAATCGTATACATACTCCACAGTGCCCTTAAGTTCGTTCAGGCAAAAGAAACTACCAGTGCTTCTCGGGAGAAGCATGTGCTCCGGGTCCTTGACTCCAATCTTCTCGGCCCACCTCGCAGACTTGTTTCGTCCATTTTGCGATGCGTTTGTGCCTTCGGGGAAGAGCAGGAGCCACATTGGGTTTAGGTATTTCGTGCCATCGGGGGTCGTGTTGTATGTTTTGAGCTTGCCGAGACGGTGGGCCAGGCGTGGCTGGTCAACAGCCATCTTCCGGGACATAAAGATGAAGCCATAGAAAACCATGCCAAGTCCTGCGATAGGAATGTATTTGAGTGATTCCTTCAAGATGATGTAGACATAGCCATGCATCTGAGGGCTATTGGCGTACCCGATCCACCACAGATATAGCCAGTCAGTGTAGATCTGTGCGTTGCGGTTAGTCAGTCTGGCAACAGCGCAACAGGAAAAGACACTCTACCTGATGGTTGGCAATCATCACCATGCGCTCTGGAAACGAAAACTCAACCCTACCATCCTTCGTTTTCTTGATCTGATCTGCCACCGAGGCATCCCCACTTATGCGTATCGTGGTGGGGCCCCACCAGTTTGTGGAAGTTGTGATCAGCAGCCCAAAAGACTGTTTCGTCAAAGCCATATAGGAGTAGTAGATATCATGGTCGACGTAGTACAGCGGCGAGCCGATCAGTTGTGCAAGATGGATACTGCAAAGACCTTAGTTAACGACGAGCTGGAAGAAGGAGATGAAGTGACGAGACCTACGCAATACAGCCAGCCATAAAATAGACGAAGAATGAGAAGCCTCTCAAGAACTGGACCAATTTCCCGTGCTTTTCCTTTCCAGACGGATGGGCTGGAGCAACGGCCGAGGCCGCCGCTTTGGTATTAACCGTCATTGCTAGGTCCCGCGACGGCGGGCGAGTTACAACAATGTGTTGGACTTGTCGGCGGGTGCGGAGTGCGGAGAGGAGCTGGAATACGCTGAGATGGCAGTTTTCTCGAAGCTATTTTATGGGTGAGGCTTGTGCGAGGCAGCAACAGGTGCGAAGGTTTACGATCGTGGGAGGGTAATCGTAAAGGCAAGGTTGACGGCAAGGCGGGCAGTTGATAAGCGATACGAGGGAGCTGATGCGGGAGACGGTTAGGTCAGGCTGGCGAGCTGTCGAAGCCACCGTTGTTGTTGGGCTAATAAGGTGGTTAGTCGTAGCTCATGAGGCGCGGCCGGATGCAGTGCGTGCGGCGTGAAGGTTTCCCGAGACTCCGACCCCAACTGGCTGACATGGAAGTCTACCTGTCAAACAGCTTTTCGCACAGTTGGGCTTGAAGACATCGTCAAAGGGCCGAGGTGTTGAGATCGGAGCACACGGGATTCCCCGTCCTTGATGAAACATTGCAACTCCATTCAGGGTGCCTATCCGAGGCTGCCGTAGGTGTCGTCATGTGTGCACATGCGCATCCCACCTCGTTTGTGGCTCTGAATTCCGTCCAGGCTCCAACAGCTTGGATGCAGTCGCCCCGCCAGCCCACAACCAGCAACTTACACTAGGCGAGCTGGGCACCTGCCTGTGGGTGGAAGATCAGTAAATGCCGGCTCCGACCCGAGGAGACAGAAGCTTGGTTGGAGCTAGGACCAACGGCCAAGCCGCCAGCGGGGCCACCGGCAATTCTGACGTTTTCCATTGGTTGAAGACAGTGTGGTCCCGTAGTATCCTTATCGATACGGATAACGATGTCATCTCCCGGTCCAAGTGCTCCCCAAAGAACCGAAGTTCTTCATGGACCCTGAGTGCATGAACGAGTGCTCAAAGCCGCCGACATACACCCACTAGCTTTGGCCATTCCCTCTGTCGACTGTAAACTCGTCTTCGGGTAACAAGATTTCCCAAAGCCACAGCGCAGCTGGTTAGTCGGCCAGTCGAACATGTCACCATGTCGAGGTTGTGTTGCCCTGCTCAAGCCTTCGCCTTGCTGAACACAACCAGCAAGGTGACCAATATCACCCGATGCAGACTTAAACTTGCAGCCCAACCATGGCGGGACTTTTCCGTCTCAACAAACCGGAGGCAGATTCTTGACGTCTGAACCTTGAGTAATCGCATTGTCCCTCACTACCAGCAAAGCGAAGACGGCGTCGCTCCTCGCCTTGCACTGGCCGGAGCCACCAGCGCAACATCCTTGCTCACACGCAACATCGATTTTATCGTGCCCAAGTTGCACGCTCCTCACGTTACCGTCTCGGCCGTCGAATTCGCAAAGCACATCCACAACAATTACCCTGGGCTCAACCTCGTCTTTGAGAGCCATGTTGCTCACACCATACACAAAGACTTGCCATTCCCCATATATTCGGCCGCTCCTGCTGATGCTACAGCACTGTATGCCGACAAAATCGACCTGGTTACCACTATGGGTGGTGACGGCACCATCCTACGCGCCGCAAGTCTCTTTTCAAGCCACTTCAGTGTGCCACCAATCCTGGCTTTCAGTATGGGCACCCTTGGGTTTCTCGGCGAGTGGAAGTTTGACGAATACAAACGAGCTTTTCGAGAATGCTATATGAGCGGTTGCAGCGTCTCAACCGAGGATCTTGGGGATCCTCATACCCGAACAGCTACCACCAGGGCCATCGATGGTCTGCCAGACCCCGAGGGCTGGGATAGTGTACGGGGGAATGGAAAATGCATGGGCTTGAACCGTACCTCCAAGATCCTCCTCCGAAACCGACTACGAGTCGGCATCTACGACAGCGAAGGCCGCAATATCAACGAACACATACTACCTACATCCACAGCTGAACCATCCTTGGGTCTCGAGGGCGAACCAGTGTTTACTGCGCAGTCTTCCACGGCTGGTGCAGCAGGAGGTAGGGGCGGCAACTCACCATATTTGCACGCTATCAACGAAGTCTCGATCGATCGTGGATCGCATCCTCATCTCGCCATCATTGATATATTTGTCAACGGCCATTTCCTTACCGAAGCTGTAGCAGACGGTATCCTTATTAGCACCCCTACAGGATCGACAGCATACTCTCTCTCGGCCGGCGGCTCGATTGTTCATCCCCTTGTGAAATCCCTTCTTATCACACCTATTAGCCCGCGAAGCTTGAGTTTCCGCCCTTTGGTCTTGCCACTGCATACCAAAGTGGTGTTGAGACTCAGCAAGCGGAACCGAGGCAGAGAGTTGCCGGTCTCGATCGATGGGAAACGACGCCTAGGGGTGACGATTGGCATGGAGGTCCGAGTGGAAGGGGAGAAGCTGGAGAGAACCGAGGATGGGTGGAAGGGTGGTGTTCCTTGCGTGATTAGAGCATCGAACAAAAACGACTCGGAAGGGTTCGGAGAGGACGATGACTCGTGGGTTGGAGGGTTGAATGGGCTGTTGAAGTTCAATTATCCTTTCGGCTCAGGCTCCTAACCTTGTTGGAAGGAGCTTAACATTTCGAGGATTGTACGTGTGTATGTTGTACGACAAAAGCGAGCATGTCATTTGGGTAGGGATAGGGATGGCGAGCGGTATACGGGACCGGGTCGGCGCGCTTTGTATTGTCATTTCCTTTGCATTTATGGGCTTTGCATGGCATTTGATATGAACACTTTTGATACCCTTCAATGATAATATCTCTACTGTCTACACTCCTTTTTTCTCCTGCACTGGTGCCCATCATTTTCGACACATACCTAGCTCCTCAAAGAGAAGCTGATCACCCAAATTCCCCAAAAAAATATAAAGGACCAACAAAAGATATCGTCGCCTGCAGGATTCGAACCTACGCTCCCGAGGGAACGCCCTATGCAACTGTGTGGATAGAATCCATACTTAGCAGGGGCGCGCGTTAACCACTCCGCCAAAGCGACTTGTTTTCTTGTTGAATGATGAGTCAATCTCGGAATTCATGAAGGATGGTCCACAGCTGGGGTGGACACCGTCAACGTGGCTGCGTGTAAGTTGTGGTAATGGACAAACAGCCGAAGCGATTGGTAGGGACAATGTCACCAAATTGTTTGGCAGGCACCCCGCCCCGGCTTATCGCCATTTGGATCCGGAGACTCGCTCCAAGACGAAAAGGCGAGCTTAGTCCAAGTGCGAGGTCGTCAGGTTAGGCATACGGCACAGCGCCGAATGGTTGGCTTGCCGTTGCATTGGTCATCGCCGGGCGAATTTACCTCCGTCCATCTGTGGCCGGCCATGCCCGGCAGGGGTCCTAACTTATAAGCTGCATCTGCCGCGTTCACGAGATGATGCAAAATAGCACTTCAACTGACAGACAAAAACAAAGTTAAATTCTTTCTTCAAAATGGCACCCCCCATAACCCTCAACCGTAACTTCCCCCCCACCCCTAACCACGTCTGGTCCCCCTTCGTCAACAAACTCGAGCTCCGCCTCCGCCTCTCCTCCATCCCCTACACCATCGCCTCCGGCTCCCTACCCCAATCCCCCAACAGGAAAATACCCTACGTGTCCTACCAGCCCTCCCCAAACCACACCCCCGAACTCCTAGGCGACTCAACCCTTATCACTAAGCGGCTCATATCCGACCACCTCCTCCCCGACCTCAACTCTGCCCTTTCCCCGGCAGAAAAAGCCCTTGACCTGTCCATTAGAGCACTACTGGAAGATAAACTCCAGTTCTTCAACACCCGCGAGCAATGGGTCGACAACTACTACCCCATGAGAGAAGGAATTCTCGGTCAGGGAGGAGCGGGTCTGCCATGGGTGATGCAATGGCTTATAGGGGGGAAGATTTACAAGGATATCATCCGGACGCTCTATGGGCAGGGGACAGGGAGGTACTCTTCTGACGAGGTGAGGGTATTGAAGGAGGAGGTGTGGGAAGCTATAAATGCTTTTGTTGTGGAGGGGAGGAATAAAACTCTAGCCCGGAGGAGGGGGAATGGGGATAATGGTGACGATAAGCCGTTTTGGGTCTTGGGAGGGGAGGGGCCCACGGAAGCGGATTGCACTTTGTATGGCATGGTTGCGGGGAGGTTGATGTGTAGCAGGTGAGTTTCGCTCTGTGTCATTGAACTGGATGGATATGGCTGACGGCAATATGCAGCGCTGCTCCTGAGACGGGGAGGTTGGTGAGGGGTTATCCCGCGTTGGTGGAGTACGCGAGGAGGATTCATGATCGATACTTTGAGGAGTATGATCTTTGGGAGGAGGAAATCTAGGTTTGCCAGATACAATGAGGGTAAAAGGAGAATATATGGTAATGGAGTTGGAAAAAGAAGCAAAAGTGGATGCCCAATAACAGGATTGAACTGTTGACCTTCGCATTACTTGGTACTGTTTCCAGTATTAGTACGACGCTCTAACCAGCTGAGCTAATCGGGCTACTGATTTGAGATGTTTTCTTTGAGGAAAATAGCGCACATGAGCAATACTCGACACAGGAGCCGCATACAACGCATATAACACGTTTTCGTTAGGGTTGCCAACACACATGACCGTCTCATGTAACTTGGGATGCAAATAAACATACAGATTTTGTCTTGCAGTGACCCTCCTATAGGTCTGCATCAAGAGCAATAACGTTGGCCGAGACAAATCCCGTAACAAACAACCGCGCCTTGCTCTTGCCGAGAGAGATGAGGACAGCAGCACTTGCGCTCCTGATCCTGCTGCTGTCATCCTCAAAGATCACCCTTGTCTCCCACTGCTGCGCCTTCACACCTGCTGAAGGCTTGGTATAGAAGACTTTGACAGGATCCTTGCCAGCTGGGTCTCTGGAAGTCTCGGCGAGAGTGGCAGCCTTTGAGATGCCTGGCAACAAGAAACCACTGCGGTCATCCGAGGGGCCTGTGGCGAGAGGGTCCTTGAAGTAGCTGGGGTTGTCGACAACAGAGTCAACCTCGAGCGTGTCCAAAATGGTAATGTTGTAGTTTGAGCTACCCTTGGGTGGGAGCTGAGCAATGTGAAGGGTGCCACTAGCTGCTTGTGCGATCAAGATCTCGTCTTCGGTCCGGCCGTGGCCAAGACCGTTGTTGTTGTGAACTCCGGCGAGGGCTACACTGGCACTCAGACCAGCGTCTGATGTCTTGACTGGGCTCAAGGAATCGAGCTTGATATGCACAGTGTCTGTCCACTTGGCTCCGTAATAGACATCCTCCAACATGCGCATGATGCTATGGCCGGTGTAGTAATGATCGTTCGTGGCATAGACAGAAGTCGGGCTGGTGGCATAGACATCATTTGGCGTCCGGATCAGAGGGTGCCAAACAGATCGGATATGTCTGATCGTGTTGGTGCCGATCTTGTGGTGGAAGAGTTCGATTTGGGACCTTGCCTTTGCCTCTTCGCCTTCCGCGGTAGGGGTGGGGTCAGGAAGGTGGTTGATGGCAAAAATGTAGACGGCCTGACCAGTGGGCAATTCGGGGTCGTCGATTACATCAATGCCGTGGGTGATGAAAGCACCGTCGAAGTTTTCGAACTTGAGCCGTCGTGATTCAAGACCCTACATAAGGACGGTCAGTTGTGTTGTGACAAGTTGTTTGAGGTTGGAGCTCACCTTGGGATCAATCACATGGATGGAACCTCTACTCTCGGCGGCCAGCTTAGGATTATCCAAGTTTCCAAGCGGGGGAAACCACTGAAACCGCGTACTAGGATCATCTTCGCAGGCTGTGAAGAGGAGACCGCTCGGAACATGATGGTGAAGATCCTCGCAATGCGTTGTGTCAGGAATAGAGGTCACTTGCTGCGTGGTGCCTATGTCACCCGCAGGATAGCTTCGGAAAACGCCCAGAACAGTCACTGCACGTTGAATCAGAGGGCCTAGGGCGTAGAACTGGTAAGCGAGCAGAGCCGCAATGATAGAGTATACCGCCGACCTCATTGTGCCGGATTGTCAAGAAACATGAGGTTGAAGAAGAGAAAGAGACCTTTCTTCCAAGCGATTCTTGATGTTGGGCACGTCCAGTACTTCTGGCGTCATTCCACTGCCTCGGCATCATCCATGTCCACGCGGGGTAGGTCACCGAACATCTTTGTTGGCGACTCGCAGTTGTCGGGGAACCATTTCCGGATTTTGACGAATTAAGGTCGCCATTGTCCGTTTACTTCAACGAGGGACCCAAAAGTCAACAAACTGGAAAGCGAATCGTGGCACCTGGAAGCGAGACCCAGACTCCTCGATTGCGGGGTAGTGGAACAAGATGATGATGGCTTATGTAGAATGTTAGCGCACGGGTATGCAGTCAATATCTGTAGTGTACGGTTAGACTCCAACGACATGTGTGTGCCTCACAAAGGTCATACAATACAAGACTGGGTATCCAGAATCGTGATGATTAGGCAAATGCCTTCTTTTTTTGGTTCAATCCTTTGGAATACCACCAATACTCGGAGCTTATGGATCAGTCAGGGACAACATGTGGTGGCCTAAGGATCCCTGTACTCACCCCTCCACCCACCGAAGCTGCCCCACCTCAGAGGCTTGGTCTTGGCAGTCGCCCCGCGTTGGTTGCCTGACATTCATTCACCACCATATCAGTTCCTCTGTTGGTGCCTCGCAGGAAAACAAATGGAACATCTCTATCAGCATCGCCTCACGGATACGCCGCCAGTTCTCCTTCCTACTTGAGCTCGATCTTCACGCTACATGGCAGACAAAATTTCTGACACCGAGGCCCCCTCGGGGATAACAGCCTCGCGTCTTTTGGACCAACTCGAGTCGCCCCTGTTTGGCAAGCTACCTGCCGAGTTGCGAGCTGTCATCTATACCGAGATCTTTGGCGGTCAACGCATCCATCTAAATTTCACAACTCACCCCATTCGCGCTGACAGGGTAGGTCTCAGGAAGCGCTGGCGCCACGCCATCTGTGAGCAGCCAGTTGCTGGCCCCTTCAGCGAGGTTACATCACGCCAGCATCACTGCTTTCTTGCCAGTCGCCGACGAGTGCTGGATATCAACCTTCTCTTCACTTGCCAGCGAGTGTAAGTCTTTGCTGTACAAACTCTGGGTCAGGTAAGCTAAACTGCATGTAGATTTGAAGAAGGGATTCCCATACTGTATCAGTCCAATACCTTTCACATCGTCAACATTGGCACCGAGAGGCTTCCGTCAGATGATCTGCGGAGCCTTCAAGTAAAAATACCCAAGAATTGGGGGCTCATCAGATCCTTGGAGTTCAAATGGGAAGTCAACATTTTTGATCGGAACCACCCCAGGTTTGTTCCGCATCACTGGGGGCGTGATGGCTACGAAGCATTCTGGGACGGTCTCGCCGATATGCCGTTACTGTCTCAGCTGCGTATTTCCATCATCATGCCGCAAATCCTCATGCTCGCGTCGCCTGAGGAGCTTCGAAAGCTTTATTTTGAGCCTATAACGCGCCTCAAGCATTTACGGATATGTGAAGTGATCCTACCGAGATCGTACAGCTCGCATTTTGGCATGAGCCCGGAGGATCAGCGCCTTCCTATTGATGGAGATGGCGATTACCGCATCAGCTGGGCCACTGTTGATGATGGACGTCCACTGGCTGCTGCAGCTGCCAACCCTGCGTCCATTCAACTCCTGCGAACAGCTACTTCCCACACACTGTCAGCGCCTCCAGGCTGGTCATAAGGATTCATCTCTGGTTTATTTGAACGGAAACTGCCGAGACCACTTCAAGACTATATATGCACTGGGGTTCCCGGTGGACACTCCATAATCCAATCACCATCTGCTTGGGCAAACCATGATGCATCCATCATGGACTGATGTGCAAACTTCGGTGGCTCAGCCGCAACGACCCAGTCTTAGTGGAGGGTTGGAAGGAATGTGCCGCAAAAGCCACTCATCACCTTCTTTACACGGCCCAGCCTAGACATATCCCGAAGCCGACTCCCGAATCTGGTCTGGAGGAGACTTATAGAGTACTAAGGAAATATCGAACCGATGCCAGAGAGCACAATGACACAAAATCCGGAAGTAATGCAGCTGTGATCTTACCCTGGTCCTACTCTGTCTTACAGGATGATACATAATACTCGTGTGGTTGCGATGCTGCTCAGCCTTATCGCCAGCCGATGTAACCTCAACACTCGGGCATGCTCTGAATAGGGCAAGCTCATTTACCGAACGCTTTTCTGCAGCTCCCCGGTCTCATTATGAGTGGCTGAAAATACGTCTGCATCCCGAGTCCCTGCAGAATGTGGACAACCCGGACCCAGCCTCATTGGCCTGGCACGTCTGGGCTGTGTCCAAGACAGCGGCAGCCCTGGTGCTGACTGCACAGTACGGTCTGGGCATGTTGAGGATGGTTAGCTGAGACAAAGCTAGAGTCTCTAGTAGGCATGTTTCTTCGTTCCATAAATACTGCGCCGTCACCATGGCTGGCCGGTCCATCATATCTCTTCACCCTCTACTCAACTACCAGTCAACATGTCACGAAACTTGGCAGAAAGCATCCCCTTAGTGAACAGGCTTTTTGCCTTGCTCGAGAGCTATTGGCAACAGCAACTGGACCCGGCTCTCCCCACACCACCAGCTGAGATCAAGGCCATCGTCCCAACCCAGCAATCGATTCTCAAACACCTCTCAGAGAGAGAATATCTGAAGCAGTTAGCACCGAAGTCTGTCAAGGATGCCTCGTTGTTGTCATTTGACCCAGGTGTTTTTGACAATGAACTCCTGAAGTTGAAGCTTTACTCTACTGTCGACCCTAAGGATCCCTCCCACGCCAAGGAGCCCGAAGGCGACATCGTAGAGGGCACTTACATGGGGACTCAGATTGCTCTAACCCAAGCATACGCCAAAATCGAACAAACGTGAGTCTCTCCTCAAACGAGAATGTCCGACAGATACTCACATCATGTCCTAGATTTTCTGCGCTGTTCGATGTTCTAGGCATTGAGCCAACACTGCCTCGGTATATCCCCCTCGAGGAGCAGAAGAAGCTCTACAACTACTCGGCGTACCCCAAGAATGCGGATGGAACGCCTGCGCAGTATCCTCCCCACCTTCAGACGATCCCTCCGGAGCACAGTTACACACCTTTTGGTATCTTCAACGCGATTGGGCTCATTGAGACTCAAGTCATTCTCAAGAAGATCACACCAACAGAGGATGGTCTGGTTGGCAAGACGAAAGAGTGGCTGCTTGAGAAGGCCAGGGCAGCAGCCTTTGGAGGCGATCCTGAGAAGGGGATCAAAATCCAGGACGTTGTTGACTACAACAAATACCACCGCAAATTCGGCACTGACATCAGCAACGGCGGAAATATCGGTCTTTTAGACGACTGGTACAGCGATCGTCGGTTTGCTGATCAGCAGTTCACTGGAGTCAACCCTACCACCATTACCAAAGCCTCGCCAGCATGGATTGCCGACTTCACCAAGGCGGCCAAGGATGGTGGGTACAACAAATGGCTAGACTTCTTCGCCAAGGTGGACAAGTCTTCCCTATTTGTGCAGGACGGCAGTTACTTTCGCAAGGCTTTTGGCATCTCAAATCCAGAACAGGTGCTCCATCATAAACAGCCTGGAAGCGATGACAACTGGTGTGTCGGGGCAGTGACCCTGTTCCAACTTCATGATGACGGCAAGCTGCACCCCATCGCCATCTGCCTTGACCATAAGGGTTCGATGGAGAAGTCCACCACCATCTTCAACAAACGCATGACACCATACGACTCAACCGCCGGTGAGAAGGAGGATTGGCCATGGCGATATGCCAAAACAGCCTCTCAGGTTACCGACTGGATGCGCCATGAGCTTGCCGTGCATCTTACGTTGTCTCATCTTGTCGAAGAGTCGATCATCGTCGCCATCAACCGAACCATTCCGATGGATCATCCCCTGTACCGTTTGTTATTGCCTCACTGGTACAAGACCCTCTCCCTCAATGCTGCTGCTCGTGCCAGTCTTGTACCCCAGGTAGTAGCGGACATCGTCGGCGTGACTCCAGACCAAGCCTACAGTTTCATCCGCGACGCCTACGACACATACGATTTCGTTGGCAGCTATGTTCCCAACGATCTCAACCGGCGTGGCTTTCCCAACACACAAGAGGGACTCAACCACACTCGCTACAAAAACTACCCCTATGCCAAGAACATGCTTGCTCTCTGGCACGTTCTGAGAAACTACGTCAACTCCATGCTCAGAATCTCGTTCCCCACGGATGAGAGCATCGCAAATGACAAGTACATCCAGGACTTTGTTAAAGAAGTCAAAACAGCCGGCTTCATGCCCTCTTTCCCGGAGCTCAAGACGCTCGATGCCCTTGTCGACGCTGTCACCATGTGCATTCATATCGCCTCCCCTTACCACAGCGCTGTCAACTACCTGCAGAACTTCTACCAGGTCTTTGTTGTCTCCAAGCCCCCATGCTTGTGTAAGGAGCCCCCGACCACAATTGGGGGCAGCTCCGCCAGTTCAACGAGTCGGACTTGGTGGCTTCACTTCCTATCAACAGACAACGACAGTGGCTTCTGGCTGCACAACTGCCTTGGCTGTTGAGCTTCAAGGTGGATGATGAGAGGAGCTTGCTCAATTATGCGGCCAGCCAGTGGAATGTGTACCGGTACAAAAAGGGGGCGAATGAGCTGAAAGTTAAGGAGGCGAGCCAGAGGCTGTATGAAGACTTGCAGGGACTGCAGAGGGTCTTTTTTCACAACAGCACGGGAATGGATAAGGGGAGTATTCCGTATATGGTATTGGATCCGGGGTTGACGGCTGTTTCTATTCTTATCTAGTGTCAAACTGTGGGTTGAGAGGGGGGATATTCCGCAGACTGTTGTAGGATGTTGGGTTATTTATGATGAGTGAAAGGAGCTACCAGGCACAAATAATACGATAATTATCTCTCGTTCATCTCAACCTTTCCATCAATGCAGTTCAACTTAACCCCACCAAGCCACCTGACCCTGACCCACCTGACCCTCCACACTTTGTTTGATCCCTGCATGAGCGATAAGATAAGCCCCATCTCTCTCCAAGGGTCCACCAAAAATTATTCCCATCGCAACCTTGACGGCCACCTTCACCCTCCACCCTCACAAATCCCATTCAACCCTCCCAACAGCAACCATGCCCTCCGTCAAAAACCCCAACAAGCCCTCCAAGAACAGGCTCGCCGCCAAGGCCGCCAAAGCCCGGAAAGAGGCGCAAAAGTCCTCCGCCGCTGGCCGCCTGTCCAAAATCGAGAAGACTGACGCAAACAGATTTGGCGCCCGCCCGGGGTTGATGCCTACGAGCGGCCCGAGAAAGCCGGTGAGCGCCAAGAAGCAGAGGAAGTTGGAGAAGAAGATGGGGTATGCGCTTAAGAGGAAGATGGAGAGGGAGGGGGAGGTGGAGATGAAGGGTATGTGACCTGGAGATATTGGGGGGGTACAGGGAGAGGGTTTGCTGACTGGAATATAGATGCGGTTGTGGTTGAGAAAAAGGCTGAGGGTGGTGAGAAGGAGGAGGTTGAGATGGATATCTCATGAGTGGGCTGAAAGGGGACGATTGGGGGACGAAACATTGATGATACCCTTTGGTGGAATTTACCGCTGAGCGACAAAATCATGGACCATTGACTGTGGTTGATGGGATATGTCTTGGGACGCCAACTTAAGAGAGCTGCATCGGGCCTTGGAATTCCGGTATGGGGAACTTGGTGGGAGATCTGGACCATGCCCGCTTTCCCAGGGACACGCTCACACGGGGAACCAGGTGAGAAATGTCTTTCTCATTGTTGGACTGGAATGGTCCTGGAAGACCTGTTCTGGCACTACTAAACAGTGCGTTGGTCATGTTTGCGGGTTTCACAAATGATTAGATACCAACAGTGAAGCAACGCGTCATGGTGGTCTAAAAAGAGAATCTCGATCGAGATCTTCGTCATTCGCAGATCAAAGTACTCAACATGGATTTCACGACTTGCCGTTTGTTCAATCCACCTCAGACAATCGTTAGGTCCTCCTTCTCTGTGAACCATCAGGCAGGCCCATCAAACATACTGCTGTCTGAACCTATGTTAGCTCCTCCGTTTTCCCGGCGATCAATGTATGCCGTCATGTCATCCACTGGGTATATCAAGCCAACCCGCTGCCACGCCGAATGCGTCGTCAGGCGCCTTGGTCTCAATACAAGAGCAATGACCAGGAAATTTTTGGGGTTCAGAGTGGCTACAGGTATATCATAGAGCGGTCCAGCATGCAACTTGATACGCTCGAGCAAACTCAGGCGTACCTCATCACCGTCTTTCATCGGCGCTACGGCCAGCGGAATGCCAGGCCAGAACTTCTGCCGTTTTGAAGTGGCCACGTGCTCTATCAACCACCGACCGTCTGTCTGCTCCGACACTCGACCTCGACTAGTCCATGAGCGCAGTTTAATATGTCCGCCGGTAACTCTCCCATATGGGTCTACTCCTTCAGGTACCGAGGAGCATTCTAGCAGCTCACAGGACGTCCTTCCTAGGTAACCTAGGTGGCTGTCAAAGAAGCGCCTGACCTTCAAAGGATCTCGGAATGTAATGGGCCCCTCGATAGATGCCCAGCTGAAGCTGGGGGCACGGTACAGTGCAGGCCGTGGCGCAAGATGAGAAGTGCCAACCCAATACAAGGCTTCTGGGATATGGGAGGACCAAATCCCCCCGCGATACGTGTTTGTGGAGCTTTCCGTCGACATCATAGACGTCGATCCTGCGGATGCAATTCCAGAAAGGGCGGGAAGTCGGTCCATCTCGTACGTCATTGCCAGACGGCTGAAGAACTCGAATATCATCCTCCAGGCCTCGTGAATGGTGTCGGGGTGATCGTCGGGTTTTGCCAGATCTCTGAGGCTACTAACGCTGGTAGTTGGGCCTTTTGACGTGTACGTTCCCGTCATGAGAGATATGAACCGCTTGCGCATCATCTCAAATGGATAGTCTTTTGGTATTGTCCTCTGACGCTGGTTGAAACCTGGAAGAGGATTTTCCTGGACCTCGACCGGCGCCGCCAGGTATGCTGGCAAGCCATTATCTTGTTTTTTGGGGTCATCTTCGAAGATGAAGACTTCTGTCCAGAATGCGCGCCGACACTCCCATGCCATCTGAGTTTTGCCGAAGTGAAGTACACGAGGGCTTACCAACCGCTCCTGGAACGCCCACACCCGCGTAAGCAATGGGTATCCTGTCAGAGTTTGGTCAGAGCTTGAGATGCCGTATGGCGAGATGCCGCGAATGTCATCTGGTGGGGTCAGGGCAAACCAACGACGAAACCCGGCAACCTCGACACTCACCGGCGCCCATAGCTTGTCATCCTTGACAGTTCGGCCGGACCAGTGGTAAGGAATCTCATGAAAGCCTGCGAAACAGCCGCAGTCACCATCAGCAGACCCAGTAGCCGCCAATGTGAGGAAGGAGTTCTGGTATATGCTTGCCATCTTGCTAGATTCACGTTCCCAGTCGCTCTTGTCATCCTGTATGATGCAAAGACTATCGATCCAGAGGTAGCCTACTCCAAGACGGCGGGTTATCATGGCTGCATCTCTGAATGTCCTTGGAAGCCTTCCAAGGGAAAAGCCCTGACGCCATCCTTTCACATTTTTCAACGTTGCTTCAGCCTGCTGGGTTGTTGTCCGACCCCAGCAATGACTTAGTGCCAGATAATCGGGAAGGGTGTGACTTTTGGACGACACAATGTCTTTGGCGTCAACTAATCGTATCATGTCCTCAGCCACACTTAGCAACCGAAATGGAAGCGTGATAGGGGCATCTGGAAAACAGCCCGATTCATGTAGGGCACGGCATTGAGAAATCCATTCAAGAATGGTCGAAGTACAATGGTCGACGTGGTGTTGGATTTCATCTTGTGAACAAGCTAGTGAGCAGAGGGCGTAAAAAGGTGTTGAGATTGAAGTGACCTACCCGGCGAGGCCAATGAGACTAGACGGATAGTCGACATGGCGACATTTTTGAAAGAGAAAAAAAAACATCAAAACTTCCGGCATTCTTCCCTCTTCCGTTTCTGGATATGTCGACCCATAGTTCTCTTCGGACATAAAGTCAAAAGGCTTCATGATTGGACCCATACATTCGATTGAGATGTTCTTTGGGTCGATGCCGCCCTCTGGGAGATGATACATGTGGGAGAAATGCAAAGCGCCCTTGGCTATGACAGAGCATTGATGACATGAGGAGGCCAACAATATCGCTACATCGCTGTGGTAGCTGTAGGTTGGTCGAGGGAGGACCACTGAAGGAGTCCAATCGCTGCGGCGGGGGTCTTGGGTAGCAACGATGCATCGCCGACATCGAGTGGTAGATCTGTCTGACGCCATGGTATGGCGTAGATGAGGACTGTAAGGTATTTGTTCAGAATGCGTCTTGGAAAGATTCACGCGATTTGATGTGTTGATTGCAGGCAACACTCAGGATTTGGGGGTGGCAGTGCGATCAGCTGCCTCGTCTTGATTGCAGTGGCAGTCATGATGATTCCAAGAATTCATTTGTGAAAGCCACCTACCCAAGGTAAGCAACATAGAACATCAAATCCTCTAAGCACCACGAGATGCAACCGATCCTTCAACCAAAACAACACCTCACAAAACCATTTCAGAGTGGCCATTAAGCCGCTCCACTGCCGCTATCATCACAACTCAACATTAGGTATCTCTCGGGCTTCCCAGATAAACTACCCTTCATAGTATGCCCGGATTTGCACTCGACCCGTCCACTCTCCTCGCCACCTTCTACGCTCTTCCCAACGTCCTACTTCTTAACCTCCACCACCTCCTCCTCCTCCACCACCACCACCACCTCCTCCTCCTTCCTCATTCTGAACACTGACCTCTCCTTTCTTCATATCCTTGTCGTTCCCTTAACCCGATCCGAATAGACTGCCGTCTAGCTGTTTCTCCTGTCTTTCTAGCACAGCCTGATCATATCTCAATCTCACAAATCACCCTACACATATCATGATTCACTAACCTCACCCAGGGTCTCCAAGAGCAAATAGCGTCTTTCTCGCTTCCCCATTGGCTCATCGCTCTGGGTGCGGTCGAACTCACTACACAACCTTTCATACGCCTCCTCAAGGTCCTTACGATCACATTGGCCCATCATGACACGACGGGGCATGTTCTCGAACCTGTTCTAATAAAGATTTTCCATTGTAAATGCTGGGTCGGTTATCAGTGTTGTGACGTGGTGGTTGTTGTTTGCTCCAGTTGTGTTTTGCGCAGGTGATCTGGGAAGGAAGGGCTGTAAATCGAAGATGTAGGGTAGCGAATGGGCTTCGGAACAATATCAACAGCGCATCGTCTCACTCTTATAGCTCCCTGCCACACCATCAGGCTTCCACGACGGGTTGCAGATGTCTTCTACTGACAACCAGACGGTCTCTAGCCGAGTCAAGGGACAACAAAGGCGAGTATGTGATTACTAGACAGTTCATCAACATCCTTTGACTCATCCACACAAACAAGCACATCTTGCAGAACAAGCACCTAGACAGATTCATCACAAACAATACGACCAATTCTTCGTGCTTCCACGTGTGATAGCCTTCGGCACCCAGGCCACAAGCAGCCTTTCACAAGAAAAAGTACCTTGCCACCAGACGGCCTCTCCTCTACACTACCAGTGCAACTCTGTCCTTCCTTCAACGCTATCAGCCCATAGTCAACACTACCGAAAACATCCTGCACAGCAATATCACATCCTAGAATCATCCATCCCAACCTTCTCACAATCCCCCGTCGCCTTTAGCCACCGCTTATTCCCCTCCTCCCCCTTCACCCTCTCGATCTCCACAACCCCCCTCAACCTCCCATGTTTTAAAGCTCCCATCACTACCCACCCTCATCAACCGCCCTCCTTCTCATCCCCCCTTCCTCGTGAAACACCCCCATCCCCAGTAGCTGTCCCATCTGAACCTCCTTTCCCATCTGAACCGCCCCCATCTGTCTCCCCTCTCCAATTCTCCCCCGTAGAAACCCACCCCCCGTTCTTCTGGTCCTCTCCGACTCCTTCTACTTTCTCTCCCACTCAGCCTCCTTCGCCGCCGTAAGTTCCGCGAGCGCGTCCACGATCCTCTGCCTGCTTTCGGAGTTGGTGGTGGTGGAATCGAGTTTCTCTGACATTGTGCTTGCTGATACAAAGTAGGTGGTGGTGGTCAAAATTGGGGTTTAGTTAGGGCCTGCCGACTTTGGATGATGGGCGTGGTTGGTATAAGGGATGTCTTGACAGGGGATGAACGGAGAGAACCCCCACACCCTTGTATTCCATCAGGCTTGGTGTTGTTTGACTTGTAGCAGTGTTCCTTGACTGACTCGAAAAGAGTCCTGAACAAAATCACTCCCATGACCAGACCAGACAACCATGTTGCAATCACCGTCTTTCTTGTCTATTCACAAACCACAAACATATCCTACCTGACCAACATCCGAAGAAAGAATTCGCTCAATTACATGTCAACAATACAAACCCGAAAGGTAATAACACTAACCACACACACACACACAAAAGCCCAATCTTCCCTCCCTTTTGTCCCTGTAAAATCCATCCCTTTCCCTGAGCGCTCAACAGCAAAATGACAACAACGCCCTATTTTTGGCCTTTCATAGGACCCGTCCTACAATGACACCACGACACCCAATCCCACCACCAACAATCCTCCCTCACAAAAGACAAAAGAGATCCCTTTCATATCCTCACTCTTTTCCTCTCACCTCTATCCTCTTCCTTACAAAAGCACCATACCAGCACCAACGCCCATAGCAACAACCACATACGCCCCGACAGCCAAGTCACCAATCGTAAACAGGTGCTTCATGGGGATAGGCACGGCAATATTCTTGCTCGTCTCTGACCCACCCTGGGTATTGCTAGCAGCCTCGCTGGCCTCAGCCAGGCTAGCCTTGCACCGGTCATCAGCCTCGGCCGCCTGGATGGTGGCCTGCCCCTTGAACTCGCAAGCGCCGCTGGCCTGGTTCTGGGAGTTATAGTACTCGTTGAGAATATACCCCAACTTCTGCTTATCTCCGCACATAGAGAAGGGTCCGTACACGCCCGAGGTGACATTGCCGTTGATGCCGTCGCACGCCTCGGGAGTCTGGTCGCAGACATAGTTGAAGATTTTGCCAAAGTCGGTGGTCTTGAGGTTGTCCGAAGGAACGCAGGTCAAGGACTTGTACATGCACTCGCAGAGGTCGTTGTTGGGGGTAGGGGGCAAGCGGTCGCCGCTGACGACCCACTTGGAGTTGACCGTGGGGCAGGCGGCGGGGGAATTGGTGGGATTGTAGGCGTCCATCTGGGTGGGCGAAGGGCGAACGGATGCCATGGCGGTCGAGAGAGTGTCAAAGTCCTTCAACTTGGAGGCGGTGCTGCCCTTGATTTGGACCAGACCTAAATGAAAAGTCAGCACAGGCATGTCACAAATAAGGGGTGCGCAGAAATACCGTAGTCATTCTCCTCCTGGTGGTACATGTAAACAATGCCGCCGCTAATAACGCCAGTCATTTTATCAGAGTAGAGGGCAGTAGTCTCCTCCCAGATACGACCCTCAGCACCGTGGGGAATGTTGCAGCCATATTCGGCAAAGAAGACAGGCACCGAGTACCCCTTGAAGAACTCGACCTGCTTATCATAGCCCGAATCCGTGAAAGAGCTCTCGCCGCACCACGAGTAGATGTTGTATCCCCAGTAATCGATGGCCTCGCTCTGGTTGCCGCAGTTGAAGTACTTGGCAATGTTTTCACGGATATCGGCGTCATCGTTGGCAGCATAGCCAACGCCCAACCAGCGCTTGGTGGTGGCCTTGATGTGGTTCTTGGTGTCGCGGACAGCGGCCTTGACGTAGGCAGAGGCATCAGTATTGGTGGCATTGTTGGTGACCTCGTTACCAGCGAAGAAGCCGATCACGTTGCTGTACCCGCTCAGGGCGTCGACGACATCAGTGTATCGCTTGAGCAACTCGACGTCCCACTTGGGGTCGTCGCGGTTGACCGACAAGCTTGGCTCGCTAAGATCGCTGATGACATAGATGCCGGCGTCGTCGAGAAGCTTCATGCACTCGTCGTGGTTCTTGGTTGGGTCAATGGCATAGGTACGGATGGTGTTGGTACGGAGTTGCTTGAGAAGGGGGACGTCGCGTCTGCAGCTGGCGGGATCGGCAAGAGGGTCGCTGTACTTGGAGCTGCCGGTGGACTGGCCGGAGGCGGCGCTGTCTTGCTGGTAAGCAACACCCTTCATGAAGAATTGGGTGCCATTTTCGTAGAAGAATTTGGACCCCTATGGAGGAAATGGTCAGTGAGAAGAGCCATTGGAGGCGGCGCAAAGGTGAGGTGCAGACTGTCGCGACTACACACCTTCATGACAATGGGAGGAAGTTCGGCGGCCGCCTGCCCTAGCAGTAGGGAGGCGGAAACGAGAGATGTTTTAGAGAATCGCATTTTGGTGATGTTCTGGTTGTGGTTGCGACAAGCGCGCAGTGTGAGCCTGTTGATGGATTGTCTGTTTTGATGTGGATGTAGTTGTCGGGCGGTTGGAATGACGTCTGAGACGGATTGATTCACTTGGCGCACGCTGTCTCTGCTGGCAAAAAAAATCCGGAAAAGTGAAGAAGATGTTGTGTTCAACGAAAGTCAGAATGAAGCAGAGGGGGGGGGCCGTAACGAGTGGCACTGAAACAAGCAACAAGAATGCAGTTCCCTCTGCGATATTAAACAATTTGCAACTGAAACGATGGTAAGAAATGTGCCAGAAGTTGACTGGAGGAAGGAAAGAGAGAGAAAGATTGACGGCAACACGGAGGACGAGTCGAGGGCAGGACAGTATCAAAAATGGGCAGCAGCGGCGGGCGGGAGCAAGGCACTGGGTCCAATCATGTCAATTTGGCCCCATCCCAACTCCACTGGCACTGACAGCGACCGATAATAGCTAGCGGCCGGGCTGTGTTCGGGTACACGGCGAAGATGGAGGGTGGGATATCGGGGTACTTGGAGACAGACCAGTCAATGCATAATCCCGACAAGTACACAGCTACCAAACCCAATGGTTCCATCATAATTTCGTTTCATCAGCTTGCGCTGTGACTGCTATCCAACGGCAGGGTTCTCCTTTTGCAGGCGCGCAGCTCGTGTTTCCCCTGTGCCGGGTGTTCCGCGTGGCAAGCAATGGCTGGAGAGCGATATTCACAAGAGCGTCGTCAGAGGTTTCGCGAAAAAACCCTTGTTTGCAGCATCTGGCGAGATCGTCGAGGGCTTTTCTTGGAAATGCTTGAGAGGTCTTGGAAAATGCTTGGTTGGTGAAACAAGACTTTCGCCTTCATCTTGGCTCCTGCTTGGCGGTCTGGGCAACATCCTGGGCACGGTGCTCCGCTCTGGCCTTTTGCAACGCCTTCGGTTGGCAGCTCATCTCCGGCTCCATGCCATGTGCCATGCCACCGCAGGAAAAAGGGGAGCAGAAGGCCGATGGCGCGTTGGTTCGATCGAGAGTCACAGCTGCATAAAAATCTATATGCAAACGAATGGGACGATCTGAGGAGATTGATTCTTCGTGGGGCCTTCAGAGGCACAGAGGCCGTTCGGATAACCCTTTGGGGTGTTCTGCTCACCAAGCTGTCTTGAACTTGATGAAAACCAGGTTGTCATCGACATGACATCCTCCTCTTTTCTGTGGCTTGCAGTTTTCTGCGCATCTTGGCGCCGAGCCGGCCCCGCGCTCTCAGCACTTGGCAGCCGCCTGGGCGTTGACGTCCTGACATCTCCCGTTTGTTGACGTTTCCGCTTGGATCCCAATTGCAGCAATATCATGTTCAACGCTCAGTGAGCTTGTTTATTTATTTGTTTGGTATCGCCACCTTCAATCTCCACCATCGGCATCATGTTGTCCAGAGACACGAGCCAGGGAACAGAGTTGCTGTCTTCTTCTACTCATCACATCAATAGTTCCTTTCTGGCCACGGGTAATCTGCTGCCATGAAGCCCCTGTCCGCCCTTCCATCTCTGACATCTGGCCTGGCCATATCCAATCCACAACCCACCATCAAATCCCACCGCCACAACCCCGACGTATGTCCAATGCCTTGTTCTGTTGGTCTGCCACTCCCTCCTCCGCTTGCCCGTTCGTTTTTCCTTGGGTTCGGTCGTCAAGATACCTGCACAAGAAAGACGAGATGTCAGCTTCATGCAATTGAAGAAAAGCTCAAAGAAAGCAGACGTGTATCAGGGTAAGCCCCACAGCCATCTTAATATTTTCTCTTCGGTTTACTTTGCAACATGTGAACCATGTCTTTTCCCAAATTTGGCATGGTTCTCCGGAAAGCAAGCTCGGTGCAGTTTCCTTTATAATCAATAAGATAGCCGTGAAACAATAAGCGCAAAGACAAAACGAGAAAATGCTCTTGCCTGGAAGGGTGTTGTGTTGCTGGTCCCCATGCCGAGTGGGTTGTCTTCAGGAGGGAATGTGAAAGGAAGACGCGGAATGGGAGGCTGTTAACCCGGAAGTCAAGGAAACTCTGCAGATGCAAGGAGCTCAAGTCAGCAAAACAACTCAAACCACCCAAGAACTGGATAGAGGAAGTGAAGGTAAGCAACATCAGAACACCGATGCAAAAGCGTCATCGGTACGCCAGGTTGGCGTGGCCTTAATCTCTTGAGAAGTATCATCATAGAACCCGAAGGATGGAGGGTGTTGAGACCGGGGGGTGTCCTACCTGCTTGTGGTGTTTCTAGCGTGTGGGAAGCTCGTCGGGATCTGTCAGAGACCCGAAAGGTTAACAAAGCCGTCAAGCAAACCAGCTTGAAGGTGCAGCCAGAAAAGAGGGCTCCATCAGAGCGACAAGTGTTGTTTCATGATCACCGCTGTGTGGTGTGATGCTCAAATGGAATGAGTACACGTATATGAGTGTGTCATCATGAATGTCGGAGGCATGGCGGTGAGGGAAGGGGGTGGTGTTCTCACCTTTGAAGGGAGTTCTGTCTCGTAGGTAGACACGTGGGCATCGATCTCGGCTTCATCTGCTTTGGCAACAGACACCAGAGGTTAGTAAAGTAATCTTCTCAAATTGTGCTGGGTGTGCAATCAGGAGAGACAGCTCAGTCAAGATAAACTGTGCTTATAAATGAACATCATGTGCACGCCAGTGAAGGGGTGGTTGTTCAGTTTTCTCATCATGAGAGCCTTGGTGAGTGAAGGAGAGAAGTGAGGACTTACTCGGTCGGTTTCTTGCCTGGGGCTCGTCTATGTATGCTGCTCAAGATCCACCAAGTTGTTAGCATGGCTCTCTTGGGGTTGGGAGGGGCCGGGAGAAGATACTTGCCTTGCTGCTGAACTCACCTCAATCTACTGAAGCACCAATGACCAAGGTAGGTAGTCAGTGCTGAAACACCAAAAGTTAGCAAGGCTCCAAAGCCAAGAGTGAAAAGAGGCGGGTGAAGATGACTCTGTCAGATCTACTGCGAATGGTAATCATGGCATGCCCACCAGCAACGGGCGTGATGCTCAGAGAGCGATTCGTGTCATCATAGGAGCCGGGGTTGGATATGTGCTTGGCAGTGGTCTCGGTAGTGTCATGACACTTACTTGTTGAGGGAGCACGAGGTCAAGAGGGGTTGGTCTGTCAAAACACCAGATGTCAGCAGGATCGTCAAAGTCAAACGTCATAAAAGACGGGAAGAGATAGCTCTGTCAGATCAAATTCCTTGTAATCATGTTGTTACCACCGAGAATGGGTGGTATGTTCAGTACAACACTGTTTGGTCATCACACGAGCCGGGGTTGGGAGTGAGCCGGGGTTGGGAGTAAGCCGGGGTTGGGAGTGTGCCGGGGTTGGGAGTGTGCCGGGAGGAGTGCCAGGGGCATGACACTTACTCGGTGAGAGAGACTGGTGGGAGAGACTGGTGGGAGAGACCGGTGGGAGAGACTGATGGGAGAGACTGATGGGAGAGACTGATGGGAGAGACTGATGGGAGAGACTGCTGAGAGAACTTAATGTCATGAGGATGTTCGTCTGTCCAAGAAATACAGGTTAGCAAGATCTCCGTCAAGAATAGCTGGGGGGGGGAAAGAGAAAGGCGTTCAGTCAGATGAAAACTATATATTTTGGGAGTCCATCCTCTCCACACCAATGCTGGGGGTGAGTTGACAAAGTTTTTATCATCATGGTCACTGTGAAATGATCACAACGAGAAAGAAGTCAACGCATTCGCTGCTCACATTTTTGGTATGATGATGTGGATGGGAGGTTGGGATGTTTGGGTGCCTGGCATGTTGCAAATTAGCTCTGTACCAAAGCCAGGAAGGTCAAGAACAATGAAGAGGAAGTGTAGTTGACTGTGTCAGAGAGAAACGAATAGAAGTGTCAATCATATGGGTTGGAACCACCCAGAGCTCTCAGTGTTCAATGTGTTTTAATCATCATGGTGTTGGTGTCAAATGATGCTGCGAAGGAAGACTTACCGGCTTCTGGCCATGATAGCCGTAGTGTCTGAACTCCGAGTATCTGTGATGTTCCATGGCCGGCTGTGTCATCGAGTAGATGTGATCAGGTAAAGAGGCTATGATGTCAAGAGATCATTCAGATGAAAAAAGTACGACTCGTCGAGAACATCATGGTGTGATGGTCAGAACAAAATGTCATCATTCAAGCTGGGGTGTTGAGGGGCATTGAAACCAAGGGAGTGGATCCTACTTCTTGCTGTGATCGTCATCATCGTCGTCTTCGGCTATGTTTGGACCACGGCAGTCAGCTCTCTGACCAAAGGAATCATGTCAACAGGAATAAGGGGGGGGCGACCTCCTCAGAGCAAGCAAGTAGAAATCAACTCATGCCCGTGTCGGGGCAGTGATCATGAAGCGAGTGTTGTCATCATGATGGCCGCTAGAAGTGTGTAGGTGAGAATAGTGAAGTGAGATACTGACCTGATGAGCATGGCAGCAGGGTTGGAAATCCAGAGCTATCATTTCCTTGTTGATTCGGAGGCATCGCTGGCATCAGGTGGAGGCTCGAAGTGTAGAGGCGTGGTACCCTAGGGTTTGTCTCGAATCTGAATAGAAATATGTCAGCGTATGAACCCAACAGCAAACGAGCTACGATAGACATTGTAGAAGGAAGAGGGCTGTCAGATTGTTTGTTGATCTCAGGTGGCCTCAAAGAAGGTATGAGACCCATTGAATACAGAGAAGATAAGTAAACTCATCATGAAGCTGTGGAATAGAGACAAATCTCGGACTGGGATCACTTGCCTGCTCGGGTTTGTCTTGCCTCTTCATGTGCCAAATGACCATGACCGACATCGTCGGGAATTGACCTGTGCTTCGATCTGCTTGGGAAGGGAAGCAGTGAGTCGTGACCGAAACAGTACTTGTCAGTAATCCACGCGAGGTGAGGATGGTGTCGACTGTCTCCCTGGAGGGAGTCGAAGGATCATGTGGTTGGAAAACAATTGGTAGACTGTCACGAGAAAAAGTTAGCAGGTCAGATATCTCAAGAATCAATGGCTAATAGAAGAGGAGTGACGAAAGGCTTGTCAGATCATGCTTGTGTGCTTCAAAGTCGGGAGACTCAGTCCCAAATCCCATTTCGGTCATCATGTTGGCTGCAATGTCTTGTAGTGCTGCGATAGGTTTTCTCTTGACATACCGACTAAGGACATGGGAATAATGCCATCGAGGCATATGGGAAAACTTATGATGATCAGATCGAGTCCTGATCAATGTGACGATGATCAGCCCATGGGTCTATTGGAAAGGCAAAGAGAAGATGGATAGACATACCAATGGCGATGATGATTAGGCGAGTACCTAAGACGATGGAGTTGCTCAGAGCGATCCAAATTGGTTGCTCGAGTACCGTAGTCCTGGTCTGACGAAATAAGAAAGAAGTTGCCCACGCCTACAAGGTCAAAGAAGATGATGGGGTGGACAAGCGAGGGGTCAAGAAATGGGGAGCCAGAGGCATGGGCCGGGGGGTCTCGGCGAGGGGACAAGCTGCCGCATCCTTCCGGCTTTACAAGAAATCTCGATGCGGGTTCTCTTCAAATAGAAGACAGCGGAAAGCAACAGAGAATATGCTGATACATAGGCCTTCTCCCAATGTGGAAGACGAGTTTTACGGCCATCTACAAGGAGAAAATCAGTAGGAATGAAAGGGGATAGGGAGTCGACGATCACGAAGGGCATGAAAAAGTATCATTGAACATAGAAATGCCTGATATGCGGATCATACTGAAATAGGGATCTCAGAGCCATTGAGTGACATCTTACGTAGAGTTACGAACCGAAATACCAAGGATTGATTACCTTATGGAAAACGAACAGATTGATCGCGTCCAGCACCACTAGTTTGCAGCAGTTTCACCGGAATTGTCAACACAGGTATGTCGAAAGACCCCAGCTCCAATAACCTAGGATAGCGCTCAGATTCATGCAGAGAGAATCCGGTGTTAGCGAGGGCATTCCCTTCAAATACCCAGGCGGCTTTGCCATTTGCGAACAGCCCGAAAAAGAGGACGGCACTGTGGCAGTTGTTATGCTGTTGATAGAAAAACTAAATCCACACGCCCTCCTATCAGGAAATATAAATGCTGTTCAGATAAGGCTAGTTAACTAGATCACTCATACATTAAGGACTTGGGCCTACGATGCGTGCCAAAGGGGGGTAGCCCAGTTGCAACTTGTGAAGACCCGCTTTGGTGGGCATTGAAGCTGCGTTCGATCATTTCAGACACATTAAAAACAACGTTAAACGACTATCGCAGCACATAGCCCCAGATCAAATTACATGCCCGTACAGTTGCAACCATACGCAGCCAACCAAGCCCCTTTTTTGGCGCTCGGGCCATGTGAAGTAAACAAAGGAGCACTCAGGGGCTACGGCATGCTCGGGTTTGTCTACAGCTCCCAGTTCTAAAAATCGGCATATGCCGAGAAAGTGAAGCCAAAAGTAAGTCTCAGTGATAATGTAGCCGCGTTTGCATTTCTTTTCTCTTTGTTAGTGCACCATCTCATCCCTCTCAACAGTCAGGTTCCATTTCTGCTCTGGTTAGTTCAAATCGAATGGTACGTTTATGTCTGCACTTTATGTAATTTGAGTATTCAACAGCCTCATGTGAAGGCCGTTGAAACCGGCAGAGCGGGGGCTGATGCTTTGAAGCTTGGTACTTGCATTGGGGGCTTCCAACATTATCAATCTCTCTCCTTCAGCTTCATCCCATGTGGTGATGGCCGCAGTTGGACATGAGATGACATCTGCCTGCAGCTGGCTGACAACTGAAGAGGCTATGTATGCACCATGACTAAACTGGATCCTTGGCCGCCTCTGTGTGACGTCAATTGCCAACAGGTTGTGAAGAAAGGGGCAAAAAGAGCAGTGACCTGACTCGAAGGGTAAAGTCAACTAGTATATAGTGAACTGGTAGCAGTGGCAGTATAAGAATGGGATACAAAGACTCTGGAGGCGGCAGGTGTCGGTCAAAAATATCAATGACAGGGCCTTTTTGTGTCGCTGACAACAATTGACGGCAACTTCTGATTGTGCCCATTGGTTGGTGGTCTGTGCCACATCACAGTTTGTTGCCTTGGCGCCTGAACAACTAAGCCAAGCGACGAGCGGTCAGGTTGTTATCGGTTATCAGAATTTTTTTGAAAATCTAAGCCCCACCAAAGAAGTGCGGCTTCCCCTCCCCCACCTTCCCACTGATTCAAACCTACCACAGGGCAAAGGCGCAGCAAACCAACCCTGAACTAAACTCTCTTGTTGCCTCCTGGTACTAGTTGGCTTGCCTGCGAAGGAACAAAGGACGTCGCATATTTTTTTTCTGCCCGTTCTTTCGTTTTGGATTTTTGATCCATCAAACCCATCTATCTTCCAGCATCCACAGCACAACATGGCTCCCTCGTCGTCCAAGGAAAAGCGTCTGGCGAAGCGTGCCGCTGAGGGCAAGGAGAAGAAGACTGTTGCCTCGCGCTCCAAGGCCAACTCAAAGACTGCCAGCGCTGCCGCTTCCGTCAACGGCGATGAGCCTGAACTCGACGCCCATGGAAACCCCATCGTGTCGGACGAGCCAGCCACCTCGGCCGACAAGATGGACGAAGTAAAGCGCCTTGCCGACCAGATGGACAAGCATGGTCTTTCCGACCGTGTCACCACCGGTGTTCTGGCCTCTACCGCCGCCAGCAAGGACGTCAAGATCACCAGTACCAGTTTGGTGTTCCATGGCCGTGTGCTCATTCAGGATGGCACTCTGGAATTGACCATGGGCCGCCGGTACGGTCTGTTGGGTGAGAACGGTTGCGGCAAAAGTACCCTCCTCAAGGCTATCGCTGCTCGCGAGTATCCCATTCCAGAACACGTTGATATCTACCTTCTGAACGAGGGCGCTCCCCCATCAGAGCTGGGTGCTTTGGAGTGGGTCGTCAAGGAGGCCGAGAACGAGATGGACCGTCTCGATAAGTTGGCCGAGAAGCTCCTCGAGGAGGAGGGCCCCGAGTCTCCTGTCCTGATGGATCTTTATGAGGTACGAACACCTCCCTCACCGCGCCTCTCGGCTATACATAAGCTAACCTCATTGATAGCACATGGACAAGATGGATCCCTCCACCTTCGCTACCCGCGCTGCCCTCATTCTTACCGGTCTGGGCTTCAACAAGGTCACCATCCACAAGAAGACCAAGGACATGTCCGGTGGGTGGAGGATGCGTGTCGCCCTTGGCAAGGCTCTTTTCGTGAGACCGTCCCTTCTCCTTCTCGACGACCCCACGGCCCATTTGGATCTCGAGGCCTGCGTGTGGCTGGAGGAATACCTCAAGAAGTGGGACCGCACTCTTGTCTTGGTTTCCCACTCCATGGATTTCCTCAACGGTGTGTGCACAACCATGATCGACATGAGGGATAAGAAGCTGCTCTACTATGGCGGTAACTACGACTCGTACATCAAGACCCGCTCCGAACAGGAGACCAACCAGGCGAAGGCATACCAGAAGCAGCAAGACGAAATCGCACACATCAAGAAGTTCATTGCCAGCGCTGGTACCTACGCCAACTTGGTCAGACAAGCAAAGTCTCGTCAAAAGATCTTGGACAAGATGGAGGCCGATGGTTTCATCCAGCCCGTCCACCAGGACAGAGTCTTCACCTTCCGTTTCGCCGATGTCGAGAAGCTGCCTCCCCCAGTTCTGTCTTTCGACGATGTCAGCTTCTCCTACTCGGGCGATGCCAAGGATGATTTGTACAAGCACATCGACCTCGGTTTCGACATGGACTCCCGTACTGCCTTGGTCGGGCCCAACGGTGTTGGCAAGTCTACTCTTCTCCGGCTGATGACTGGCAAGCTTTCTCCTAGAGAAGGTGTGGTGTCGCGTCACACTCACTTGAAGCTGGGTCTGTACTCGCAGCACTCGGCGGAGCAGCTTGATCTCACAAAGTCTGCTTTGGACTTTGTGCGTGACAAGTACTCGGATAGATCCCAAGACTACCAGTACTGGAGACAACAGCTGGGCAAGTATGGTCTTTCGGGCGAGTCTCAGACTTCTCTGATCGGTACCCTGTCTGACGGACAACGGTCCCGTATCGTGTTCGCTCTGTTGGCCATTGAAAGCCCCAACATGTTGTTGCTGGACGAGCCTACCAACGGTCTTGATATTCCCACTATTGACAGTTTGGCGGATGCCATCAACGCTTACAGCGGAGGTGTCATTGTCGTCAGTCACGATTTCAGGTGCGTCGAAACTCTGATGGCTAATTTGTAGGATTTAATTGCTGACATGTCTCCAGACTACTCGACAAGATTGCCAAGCAGATTCTCGTGTGCGAGAACAAGACCATTAAACAATGGGATGGTTCGATCGGCGACTACAAGAACTATCTTCGCAAGAAGATGGTGGCTTCGGGCGCTGTCTGAGTTGGCTAGATTTTGTTTTTGCCTCTTTTTACATGAGAATGACATGGGCGAGGTTGCGCTGCAGCTGAGACGGCCTCAGGTAAGCCTCTTCTCACACCAATCACGCGGCTGCCAGAGGGGAATTCTGGAGTATATGGGATGGGAGTTGACCGGGAAAGTGTCAACTCTCCTGCAAGCATAAACGGTGGTGGCTGGGTTGGGTTGGTTTGATGACAGCGATGAGGTTTCTTTCTGGGCCGGATAGACTTTTGTTTTCACGTTTCGCGATTCTCCAGCCGTTCATTAGATGCATTCGCGCTCAGATAGCGAGTAATGACGGAAAAGTTATGATCGATTCGGTTCGTCAGGTAGTTGTGTGTGTCAGTTTTCATATATGTGTGATTGGTGAAGTGGTGGGTGTCCGGGACAATATGAGGGCATTCGCAACATGATGTCTGAGGGCTGTGCCGAGGCGGTGGGTTGAAGATGATCACTGAGAAGGAAACAATTGATTGTAGTTTTGGGCATCAACAGGCGGATCTTGGGATGCCGGTTCGGATTCTTTTGGTGTCTGGTGAGACTTTTCCCACTGCCGCTGTGGTGTGTGTTGCATGGCTGGGGCAACTGCAGCAGCGGCAGGCGGATACCTCGCGCCGGGGCTGAAATGGGTACTTCCTTGCCAGCACCCCTGACTGGGCATGGGGGAGGGGGTGGCTGTAGCGTTGTTATCTGATAAAAGGGGGCTGGCTGTTGGACCTACACTAACATGGAAGGGGGTGTCAGATTAGTGGAGCCCTGCTGACGTCTTTCAGCGCGTGGGACCAGCTTGTCTCGATCTGGCTGGACGCCTGGGGGGCCTGTTTTTCCGGGGGGACGGGGGGGACTACTGATGGATGGATCACCTTCGCGAGAGCTGCGAGGAAGCGGGTTGTCAAAGGGGATTTTGGGGGGGAGAAGACTCTGCTGCACACACCAACGCAGCAAAAGCCCAGATGTGGCCAAATCGAGAATGAGCAATCGGGTCTGGCAACACCGCTGCTGGCTCATGGATCCATTCATCTCCAACCCAACACCATTCCTTCCCCTTCGTCCATTCCCATTCCCATCACCATCACCACCGCCATCATAACCACCATCGTCCTCCACCATCGTCCTCCACCACATCATACCCTTGTCGCTGTCGCCGTCCAGCTGCCATCGGCGCCCAGCTTTTTGTTGATTGCCCTGTATTTTTCTCCCCTTTGGTGATTGCTTCCACCCATCACCCTCTTTTTCTCACCAACCCCGAGCCCACCCGGTGTTCCATCCGATCTCGTTGCGATACCCTCATCATCCACGCGCCCGCATCCGCGCCAACACTGCCGCTGACCTCCTGTTCCCCCCCTAGCGATCTCGGAGCCGTCTTTCTAGAGCAGATTGTCAGAAGCCAGAAGTGTGCAGGTCACCCTTTTCTTTAGTTTAAACAGACTTGCCGATAGCTTCGTAATTCCTCGACGGGACGCGTGCTAGGTGGGCAAAAAGTGTCGATGAATGCACATGAATTGTAAAAACTACACAGTAACAGAAGCACCATGGACGGGCGGGACCACTTCTCGACCGTGCTGCAACGGCCGCCTCACTTTGACGAGGACTGCAGTAATGGCAATGGCGGCGGCAGTGCAAACGAAGATCGCGGACCGCGTGGAGGGCTGCGCGACATCTTGAATCCAGTGAGCTCTGCCTCGCAGCCAGCGTCAGCTCTTGGGCCGCCAGGAACCCCCGGAGCACCCGCGCCTCCACGGCCGCACTCGTCCTTCAGTCTAAGATCACCAACACAAGGTGACTTTCACACCCCGAACCCCTACTCTACCTCGCCTGGCAGCCATCCCTCGGGCTCTCGTTCCATCCTCAGCAATCCCGTGGCAGGAGCCTCGATTTCGGCAGCCTCCTTCCCACCACCACCACCGCCGCCTCCACCACTGTCGGCATCGCTGCAGGCACCGCCGGCCATTGCATCGCCATTGACGACACAACAACACCCGTCGCCCGTATCGCCGCTGCACGCGCCGCACGTGTACTACTCGTCCGAGATTCGAGATCGTGATCGAGACAGAGGCAGAGACAGAGACAATCGCGACCCGGTTCTCGAAAAGTCGGCGGGCAGCAGCTTCTACGACCCGACGGCGGATTCAACAAAGAAAGAGCGCGAGCGCAGGGTTTCGGACACGGGCTCCTCCTCCTGGCGCAACGCGACGCAGAGCTCGACACCAAAGGTAAGTAAGCTTTGGGCCCCCTCCCCAAAATACCAAAACCATTCCATTCCTAGACACGGCCAAGCATCATCGAAGAGCAAAGTGCAATTTGCCCGCCCTGTTGCCTTTTTGCTCTCCCTAATATTATATCATCGCGTCTCCCCCCCAATCGCTGCATCAACACTTGACAATTTTTCCCGCCCTGGCCGGCGACTCCCTCTTCACCTCAGCATTCACCACCCAACCAAGCCCTATCAGCCCGCGCCTGCTTGATTGACGTCGACTAATTTTTTTACACCACGCCACTCCAGGCTCGCGACTCGTACAATTATTCCCAATCATCCGACTATTACACCGCGAACAACATCGCCACATCCTCCGCCAGCAACCACCAGGGCGGCATCATCAACGGCGCCAGCTACGCATCCCATGCGACTTCATCCCTCTCACGAAGTCCCGTCTCTCAGTACCATCCTGCTCCCACTGCAGGATCCATCAGTCCATCAGCACCTGCATCGGCTCGACTTGGTGCCATTTCATCGCCCAGTCTGAGGCACAGCCAGATGCCCCCTTCCACCATCAACGGGACCACTCCAACTGCGTTGCCTGTCCTCGCACGGAGCGGGTCCCCAACCCCATCATCATCTAAGGGCCAGGGCGTCTCAGGTGTAGGTTGGGACCGTTTGCTCCATCAAATAAGATTCAGCCTCAGGCTAACAATTTACCCACCGCCAATACAGACTCCAAGTCGTGCCGCAGGTGTCATGTCCTTTTCCAACATCCTCTCCGAACCTGTCTCGCGACCCAGAGCGACCTCGCCATCTACAACCGACGATACCCCCATCCGAGTGGAAAGAGCCGGAACCGTCGACAAGGCTGACCGCGAGAAAAAGCCAAGAAAGACCATCAAGTCGCGTGTTTCCGAAATGAAGGGTGTCGAGTCGACGCCCAAGGCGTCCAGAAAGACCGCCTCCAAACCCGAGACCCCGGCTTCCGGTCCACGACTTCCAGCGAAACGATCGGCCAACGGGCTTACGAAGCAAAAGTCCTTCTCTGCCGACAAAGAAAGGAAGATTCAAGAGGAAATGCAGCAGCTCGACTCTTGGGACCCACCAGAACACAAATGGGAAGATGAATTTGAAGAGTATCAACGACGGAGCAAGCGCCGCCGACTGGAGCTGGCCCAGTTGGACCTCAGCCACAAGCAGGCGCGCAGAGATGACTTGGCCCAGTCACAAGGTTTCAAGCTCAAGTTGCATGCCGATCTTGGGAAACGGCGATTCGATGACCTTCACTACGACGAAGCATTGCAAGAGGTGCGACAGCGAGAAGTCCAGTTGGAGAAGGAGCGGAAGAAGGACATGCAGCGAAAGAGGCGTCGGGAGAAGTCCATGGCTCTTACCCTCGAGCTCAAGAATTCTGCTCTCAAGCGGGCCACCATTGCCCAGAGCGAGGCAGAGCGCCTGCGGTACATGAAGGAAGCGGAACGAGCCGAGAAGAAAGTTCAGCAGACCAAATACATCTTGCAGAATGGCCTCAAAGGTCCTCCCCGCAGTTCGAGCGCTCTCGAGCCCAATCTCGAGGGCGGTACCATGGCGACTTTCCAGGCCGAAAACATGGAACCTGGCAAGGCCAAGGGCAAGGGTCGCGCCGGTGGTCGACTCAAGAAGTCCAAGGAGCAGAAGCAGGCAGAGAAGGACAGTGCCGAAGCTGCCCAGGCCGCTCTCGATGCCGGGAAGGAGCTTCCCACCAAGGAGGAGACGAGCAAGATTCGACTCAAGATCACCAAACAGCCCGCCACCGATTCCGAGAAGGACAAGGAAACCAAGGAGCCCAAGGACTCCAAGAAGGAAAAGGTGGTCGAGGAGCCAAAGGATCTGTTGGAGATGCGGTTCCAGTCCAAGGGCTTTAACCAGATCTACGACCAGATCTGGCGTGACCTTGCCCGGAAGGATGTCAACAAGGTCTACAGGCTCGCCACCGACTCATATTCCACCAAGGCATCCAACCTCAAGAAGACCGCCATTTTGGCGTCCAAGGAAGCAAAGCGATGGCAGCTCCGCACCAACAAGGGTACCAAAGACCTTCAAGCTCGTGCCAAGCGTGTCATGAGAGACATGATGGGCTTCTGGAAACGGAACGAACGCGAGGAGCGCGACCTCCGCAAGGCCGCCGAGAAACAGGAGCTCGAGAACGCGAAGAAGGAGGAAGCCGACCGTGAAGCGGCTCGTCAAAAGAGGAAGCTCAACTTCCTGATCTCGCAGACCGAAATCTACTCTCACTTCATTGGCAAGAAGATCAAGACAAACGAGGTGGAGCGCAGCACGGACCGACCCGAGATTGCTGATGCGGACCAAAACCAAATCCCCGAAACGTCTCTTGATATCGAGGAGCCTACTGGTCCGGTTGGCTCCAAGGTTACCAACTTTGAAAATCTTGATTTCGACGAGGCCGATGAATCGACCCTCAAGGCTGCGGCCATGGCCAATGCGCAGAACGCCATTGAGGAAGCGCAAAAGAAGGCGCGGGACTTCAACAAGGACGCCAACCTGGACGAGGATGGAGAGATGAACTTCCAGAACCCCACTGGTATGGGCGATGTGGAGATTGACCAGCCGAAGCTGCTCAACTGCCAGCTGAAGGAATATCAGCTCAAGGGTCTCAATTGGCTCGTCAATCTGTACGAGCAAGGCATCAACGGCATCCTCGCCGACGAAATGGGTCTGGGCAAGACTGTACAGTCCATCTCTGTCATGGCCTACCTCGCCGAGAAGTACGACATTTGGGGTCCGTTCCTTGTCGTTGCGCCGGCTTCTACCCTGCACAACTGGCAACAGGAAATCACCAAGTTCGTCCCAGAGTTCAAGGTGCTGCCATATTGGGGCACCGCTGCCGACCGCAAGGTGCTCCGAAAGTTCTGGGACCGAAAGCACACCACCTACAAGAAGGACGCTGCTTTCCACGTCATGATCACGTCGTACCAGCTTGTCGTGTCCGATGTCGCCTATTTCCAAAAGATGAAGTGGCAGTATATGATCCTCGACGAGGCCCAAGCCATCAAGAGCTCTTCGAGCTCCCGTTGGAAGTGCTTGCTGAGTTTCCACTGCCGCAACCGACTTCTGTTGACCGGTACTCCTATTCAGAACAACATGCAGGAACTTTGGGCCCTCTTGCATTTCATCATGCCGTCCTTGTTTGACTCCCACGACGAGTTCAGCGAATGGTTCTCAAAGGACATCGAATCGCATGCGCAGAGCAACACCAAGCTCAACCAGGACCAGCTGAAGCGTTTGCACATGATTCTCAAGCCATTCATGCTTCGTCGTGTCAAGAAGCATGTCCAAAAGGAATTGGGCGACAAGATTGAACTCGACGTCTTTTGCGATCTGACCTACCGCCAGCGTGCCTTGTATTCGAGCCTTCGCAACCAGATCAGCATTCTTGACCTCATTGAGAAGGCGACCATGGGCGACGACGATTCTTCTAGTTTGATGAATCTCGTCATGCAGTTCCGAAAGGTCTGCAACCATCCCGATCTTTTCGAGAGGGCCGATACCAAGTCGCCATTCTCTTGCGGCTACTTTGCCGAGACGGCCTCTTTTGTCAGAGAGGGCACAAACGTATCAGTTGGTTACTCTGTTCGCAGTTTGATCGACTACGACTTGCCCCGCTTGGTGTGGCAAGAGGGCGGGCGCCTGGACAAGCCCGGGCCTGATAACGCGGTTGCTGGTTTCCGGAGAAAGTACACTGGCGAGCTGTTGAACATTTGGACACCGGAGAACATTCGTGATAGCGTCTCGAATGCCGATCACTTTTCATGGCTGCGATTTGCGGACGCTAGCCCGCAAGAAGCCTACCAGGCTAGTCATCGAGGACTGTTCGAGCGAGCTGTGACGCTTTCAACATCGAAGAACCGACTCGGGAACATGAACGTCCTCTATCGCGATACGGAAGACGAGAACTGGACTCCGATCCATGCTCTGTTCCAGATTCAGCAACGTACTGACCGCAAGCCTCTTGCTGATATCACTGAGCAAGGTGTCCTTCGCGACCTCATGAATGTGGCGCGCGCTAACTACGCTGATATCGGACTGGGACGACTTGAGCAAGCCGGCCGGCCCCGCGCATCTGCACCGCCCATCGAGGTTTCATGCACCGGCCGCGGCTCGGTTGCGGAGCGTGAGAACATCCTCTTCAACCCTCAGGTACGCAAGGCATTGTACGGACCCACCCCCGTCGAAGAGAAGGCGCTCGTCACCGAAAAGATCCCAATCGAGCGATACCCGCCTCCTGCACTCCTGCCGGCGCCAGATAAGGAGAAGACCCGGTTTACCAACATTGCGGTCCCCTCGATGCGCCGCTTCATTACGGATTCGGGCAAGCTTGCCAAGCTCGACGAGCTCCTGCGGCAGCTGAAGGAGGGCGGTCATCGTGTGCTGCTGTACTTCCAGATGACGCGCATGATCGATCTGATGGAAGAGTATTTGACCTACTGCAACTACAGGTACTGCCGCCTCGATGGTTCAACCAAGCTGGAAGACAGAAGAGATACCGTGTCGGACTTCCAAACCCGGCCCGAGATCTTCATCTTCTTGCTCTCTACCCGTGCTGGTGGTCTTGGTATCAATCTAACCACGGCTGATACTGTCATCTTCTACGACTCTGACTGGAACCCGACCATTGATTCTACAGGCCATGGATCGTGCTCATCGTCTTGGTCAGACGAAGCAGGTCACCGTCTATCGTCTCATCACGCGCGGCACCATCGAGGAGCGCATCCGCAAGCGTGCCATGCAGAAGGAAGAGGTGCAGCGCGTCGTCATCACGGGCGGCTCGTCGGCGGGTGGCGCCGGTGTCGACTTCTCTGGACGTAGGGCGCCCGAGAACCGGAACCGCGACATTGCCATGTGGCTTGCGGATGATGAACAGGCCGAGATGATTGAACGCCGCGAGAAGGAATTGCTCGAGAGCGGGGAGTACGACAAGATTCAGAAGAAGCGTGGTGGCAAGCGGAAGCGGGCGGATGCTCCAACCAGCCTGGATGAGATGTATCACGAAGGTGAGTCCATGTTCTTTTTTGCCGTTTCTACAGGCTCATGAACTGACCAATATCTACTCTACAGGCGAGGGCCATTTTGATGACAACAAGGGTTCCGGCACAGCCACACCAAACGCCGCCGGAGCCGACGCCGCCGATGTCCGCCCTGGAAAACGCACCAAGCGTGCTCCCACCGGCAAGAAAGCCAAGACAACAAAGCAACGGTTGGCGATTGCTGACGGCGAGATCGATATTTGATCACCTACTCTTTCACCTGCAGGACAATATGGTAGCAATAAGCCTGTACCAATACCCAGCCGCCGTCTACCACCCCGCCGGTATAGATTTTCTTCTTTTCTTTTTCTTCTTTTGCACACAGCATACGTGGTTGTTCGGTGTATGTAGCCCAGTTCATTAAAGAGCACCGGTAGACACAAAAACGGGAATGGTACTTGAGGCTGGGGAGAGGAGTTCAGGTCAGCTCAAGGGGCAGCAAGCGGATAACAAATGAGGAATGGGTGGAAGGGTCAACTAAAGATGTTCTTGTTGTATTTCTGTAGAATAATTACTTTTGTTTCATGTTGTGTCTTGTTCTTGTGGATGTCGCTGTGGTGGTTTTGTGTAGGATGAGAGGTTGTGCCTGATGAAGGGAATTGTGTGTGGGCAATGGAACAAAAGTGGAGAGATGGGGGAGTTGGGGATTTAGTTTATCGGCTTGTTGGGGTGGTAGATGGTGAGAGGTGGTCATATTTGAGAAGAGAGACTTCAAGACAACGATGAAGATGAAGTTGATATTTCCGATCTTTTTCCCTCTATGCTGTGACTATGACTCCCACCCTCTACCGTTTGTCTTGACATCTATCAGCCCTCGGCACCGTTCCTCCTCTAGCACCCCATTCAGTCAGTCCATGACCCGGTAATCTCTCGGATCCAAACCCCGGCCTTTTCCGCTACGGTCTCGCTGTGATCTGGTTTTATCCCTCTGTCAGCGTACGCACCCCCCCCCCCCCTCTTCTTCCCCATCCGTTTTCGCAACTTACGTATACAAAAAGCATGCGGCACTCCCTCTTCACAAATCGTTGCCTTCGTTCTCCCGTTCTGGTCCTTTTCCCTCCGCTCAATGAACGCGTCCCTCACCTCGTCGGCGACCCAGTGGTCTTTTTTTGCAAAATAGAAATAAAATTTCTCTCCGTTGTGCTCTGTGTCGTCGGCCAAGTGCCAAAGGTCGGAAGACCACTTCTCTTCGGTGATGGTGGACATCTCGTCTTTGCCCATGTGGATCGCCTGCCATATCCCGTCTTGGCTCTGCAGGAAGCTGAGGGTGGTGGATAAAGCGTGGGGGGGCTGTTTCATTATTTTGGAGAGGATGAGGGAAACAATGGGGGTGGGGAGACAGTTGATGATGGATTTGGCAAGGATGTGGGTGTAGGAGTTCAAGAGGGGTTGGGAGGCGATGAAGGAGAGTTTTTGGCCGGAGGGGGAGCGGGCGATGTGGGTTAGGGTTGGGAAGAGGAGGATCGCCGAAGTCAGGTTGAGGAGGGCGGATAAGGGGGTGAGGTGGTGGCGGTGGAAGATTTCGGTTGCTATGTAGGCTCCTACTGAGTGGCCTATTAGGATGCAGGAGGTGAAGGGGGTGGGGGTGTTGAGGGAAACAAGGGTGGAGGTTAAGGAGATAATTTGGTCTTCGAGGGTGAAGGGTTGGGTTGGGAGGTTGGATGGGGGGAGGGTGTTTCCAAAGGGGGGGGAGTGGTCGTGGTCGGAGAAGCCGAGGAGGTTGCGGGTGTAGATGTGGTAGGCGGCCTTGTTGGACGACTCAAGCGTGTCGAGGAGGTGGCGGAGGTGGGTGAGGAAGGGCGTGTAGTAGCTTGCTAGGCCTGGGTTGCCGGTTATGAAGAAAACCAAGCATTGTTTCCGGGAGGGGTTGTTCCGGTTTGGGGAGGGGAATTCCAGGTAGGGAATTGCATCTTCTTTTATTGTTGTGGTGGTTGACATGGTGGGTGATGGTTGTTGTGTGTTGTGCTTTTCGGGGTTGGGGTTGGTGATGACGATGTTGATGTGGTGCTGGTGTTCTGCCGAGGTTTTGTTGGTGGGGGTAGGTGAGTGGGGGTCAACAGCCCTTTAGTTTGTGAAACCCTAACCCGAGCTTGTTAAAGTGCACTACGGAGTACAACATCAAGAACGCCGGACATTCTGTTGAAAGCCACCTGTTGAATGTGTATTGCTGAATTTAAAGAATTAAAAGCGCTAGCTATGTACAGGAAGAAGATGCCACGGACCCTGCCCGGCTCTGGGCACACTGGTTCAACCAGACTGGTGGAACCCTCACCCTTGGCTTGGGATACCCATGATACATGTCGATATGCCTCAGTAGTCCGTAGTCTTATATCCTGAAAGTCTATCATGTCCCAGTCCAGCACAACCTTTCTCCTAAATACCATCCTTTTCCCATGCCATTTTTGACTTTTCCATATCTTCTTGTGCTCACAGGATGCGATTGCATTCCTCCTGAGTCTTCAAGTGGCAGTAAGGGCTGAAGGTCTGGTTGCTGTTGGGCATCTGGGGAGGGGAGAAGAAAGGAGGCCAAAAATAGTTGGGAGGAAGTATGTCATTGATAGCCTGTCTGGCTGCCACGGTAGTTGGTGTGACAGACTTGACGAGAGTGGCGAGGGTCTTTTCGATGATTTCGACAGCCTGTGGAATATCAGAACCTGTTGGTGTAAGAGTGGAAATGGGATTTCCTTACCAGCTCTTCGTCAATCTTCACCTGCTGAGTAACAGCAGCCTGAGGTAGTGCATTGTGAACAATGAGTGGGACCGGAGCCTAGTGTAACGGTTAGTGATGAATTGTGGATGAAACATGGTTTAGCGCCTGAAATAAGGACTTACTGCGGCTGGAGCAGGCTTGGGGATAGCAGCACCAAAGACAGCAGCAGACTGGCTGAGGAGAGCGACGGTTGGGATGAGGGAGTGCATGGCCGGTGGTGATGTGCTTTTGAGGCGATCTTGCGGCGGTGATAGAGTCTTGGAGAGAGACTTGAGTAGTGTTCTTTGTTGATGTGAGATGACTGAAGAGACTGTTTGATGCCGATGCTAATCGTCTTGGATTTGGGGCATGGATTCATGATCTTTTGTAGGCATTGCCACCCCATCAAGTCGGTACAGTCCCCGTAGGGCTGACCACGATACAGGGCTGCCATGACTCAGCTCAGGTGTCCAGAGCCCGCTGGGTCTTCACCGACACCGGCTAACGGTCAGCTAGACGTTAGACCCATAGCCATGGGTTGAGCAAGCAAGTGAAAGCAAACGGCGTCTTGTTTTCTTGCTCTAGTGCCGGTCGATCGTCGATCTGGCTTACCTCTGAAACGTTCTTGCTTGCATAATCAGTCTAAAACCGATCGAAAGCTTTCATTGTGTCAATACAGCTGGGAAAAAGTACCATAACTTGAATGGTGCTATTGGCAGGTGGCCTGTCGATGTGAGTTGGTTGTCAAGATATTTTCGAGAGCAAATTCTGTCAAATTAAGTACCTATTTTTATTCATCTATCTCAATACAATCATTTCCAGCCGGCGTCTTCTGCTCTCCCTTCACCGGGTATTCTAGGGGCAGCATTTGCAGCCGCCCCCTTCCGGCTTTCTCACCCTTGATATTGCGTGTGGACGCGCGTTGTCGTCTCACATCCGATCTCTGGTTTCAGCGCGCGGGGGCGCTTCCACGCGACCTCGGAGGCGTCCACACCCAAGCTCATCCACGAGCTGTCCCAATCCGCCTGCCCGCGTTCAGTCCTCGGCCCAAAAGGAACTTCCACGCTCGCAAGCCTGTCCCTCCAAGCTCTTTCGGAACGCTTTGGAAACACTGTCCTCCACAAATTACAAACCCATCCCCAGAGTCGCCTGATGCCCGAGCCGCTGTGGGTTTGGGGTTCACCCTCGATAAACACCATATTTCCGAAAGCTCTTCCATGTGGTGTGCGAAGAGAGCTTGCCATGAATCCAAATGTTTCCAGCCCTGTGTCTTGAGTGGGTGGTTTCTGACCAGAGAAGACAATGGATTTCCGAGTGAGAGAGTACAGGAGTACGTCTAGTAATCCTGCTGAAGCCAGCAAAGAGCCTGCCACGCTGTAGAAGAGGACCGGGGCCTCATGTTTGACCATGGATCCGATTCTAGCTGTAGCGATTGGCACGGTACAGAGAAGGTAGATTAACGGGTATGCCAGAAAGCTGCTTATCTCGCGAAGCTTCTGCTCTTGTGTGGCATACTGGGTACCGGGCGATGTTTGTTGGCAGCTTGAAGCGATGGGCTTGCGGTGAGTCAAGAGATAAATGACGATGGCGAGATATATCACGCTTGTGGCCACAAGACAGATAAAGATCCATAGGTAATGGAGGTACAAACGAAGCTCTTGATAATTGGAGGTGATCCAGCACTGATTTGGCGTTAGCAGCATGAAGTGCCAGAAAAGAAGGCGAAGCCACATACCCATTCGCCCGCCCGGCCATAGAAATCTGACGAACCACCAGATATCGCAATGCCCAAGAGAGCCATTCCGTATACAGACGACCAGAGTGCCGCGAGGACTGGGTAGAAGACGCGAGAGGGCGGTCGGAAATTCCTGACGATACTAAGGTAGCCGTGAGCCGCAATTGCCGTCACAAAGACGCTTGAAGCGAGATTCCCAGTTGACAGGAACCAGGCCTGTGCTTTGCAAACTAGGTGTCTGTCGTAAATTCCATCCAATGCTAGCCATCGAGCACTCATGAAGTAGGCCGTGGCCTGCATGAGATCTGCAAAAAGAAGGTTGTAGATGAGAACGAGAAACTGATTCGGGGGGTTGGCTCTGATCCGATTCCAGAAGCCAGTTTGCGGTCGTGATGGCATCCCATTATCGGCTTCAGTGGGCTGTGATTCCGCCGAAACAGTAAAATTCCGCGACATCGCCAGCATCTCGTGCAAGTTGTCCTCATCAACCTGGAGATTTGAAGCTGGTAGGCTTGAAGCCTCTTGCGAGGGTTGCCTGATATGCCACTTGACGAATCTCCAGCTGAGGTACACCAAAAGGGCGAAAACGAAAATGAAGCTCAGGAAAGCTAGAGTTGCAACAGCATGCAGGCCGTGTCGAACGGCGGCCGGCAGGGGTGCGAGGGTGTAGGCCTCATCTTCGCTGAGCTTGAGATAATCCATTGTAGCGATCTAGCTTTCGAGCTGGAGGAGGTGTCTATATTTTTTGGTAAGAGGCAAGTTGCTGTGTGAGAACGAGAACTGAGGAGAAATGCATTGGAGTGGTCAAAATGTTGATGAACTTGGTGTGTTGCCAAAACAATGAGTGGCAGGCGATCTGTGGGTAACTCTGCCAACCGATTGGAAAAGAACAGGTCAAAGTGATGTCTGAGAACAGATTCCGGGGTGATCTCACTTCTGAAAGGGGGAAGTGAGTACAATAGGCCTGGAACGAATATTCAGGGTTACGAGAGAATAATACGGGGTTGTCGAGAACCGCGACGTGAAGCAGGGCACTGACGTCGAACTCCGCTCTTTGGCCTTGTAAACCAGTTCAGATGACCCGCCAGACTGAGTAACTAGGTACCTAAGACATGACCCGGAAGCAGGCTTCTTAAAACTCCATGGAACCTATTTAATGAGATGGTCTACCTTATGTCTGCCAACGATCAAATGGTGACATGGTTCCAGTCTCCTGTAAGACTACCTGACGTCTGTGAAGCCTAAGGTGCCTACCTAAGCGCTCAAAAGGTCACACTCTTTCGAAAACAAGATAGCGAAATTAGAAACATTTCAGTTTTACTTGTAACCAGTGTTGGTTAGAAGGGGGTTGACCATGAGACTTTATTGATGAGTGTTGAGGTACCCAAATAAAAATAGTGAATTTTGGCGTGTACAAGAGGACTGAAATTTCCAAGTCCTCTCGCACTTGCTCAATCTGACCTTTGTCAGTAGCCATTACTCCTGGCACTTATGCATACAGTTTCATGTTCCGAGACGGTTATGAAGCTTCTGGTGGCATGTTATGCTATTAGTTCGATTGTCATCTAACTTTGGACTGTTCTCCTCGGCTACCTTGATGAATATGAAATCTGAGGAGTCGATATTTTCGGTACAAAAATCCCTAAACCGAAACATTCATGAACATCTTCTCTGAACCATGCATTATCAACGCCCTTATAATTTATATGCACTCGAGTATAGATTTTCTTGGAGTGAACTGACACAGTATTCTTGATGACAAAAGTTGTATGAAGGCAGAAAGCATGACTACCTTAGACGTCATGTCGTTGCGTGGTAGCCAGTTGCTCTTAAGCCATCATTGATCTCGGATCCCCTAATAGCGAGTGTCGCTCTACTTGTCCAAGATAAAACAAACAAACACCACCCTGGAAAGAGTATGAAGGTTTTGATCGTCCGAGCTTTTCACATCAGCTTTTTGTTTTGATTGCTTGGAATACAGAGCAACACAAGAGTGCTTTTATCGTATGGAGCAAGAAACAGCAAAGGGCTCGCATACTAAGCCAGATCGGAAACGTGATGCTTCCTTAAAGAGCCGCCGCTTTAAACCAAGACAGAGCGATGACTTCATGACCAGGAATCTCCAGCATGGTGTCGATTTTGAGTTCCGCCACCCTCCACAACCTCCGCCAGCTCGAGCTTGAATGTTGCCGCCCCCTCTCCCCAGTATCCACACACCTTCGGCATCCATCCATCGTCGTACTGAACGAATAATGTGCACATACTACATGAACACCCGCTGGCTGTGCCACAAAACCAAAGGCTGCAAAGCTGAAGGACGACCCTGCAGGATCAAACCATCGTTCCACAAACCCCCACAACAGCGCATCTGCTGCAACTATGTCGACCGCTTCAGTGGCATCTGTTACGGAGTAACTTGTCAAGGTGGCGGGAGGAAGCCCAACCACTTCATCGACAGCGAAACAGTCTTCTACAAGGGCCTCGAATGTCCCTGGCATCCTCACAAGAAGATGCTGTCACTGGAGAGGCTGTGGGAAGAGGAGTGGACTGAGCAGATAATCAAGGCGCACTTGACCAAGAGATACCGCGAGGCTGCCGAGCGACGAAAGCACGATGAGACGGCCAATAGAGCGAGGCTGATTCAGGAATTGTTCGAGGACGTAAAAAAAGGAAGATCTGTTGTCCTGTTTTACAAGAGCGTGATGAAATGGCAAACCATAGCAATTGAAAGATGCCGCAAGGAGCTGGTAAAATTCAGTGGGTGTAATGCCGATCTGGCTTTGGCTGATGATGTTGTGGTCAGCCGGCAGAGGCGGGTCTTTCGTCGGTATCTAAAACCATAGCCCGAGTACGCCAGGGGCTTCTGTTGAGACAAGCTGGCATTTACTCCTTTCTGGTCTTCGACTGATCGAAGGACTAGGCTTGCGGGGTGACCTCGCTCCCAGTCTTCGCACTCTCTCGTACTGCCTCGATTATTCGCAGAACCTGCGCCGCCTGTGACGCAGGCACAGGTACACCTTCCTCCTTTCCGCTTGCAACAGCCTTCGCAAACAGGTGATAGAACCTGACATATGTCTCCGGCTCTACAGTAGGGCAAACCTGGTCTTCCACCTTCCCGTCACCGCCGACGATACACAACCTCCCGAATCTGTCCTCCGATTCCTTGCCGAAGTCGGTGTCAGTCGCCTTGCCACCGGCTCGGAGATGATCCTCCTGAGGATCCAACCCGCTCTTGTGATAACTGCCTTTGGTACCCCGGACCCAGAACCGCATCTGTCTGGTCTCGACACAGGCGACGCCGGCACGAACAAAGACCAACAGCCCCTTGTTCTTATAGCTCAGGATAGCAGTCACACTATCCGGCTCCTGCTCATCGGTCCCATCCCCAGTGACAAGCCTCCCTTCTCTCTGGTTGACGAATCTCCCTGTCACGCCATCAGGCATACCAAACAACACAAACACCTGATCCAACAAGTGGGAGCCAAGATCATACAACACCCCTCCCGCCTCGTCCATCTTGAGCCCCGCCTTCCACGTCGAACCCTTCGCCAGAGCCGTCAATCGCAATCTGTCAAAGTGCGTCTCGAACTCGACAATTCTTCCCAGCTTGTCCTCCTTGAGGAGATTCTGAACAGTAAGGAAGTCCGAATCCCATCGCCGGTTCTGATAGACGCAAAGCACCCGCTGTTGCTGTCTCGCCAAAGCAGTCAACTCATCCGCCTCGCTTGAGGTGGGAACAAACGGCTTCTCGACAAGGACATGCTTGTTGTTGAGCAGTGCTGAGCGGGTCAGGGGGTAGTGGGTGTTTGGTGGGGTGCAGAGGACCACCACGTCGACGTCTGGGTCGGCGATGAGATCCTCGGGAGCGGTGTAGTGCTTGAGGTCAGGGTAGTCTTCTGGGGCGGAGTTGCCTGGCTTGGGAGTGCGCTGGACGATAGAGTGAAGCTTGAGGGAGGGGGTGAGTTGGATGAAAGGGATGTGGAAGACTTTGGCGGAGAGGCTGGAGGGGGTGGTTAGCCGCTGGGTTAGGGTTGGGTATGGAGATTAGGAGAAGAGACGAACCCATAGCCGACGATGCCAACGTTGAATTGCTTTTCGGTCATTGTGAGATTAGTGTTTAATACTGATGGAAAGTTTGGTTCTTTCGGAATACCTTTCAGATGGGATTTCTTTCAGAATTAAAGGCCCCTTTTTGAGCATTGAAGTCGTCGTTGTCTGCGGGGTAGCTGTGGTGCTGAGTCAAGAATCCACCCCCGCGGTGGACTCGTATCAAGACCCCACCACCCGGGATGACGTCGAGCTCATGGAGAGAACACCATCTCAAGATGTCGACCAGTTTCGGCAGTTTTTTCTTTATATCTTGATGAAAAAGCCAGATCTTTTTATTGTCATTACATATTTTGTTCAACACAACATTCTAGCCTCTCGGCTTCATGCCATTACGGTATGAAGTGTCGTCAAAAGAAGGCGGAACTAGCCGCCCCCCCTTGCACCTTAACGGACCGACTCTGCTATCCCCATGGGGCTCCACGCACTCGATGACACATCAAATGATGGAACTGTTAATATCCGGGACTTTGATTGTGGAGGTCGTTCAGTCGAGTGGAAAGCCGAACAAGCCCTCAGCTCGCGAGCCAGGATAAGAAAGGAGGCTGCTCCTTGTCTCCGCGAAGAACAACTTATTTTACCTTGCATCATATGTTTGGTGAAGGTCTATAGGTACTTCTTACATGGCTAGGCTGACACTTTGCAGTGAGCTGACCTTTTGAAATCCGGAATGATGATATTTGAAATCTGGGATGGAGAAGGTTTGTATTAGAACATCCCAGCAAGTTGTGGACTTTAGCTTGCCAGCTGGGTATCTAACTAGGTCTCAGCTTCCCTTCCCAACCCGAGCGTTCTACCTCATGCTACGTTGGTATTCCTCTGTCGACTTCCATGCCAACTTAGTATCCCATCATGACGGGAGGGCACTCGGCATCCAGGAAAGCCGCGGCAATCTCCTTGAAGTCATCACTCTCATAAGTACCCAGTTCAAGAGGATTATCCTCATATATTTTGTCGTCAAAGATCACGCAAAGATTCCTTCGAAACTGAGTCTTGGCTTTACGCCATTCCAAAAAGCCAGCATCCCCAGGGAGGAGGCGAAGGGCCTTTCGGCATTCCCACTCGGCGACGGCTTTACAGCGCATCGGACCGGCTGGGAACAGAAACTGAATGGCGCTCAGCTTCGTTCGCTCACGAAGAAGATCGTCCGAGCTTCTGGGTGAATCGCGCGCTGAAGCGAGTATTTTGCGAACGGCCACCAGGAAGCCAGTGAGAAGGTCCTAGATAAGTACAACAGAACAGCCATTAGCGGGGTGATAGGGACTGAAGGTATTAAGAATTGACATACTTTGACAATTGGACCGCACTTGAGACGAAAGTTAGAGTGTCGGAACTTGTATGAATCGCAATAGTGGGCAAATTTGACAAGTGCGTGAAGGTCCAAAGCGTCTCCACGCATGACAAGAGGGATCTGTGAGCAAAGGATGAGTTAGCGATGACATAACACAGTTGTATTTCGCTTTGAAGTAGTGGAAGCATACCTGGTAGGCAGCGATGTTGTGACTGTTGCAGATGTTCATGCCGTCAGGGTCATGCACCATAACGGAACTGGGGGTTCGAAAAGACATCTGGTTCGATTTCTTTGCAGAAAAGCTTCTCAACACAATAGAAATTGATCAACTTGACCAAGTCCTTCCGCTTCAAATAGTTCTCGAGGTATTGGATACAAGTATCCGGCCCCGGTGCAAAAGCACACTCGTGGTTGTCGAAGGTCATAGTTGTTGACTTGATGATTCCCAATGGAGGTGGAAGAGGATGTGAGTTTGTAAAGTTGGTAAGGGATGGATCGAAGGGGAGAATAGGCGACAAGAAGAAACGTGAAACTCGCAGGGCCACAATAAATAATCAGTCCAAACAAGGCAAACGCGGACTGATGGTGAATTCCTTCGGCCTCATTGTTTACTTCTCATTGCCACTACATCAGATGCTTTCCAGGCAGGTGTTTGGTCGTACTTGTTACTTGTTTGCAAGCAATGCACAACCTATGCTCTCTGATCAAACATTCAACAAAGTGAAAACAATACTTTGCATTAAAGAAGTCAGCTATGGCTCCCGGCTCGCTGCATAACAGTGGAAGGTTCAAAACGTATCCAGCACAAATCCAAATCCTGCACTCCAAAAAAACCATATTTGCCCCCCCTCCCCCCAAAAAACCCCGGGTCCTCGGCAAGCAGACGGGATTCGCACTGCTTTTCCCACGTTTTCAGGCTTTTCCTCCATTCTATCTTGTCATAGTATTCTGACCCGAGGTGGGAACCGGGTATTTCGTAGCGGCGAGAATTCGACGGCAGTGGATCTGCTCTGCAGTAACAGCGGAGGCTTTATTCATCAAGCCACGTTTTGTGCTGGCCACCGCCTTGATGAATTCGCCAACAAGAGCCTAGGGCAACAAGAGATGGAATCAGTCCTTGAATATCTTCCACAAACCATGAACGGCTTCTAGGCGGATACATACCGCTGCAAGAGCAATGAGCTGCCTCTCCACGATCAAGAGGGACTCTTCAGGTTTGGCATCCCCAGGACAACGGGCCAACCTATCCTCGATCTCCGCAACCAAGAATGTGATCAAGTCCCTGGAGACCGAAAGCATCCCCTCACATAAGGACAGGTATCTAACACAACGAGTGATTAGCAGAAAGGTGTCCAACGCGGATCATCACCCACTTCCTCCAATGGGTTTGAGCACGCCAAGACCTACAAAATCAGAACCGATCACCTCTGGACGAATGCCAATACAGACTAGCGTGGTGCCTTTGGCAGCATCCGTCGAAAGGTTTGCTTGCTCCGGCTTGGGATACTGACAGATGCAGATTTGGTTCTCTGCTGAAAGCAACTTCCTGATGGAAGGGGGTTTTCCCTCTCCGTCTTGGTAGACGAAAAAAGTCGCTTTTTCCATTGCATCTCGGCAGGCAGTGAGGCATGGAATGCAGGTATCAGGGCCCGGTGCATAGACCAAGTTTTCAGAAAATGACGACATCTTGAGCGATGTCGAGGGCAACGACGGTTGAACTTTGTGAAAATGAAATGGAGAAGCCGGGAGAGCCAGAGTCTTGGGGAAGAGGCAGCTAAAGTACCCACTACGTCCTATTATACCTCTTAAATCCTCCAGACTTTCCCTACAAAGCGTGTGAAATATCCACCAGAATTGTCCGAACTTCTCCTCGTATCCAATTTAACTTCCCGCCTCCCACATCAATGTAAAAATAACCCTAACCCGGATATCATCCCATAACAACAGGCCCTGCAAGTCCGTGTGTTTCAAACGCTTCAAGTGATCAGTTGTTCACTTCACAAGTTCGGAAGGAAGTTGCGGATATGGCAGCTCAAACTCTGGAGTTGATGGGAATTGCCACTTATTAAACCAGGAAGCATTGTATAAATAATTCTACAGCATTATCCATTTCACATTTCAATAGCCAGGAAGTGTTGTGTCATAATATGGCGTGAAAGATGCCTCCATCTTGATGTTCATTTACCTATCCCTCATCCCAACATCCATCAATTATGCTCCAAGAAATCCTCGCTTGGCTCCATGGGGGAGTGGAGGACAACACATGAGAGCTCTGCTAGCAGAGGAGAAAGACTGAGCGGGATGTAGGGCTATGCAGAACTTGGCTCCTTTCATCTTTAAAACTTACTGTGTGCTTTTCACTCTCGCAGAGAAACTCGCAGTCGCATAAGTTCGTAGTCTCATGTCATGGCATAAGACAGGAATGATAGAGAACATCGCTCTGTATTGGGGGGCGATCTTGATTTGACCTTCTGGTCTAACCACAAGCCAGAAGTTCGAGACTGCCATTTCTTATTGTCCCCGGATCCATGATCTCCAGCGACTCCCGATGTCTTCCTCTGTGCCGCTGACATTCCTTGCGAGTCAACGGTACCTTGGTGTCCTGGATCACTGGTTGAACGGGCAACATGTGTCGAGGAATCCATTCGCCATGTCCTCATATTCGGAATCCCCAATCAAGTCATACTCTTCAAGACGTTCTTGTCCAAGCTCTTGGACTGTAGGGTCGCAAAGAAATTGGCGAACATTTGCGCGGAATAAGGCCTTCGCCGTGCGCCAGTGACTGAACCCATCATCCCCGGGGAGAAGACGCAGCTCGCTGCGCTTTTGCCAATCTAGAAGGTCCTCCTGGTCGCAATCCCCTTTCTTCGGAAATAGATGCCGAGCAGCAGCGAGCATCTGAAGATGACGGATATGATTGCGAAGGTCGTCCGCAGTGCGATTCTTGACGGACAACTCGGCAATATCGACAGCCTTGACGAATTCTTCAATGAGATTCTGGTCCGAGAGAATATGACATGTTAGAATGACCTAATTTTAAGCTGGAAAGGTCGTAGGTTTATACGTACGGCCACAATACGAATGAGCGACTTCTTCAAAGTGGCAATCGAGTTGTTGGGCTTCTCCACGTCGGGATAAAGCACGATGCACTCAATTGAAGTAACAGTGAACTTGATGAGATCCTGGAGATCGTAGGCATCGCCGCGCATTATGACCGGAATCTAAGACGAAGTATTAGAAATAGGCAGTACAAAGAGACTCTATGAGTACGTTTGGTTTGGAAAACTTACCCGTCGACAGTGGTTGGACAGATCAACGCAATTGGTGCAAGCACCAGAGCTCGAGATGTTCACCTGGTCCTTCTGAGGGTATTGGATGCTACAGCCAGGGCGAGAACCCGAGAACAAATTCTGAATGCAATCGACGTTCCCGTAGTCCTGAAAAGCTTCGAGACGACACACAGGTATCGGGACCCGGTGCTTGGTCACACCTGAGAGTGGACAGCGGCATCGTGGATGGTGGTAAGACTGAGGTTGTGGGTTTGGCGAGGTGGTGTGGCAAAAAAAGAGGAAAGGTGAAGGTTTTAAAGTCGAGAGAAAATTAAATAGCCGGCCAGAGGATTGAGCGGCGGAGGCAAGAGCCACCCGTACCTTCCAATGATGGCTACCGGGTACTATTGTCCATTATTTCCACTTAGGGCCTAGAATTCAGTGGAAGATACGACTGAGCAATGTTAGGTAGGTATACTGCATTTCATGGGCAGAGTACAAAAAAAAGACAGAAGAAAAAAAGACAGAAGAAAAAAAGACAGAAGAAAAAAAGACAGAAGAAAAAAAGACAGAAGAAAAAAAGACAGAAGAAAAAAAGACAGAAGAAAAAAAGACAGAAGAAAAAAAGACAGAAGAAAAAAAGACAGAAGAAAAAAAGACAGAAAAAAAAGATAGAAAAAAAAGACAGAAAAAAAAGACAGAAAAAAAGACAGAAAAAAAAGACAGAAAAAACAAACAGAAAAAAAGACAGAAAAAAAACAGGAAAGAAGGGGAAGCAACCAGGTCCACACCTCGGAAGCTTTTTCCTCTACCACTTACATCATGCCGGCCCAAACCTCCTACAGCGGAAAGTACTCCTCGCGGAATGCCTTCACATCCTCTTCGTGGGCCTCTCCAGAGCGGATTGGCTCGTCGACAAGAACATCAAATCCAGGCTCGAGCTCTGGGCGGCAGAGAAACTTGCGGATGCCTTCAAAGAAGGCTCGCTTGGCAATTTGCCAGCCGCTGAACCCCAGATCCTTGGGCAGCAAACGCAGCTCTTGCCGTTTCCTCACGGCACGCACGACCTCGCAGTCGGCGTTCTCCTCGGAAGGGAGGGGGTTTCTTGTGGCCGCAAGCATGCGGCGGCGGTGGACTTCGTCGGCAGGCGCGCCACCCTGCCCTTCCGACTCAATTGTGAGCCGGGTGGTGACTAAAAATTCCGCGAGGAGTTTCTGTTAAGCAGGTTAGCTCCCGGTTTCGTCCCAGCTTTGATAGCACACACCTACAGCAACGAGACCGACGAGGTTTTTCTCCAGCTCAGGGACCACAGTTTCATCGTCTGGCTCAGTCTTTGGGCACAGAACGATCTACTCGACGGCGCAAACAGCAAACCGGATGAGGTCTTGAAGGTCGAGGGCGTCGCCTCGCATGGTGATGGGAATCTGAAATTCAGACCGAAGAGTTAGAAATGCCATTTCCACCAAATCATTCAAGAAATCTTAGGAGTCCACTCACGGGGATACAGCCTTCTTTCGACTCAAGACATGCTTTCGTCACGCAATCCGACGCAAAGAGATTGACACCCGAAGGGTGTGGATGCTCGCGCCGGCACACCTTCTCGGCATCCGCAAACAAGTCCTCAATGCACCTCGCCTCGTCCTGCCCGCGGCGGAACGACTCCAGACACGGGTGACACGTGTTTGGGCCTGGCGCGCGCGAGCAGGAGAGGGTCGACGGTGACTTCGTCATGGTGGCTGCTGGTGGAACTTGATGAAGTCGGGTGGGTGGGAGATCGGATGGTGTTGGCGGCGTGATGAATCTAAGTGGGATGGAAGAAAGAGAAAAGAGAAAAAGACCGGCCGGCGCGGGCGGGCGACCGGGGGCTGGGGTGCCAGACATCGACGGATGGCCGGGCCCAGCCCGGGGGCAGCGAGGCCGGGGGTACACATCCGGGACCGGGATGTCATACCGGGTGAGGTACCGGCCGCGTAACAAGAGTCGCTTGCAGTGATGCTGTTAAAGCTGCCAGACTTCCGCCGCGTTCCCCTCGGGGTGATAGTCTAGAAGACTATGGAAACCCACAAGTCGGTCGCCGATTGTTCATAACAACACGGCCTTATGTCTCTGTTTTTTTGTAGCTTGGTATCTTAAGAACTGGTATCTCCAGAAACCGTTCTCTTAAGCTGGGACGAATTTTGTTCAGTCCTCTCTCAAGTTAAGCACCTGGGTGTTAAGGTTGAAGAAGGATTGGAACGGTCATACAAAAGGTTGCTATATAAATTCGCGATACCTAGTTAGACCTTTGGGAAATGTGGCAATGTGTGCTGTTTACAGGAATAATAGACTGCCCAAGTCAATATGGCGCCTTAAGGTAACGAAGGTAATCGATGAACTAGACTGACCGAGCTGTATAAGCAGGAACATCACAAAATTCGATAATCAAAACAGCATTGAACAGAAAAGACAGAAAGAGCAAGCTCTCTGGGACCAATCCTCACCAAAAAGGCAGAGAGAGAAAGAGAGAGAGAGAGCAACCTACCATTTGACACAATCACAATAACAGAACAGAAAAAGATCAGACGAAAGAACAACAGATCAAACAAAACACCACCCCCCACCCCCCATCACAAACCCACAATGATGAGCCAAAACAAACAGCCGCAACCTTCAACTGTTAATCAACCATCAGAACAAGAACAAAGTAAATTCCAATCTGTAAAATATCTCCAAAGAATAGTAATCTAAAATCTCAAACTCTCTCTTTACCGCCCCAATAATTACCCATTTTCCCTCCTTACTACTTCCCTCCCCAATCTCACTCTACCATCAACCTGCTCACAAGCTTGCTCTCTCTCCCCGTGACTGTGCTAATGTCCAGGATGACCCTTCCCCTTCCCCTCAACAGCAGCCTTCACCCTCCCCCACCTCGCCGCTCCATACCGATTCCAGTACCCATAGCCATAACCCCCTCCATATCCATACCCAGGCTCAGGCGTCTCAGTCGGGGTGCTGGTTGTTTCGTCAGAGGTAGCAGTGGTGGTAGTTGCGGTCAGAGTCGAGAAGGTGGTTGGTTGGGCGGCACTGGACTCTGTGGTTACACCGGTTGGGTCGACAGAGGCGGTTTCAGTAGCGGGTGTGGTTGTGTTGGAGTATTGATGGGATGACGTAGATGGGAGAAGTGTGGGCTCTGTTGTGCCAGTTTCTGAGAAAGGAATGCTGGAAGTGGAAGTTGTGAAGACTGGGTCGACGGATCCCGTTTCTGAGATGGGGGCTGAGGAGGTGTAGGACGCTGTGGGGTCGATGACCGATGCCGAGGTGGTGGAGGTGTAAGTGTAAGAAGCTGTTGGGTCGACAACTGCTGTTTCGGACAAGGGAGATGAAGAGGTGGCGTAAGAGGAGGTAGAGGCTCCAGTGGGGTCGACGCTTGCAGTCTCACTTAAGGGGAAGGAGCTGGTGTACGAGGCTGTTGGGTCAACAATCGCAGTCTCTGACAAAGAGGCTGAAGTGGTGGTGTATGAAGACGAAGTTACTCCAGTGGGATCAACGCTTCCAGTGGTGAAAGTAGGGTCGACACTGGCCGTGCCAGACGAGACAGTGGAAGAGCGGTTCAAGCTAGAAGGGAAAGAGAAGGTGTAGCTGCCGTAAACAGGCCTGCTGGTGGTGCTCGAAGTGGGAATGGAAGTCTCAGCTCTGGTCGTTGTAGTGTTGACGAAAACAGGCCGAGATGTGGCACCGGAAGTGAGGGTGGAAGTGAAAGAGAGGATAGGGTCAGCGGTGCCTGTTGTAAAGATGGTCGGCTCCGACGATGTTGGCTCGATATATGTTCTCGTAGTCGGTATAGTAGAGCCATTGATCGACGTGTTGTCGGTGGAGAGAGCAGAAGAGGAGGACAGCACAGGGTCGTTGGTTCCGGTCGTAGCTACAGAGCCTTCAGATGAGGGGGCAACTGTGGGCAACGAGGAGTTGGGTAGACCAGTAATCGATGTCGAAGGACTGCCCGGCTCGGTCTCGGAGATCGGATCATAGGTGCTTGTTTCGGCACCAGAAGAGCTGGGAAGGGTGCTCACGCTCCACGACGTGGGAGCCGTGAAGCCGCGAGATGACGAAATAGGAGTGACAATCACCTCGCTGACTGTGGTTGAGGATATGTATGTTGGCTCGTAAGTGTCGGTGTCTGAACCTGTTCGAACTACCAATGAGTTAGCTACTGATGTTGACACAGAAGTCATTGTGCAACACGTACCTGACGATGTCGTCTGATACGTCACGCTCGGCTGGTACGAGTACGGGGCGCCAGAGGTATGGTTGCTCCAGATACCAGTCCCGCTCGGGTGAGGGAAGGGATATCCAGTACCACCAGTGCCTGTTGGCCAAGGAATCCAGCGAGAAGTGGAGGGCGCCGTGACTGTGGCGAAGACGGACGACGTCAAGGTCAAAGTCACAAAGCTAGTCGAGTCGACTTCAGAGGTCACCGGCAGCTCGGTGGCCACAGAAGAAGTGGTCCCAACTGGATCGACGCCTTCTGTGCTGGAACCAGTGGGAATCGAGGAGACACTGGCAGCAACAGTCGACGTCAGGTCATCCGTGATGGAAGGGAATGTCTCCATAGGTGCTGTGCTGACTCCAGTTGGCACCACAGGAGCAGTGGTATTCCAGCGACCTGTTGGTGTAGCAGATGCAAGTGAGTCGCTGGGTCCAGTGCCCCAGGGAGCAGTACCCCAGGGAGCAGTACCACTGCTAGGAAGACTGGTGCGGCTACTCCAGACATAGGTCGAGTTTGCGTATGATGGAAGCAAGGTTGTGCCTCCTGTCGGGGCTGTCCCACCAGTCGGGCCAACGATGCCGGTGGTGGAAAGGGATGCTGAAGTGTGGTTGAACCATGCAGATGAGGATAGCGAGGAGCTTCCTGGAAAGTTGGAGACCGTGTGTCCAAGTGTGCAGGAAGTCGTAGTGGGAGCAGCACGGGATGAAGAGCAACCGCCATAGACTGTGACCGTGGTCGTAGCATAGGTAGGGGTGCAAGAGCCGATGCGAACTGTCACTGTTTCTGTAACGGTCTCTGTGGATTCGGCATGGACAACATGTCCGCGGTCAACAGGAATGTGCGCTAAAGCAACGGCATGGCTATTAAAGATCAGTTACTGTGTCATGCGAGTTGAAGAAGTCAACATACCCAAGACTCAACAGAGCCAACGAGTGAATACCTCCCAACATGGCGGCGGTAGAGCCTTATCGTATGCTAAAAGAACGTAGCGGCACCTCTGAATGGACGGAGGAAAGCGACCTGCTGGCTGAAGAAGAAGAGAACCATCGCAAAAAGCATCCTCATGACCTTCTTATATCATTCCACAACCAGCAACATGTTTCGTTTCCCATCCTCCTGTTTGGTCAGAGCTGTGCCCCCGTCAACGGCCGAGTTTGCCCTTCATCATAGGAACAACCCCGGTCCAAGCAAGATGTCACCAACCTCATGTTTGCACTCATTTGGGAAAGGAGCCAGACCGATGTGGCTTGAAATGTATTGATCCGCCGGTATGAAAGGACGCACCTGGGGTGTGTCGTGAGTGTTTCCACGGTGCGCCACCTTCGACCGTTGCCAAAGGCAAACCGATCTCGCCAAGGAAAGGACGTTTTGGAGACGGCCTTGTGTGACATTAAAACAGCCTCGAAAGGGAAAAGACTAAACAGAGACCCGGGGAATCCTGGTGAGTCCTCTGCAAGCGAGCCATTCAGCTGTTGCTGAATCCCGTTTGCATGCAGCTGCACCGTCCCGATGCTTTTCACGGCCGCATATACTACCGGTGGCGTGCGCACTGCACCGGGAGGGAATGCGAGATAGCCGAAAGGACTTTTCAACGTTATATGATGGCTGTTACATGACGAGTAGGGTTGCTAGTTGGTTGTACCATGCGCGGCTCGACGCTCGGTATTGGTAAGAAACGGGGGCTGGAAACGATTTTGGTTGCTCGTTGGTCTCAGAGTAGATGTCACAGACTCTAGAAAAGAAGTCTGGGATCTAAACAAGCAGTTCGTCGTTGCCAGCGGAATGTCTTGATACAGGGTTGGCTTGTCTTTTGCAGGGGTAGCTGCTAGGTGTCAGGGACAGCCACAGTCGACGCGCATGAGAGGACATGTGGTGTCAAGATTGGCTGTGGTCTGCCGACGCATACCCAACTTTGCCATTTATCGAGATATATCACGGAACAATCCATCTCTGTTCACCTAGCGTCGACAATAGTAACTGCGAAGAATGTTAGCAAAAAGTCAAGATACACCGACCTCCACGTGGAAAGGAATACACCCGCATGTCTGCCACGAGCGATGGAAAAATAGCATGGTGGGCACAGCGATGAATGCACGGTATTAGTTGAGTCAAACAGAGACAGCTCCAGCTGTGGAAAGGCACTCGTATTGTTCATGACTCTGATTCTCCTCGTTCCTGCAGCGGCTGACCTGCGGCTGGCCGATGGCAAGGCGACACGAAAGCCGTGCTTCCCCATCACAGACGGGCGATGCGGCTGCCATAGCTAACGCCCAGGGAGTACAACCGAATAGGCGGGCTTTTTCACCAAAGAAATTGGCGGACCGACCTGCGGAAACGGCCTTGGAAAGGGGCCCACCAGATCTTGCATGTTGACGACGTCTGCTGTGCGCGTTACCTGTCATGCCTGAAGATCGGTGATCCGGGACCCGGGGTGGCTGGCGGCGTGTTTCCAAGCAAATGAGATGCACGTCAGATAAATGAGGATGCTGTCGTGGACGGAGTCGTGCATTAAAGTATTGAAGCGGTGACCAGGAGGCAAGAAACCTGGAGACTCGGGATCGGAAGCCTCAGTGACGGAAGCCGGGCCTGTCCATCAACCATCCCGACCGGAGAATACGGGGATAGTGGTCAGACTCGCCAGTTCCGAGAACAACCTGACCTGCTATTTTGGTAAGTAATAGAAGTTTCTGGCGTCTGTTTTGTGTTCTCCGGTGCGGAACATCGAGGGTTCAAGGGACACTGGGGCTCGACAGATGGCTCGAGAACTCGAGGTCTCGGTGAGAAAGCTGCTGAAAGAAATCGAGTTCTGAAACCTGTGACTGGGAGTGAGGGGATGATCCTGGACACGATAATGACGGATGCACAAACCCGGAGGCCTAGGTGTCTTGGAGGAGCGAGGATGATGAACTGAGAATGTCTTGATGTCATATTCGAACGACCGCTGAACAACATATCCAACAAAATACCTACCCTACGAGGAAACGTTACAATTTTGTAGCTTCGCTGGTGCCCAAGAAGCGCTCCTCGGCCGTCTTCCAGTTGATGACGTTCCAGATATTCTCGACATACGCAGCCTTTCCGTTGAGATACTAGGAACCGGATGTTAGCTTTCAAGATACAGCAAAGAAAAGAGCTCGGAAAAAAATTACCTGAAGATAGTAAGCATGCTCCCACATATCGACACCAAACACGGGAACATCTCGTCCAACCACCGGATCTTGATCCTTGGTGGTCACGATCCGCAGCCCATTCGCACTGTCCTTGACCAGCCAGCCCCAGCCACTTCCTTGAATCCCCAGCAAGGTGCTAGAGAAAGCGTTCTTGAAGTCGTCCAGACTGCCCCAGGTCTTCTCAACAGCAGCCACCAGCTCTTTTGCAGCCTCGGGCTTTGTCTCTTCGCTCTCGGCGGGGGCAAGGTTCTTCCAGAACAGCGAGTGGTTGATATGCCCACCACCGTTGAACTTGATGACCTGCTGCATCTCGATCTGACTGGCAATATCGCCTGCGCCAACAGCAGCAACGTGCAACCTGAGAGCGTTGTTCAAGTTTGTCACATAGGCCTGGTGGTGCTTGCTGTGGTGCAGCTCCATGATCTGGGCTGAAATGTGCGGTTCCAAAGCCTGCAATTCAGTGTTAGCGCATGACACCTAGCAGACGGAGCAGTCGAGACTTACATTGTAAGCATATGGCAATGCCGGCAGGGTGTACTCTTGAACAGCCATCTTGGTAGCGTTAAAGTCCTCGCCGGAGAAGGCCCTCAAAGGCGCCTGGACGGCGAGATACTTCAAGATATTGTCAAAGTTGACCATGATTGCCAGCTAGCAAGGTCCCCAGAGATCCCCAGAGATGTCCACGAATGAAAGCTCCCCAAAAGTGAAACGTGCTCAACGCAGTCCTCGGCGGATCAGCTGTCTTCTGCTTTCCTTGTGGAGATGCCGACAATGCGGTATTGACAGCGGACGACAGATTGGTGATGGCGAACGGTTTGTGAGCGGTGTCCTTGTCACTCTGAACCAACCCGCGCAAACATGCTCAATCGACCGCGTCCCTCTTGTCGCGCGGCCGGATCTCCGAGCGTTGCAGCGTTGCGGATCATGGTGGGGCAACCCCTTCCCAAAACAGGCCGCCAAGCAGTGTCATAGCATCTCATTGGTCAGGTGGCCACAACCCTGGGTCACATCCCCAGATTTCTGGCACGGGTCGCCCTCACACAACCCTGCTTCCCGACCTTGATGGCCCTGCCCTTCACCAACCTTGATGGCCTAGCCTTCTGCATCTTGAGACACCTTTGAGATATGCGCGCAACGAGAGGCGAGCGGGAAGCTCATGTATCCCGGCAGGTGAAGTAGGATGGAACTACCTTGATAGCTGGAATAAATACAACTGTGTCCCATCATCTTGAGTTTGCTCATCTTCAATCCCAGCTTCAAATATCTACATCACAACCAACGAAATGTGCGGCCCAGAAACCCCCTCCAACCTCCCCAGAGTCGGTGCTCGTGTAGACTTCTACTCGTCCTCTACCCGCCAACCATTAGGAAACCTCCTCTTCCACAATCCATCCACTCCTTCCAGTTCAAGCGCTACCCACGTCCGGTTCTCGTCTCCTTCATCAGGCTCAGCCTGTTCTTCACGATCCTCTTCACCAGTGCCATCTAAGAAGGATGATGAAGATGTCCTAGTATCCATCCAGTGCGCTCACCACCTTGTTAACTACCATCTCTCATCCAGAGACTAATGAAGTTCTAGTGTCTCGGGCGACATGAGCAAACCCATCCGAGAATCCGGACTGCTCCAGCAATTCTTTCTCCCAAGCACATCCATAGAAGCACACTATGAGGTTGCGCTCCGAGAAAAGCTGTCACTTGTGGTTGGGATAGGCATCATCGGACGGAGAGTTTCCATGACCAGAGGCGATGAGGTGCTGGCTGATGGTATCATCGGGTTCAATGCGCTGCCGGAAAGCATGGCTTCTCTTTGAGTGTTGCTGCAGCACGTTTTTGTATTTGTCAGAGACGTTGAACGTCGTGGTTGGCTTATTAGCATTGGTTCGGGTCAGGATCAGGTTGGGATGCTTGGTACCGGCGTTTGTGGCTTGGATCAAGGGGAGCGTTTGTTTGGTCAACAAAGAATAATGGCTTCAAGATGCATTTCTAATCGCGATATATGCAGACGCTTACGGCTCTTTGCCGTGTGATGACCTCTTGAAGATTAAATGCCATGCCGCCCAAACTCCAAACAACAAACCGTCCATCAAGCCTGGGTCTCGTCCCAGTCCGACCACTTCCTCACAATATCATCCACCACCTCAACCGCCTTCCTGCTCGCCTCAACCTCGAACCACTCCCGGTGCTCCTTGCCACAAGCCTCGCACTTGCCGCGATCTCCAGCTCTCAGCCCAAGACCATCTAGCTCAATGTGCACCAAGCGTTCCACCTTGTGACTATGAGGTACTTTGCGCTCCGTCGTAGTTGTGCTGTTGGACGGGACATAGGGATAGTACCGAATAAGCGAGATGTTATACCCGCACTGCCGCTGCCATTCGTTCAACCTGCGCTGGACGTTGGTAGCCCGACCAATCTTCAACAGAATCTTCTTGTTGGTGTGCGAACTTCTTCCATTACCACTGCTGGGACGGGGTCTGTCATCATCGTCGTCGTCGATAAAGGCCGCAAACGAGGCGAGCATGTCGCTTATCGTCCTGGAACCTGACGGTCGAGCAGATGGTGATAGCAAGGACCGAGCGGTCTCCGCTGCGGGGGTCAAAGGTTGGGACTCTGGAGTCAGCCAGAAGATGTAAATGTAGCCAGGGTCGTCATTTTCCGAGAAGGGCTTGGCTAATTCTTTCGCTAGCTTCGCGGCGGTTTCGGGGGGCGCATCCGCGGGAATCAACGCGGCATGGTTCTTCTTCTGCGAAGATGTCGGACGCGCAGAAGGAGGCCTGGCCGAACTTGGTCTTGAGGGCTTGTTCCCGCTCGGCCTATAAGGCACCGAGGCTGATGTAGGCTTCTGAAGTGGCACGGGCTGAGGGCGAGGGGGAGGCACGAGATCGTCGAGCGGAAGTGTAAAGCAGAAGCAGCAGGTGATGCCCTTCTTCTTTTCTGGGCGCGCTGACTGGGAGTATCCGCCGCTGTATTTGCTGGGCCTAGGTTCAGAATGTGTCTTCACGAGACCTAGCCTCTCCGCAAGAGTGTCTATGCTCGTTCGTCCCTCCAGTATCGGTGTATGAGACAGCTTCGGGCCGGGGCTCGAGTGGGCGGACATGGCCGCCTGTTCCTTGTGTTGCCAGCAGTACAAGTCTGGATCGCTCGGGTCGTCGACTTGGAGTTTGTTTCTCTTGGACTTTGGCGGGGGAGGGGCATCATCACTGAGGAGCGAGCGCCTACATGGGCGGCCGCTGCCTGTGATTCCTCGACATGTCGTCCCTGGATCTTTCGAGTCGGAACGGCCGAGGCGAGATTCGGGGGTGTTGGCAAAGATAGGCATGGCGCTGGAGCTGGTTGTCGAGCGAAGACATCGGCCAGCAGACTGTGAGCAACTTCAAGATATATACCTGAAGTAGCCGCTGAGTCCACTGTTGGTGCGTGACTGCAACTGCGCGCGCTGGCGGTTGTGGGCCTGCATCTTGGGCTGCCTGGTTTCAAGGTGTGGATAGTTCGGCATCCCTGAGCCGGCGCTCGAAGTCAGGGGGCTGGGTCTGTAATGGGGAAAGTGTGGCTGACGCAGCCATTTTCAGGCACAGCCACGTTATGCTCCACCTGTCAGGGCGCGAGCTTGATTCGCCGTTGAGGGAGCCACGTGTTTTGGTAGCTGTCCATCAGGTCGCAGTTCCATCAACACTATATCAGATGGGATTCTGCACATTTGCGAGTTTGCTCAGTCGTTGAAACAATGGGTTGTTTCTTTGTAACGAGTTCTGGTTACAATGGCATTCAGCTGCAGCACCACGGCTCGGTGAGCCGCCTCATTGCTCAGCTCGGTGTCACACAACATCAAACAGTCAGGCAGAGCACGTTGCGTTTCCCTGCAGCAAGCAACTAATGGTTGGTCCCATTCCAGGAACTGATGAGGCTCGATTCCCAATCGGTGGCCTTCAATTGCTCAGAAGAAGATATCCTTCAACGCGCGAACACCGCGTTAGGCGTAACATTTTGCGCTAGCTTCAGCCAATGGTAGCGCTCGGCTTGTCCCAAAAGGGCAATTGGACAACATCAGAGAGCTGCCATCGCCAATGGTCATGCCCAGCTTTCTCTTGTCACAAAACCCATGCTTAGATTGATAGCAGCGCTAACAGTGACAATTTTGCACACAGTTGCCGATTTTCATCCATGATCTTTCCATGTTGGATCGATGCCAGACACAACACCCTCCGGCCATTAAGTTCAGAGCTCCGAAGCACCTCCCAAGCAACGTTAACTTTCATGTCACTTCTCCAAGGATTGGCCATGGTCAGATGTGAGAAGGCGACTTGAGAGTGTAAAATCTCTCAATTGTCTGCTGTTGCCCAGAAAAACCAGGGTTCAATTCTCATCGAGAACTCCCCTGTAAACCTTGGTTCCTCGGTGTTTTTCGGGCGTCTGCACTTCGATATCCACATGTTGATCTTGCGCATTGGAGCCTACTGGCAATGAAAACTGGATATTATTGTGAACTACGGGCTACAAGTCGGGCGTTCTTTTTCTCCTTCACTTTTTACCTGATATTCCTCAACCAAACCAATAAGATATCGCAACCAAAATAAACTCCAGGAGACAGAAAAGAAAACACGTTCTACCCCGTTTTACGACTCACAACTCGCACACATATGCTTCACATCCAGGTTACCTAGGTTAACATCACTTCTTTCCCTTCTTCCCATCCTTGACCCCCTTCTTATCGTTATCCTCCTTCTTCGCACCCTTATCCCCCTTCCCTCCATCGCCTTGTGCATTCTCCAAAAACTCGCGCAACCTCTCTGCGGTAGTCATGGTATCAACGTGCGTCTCCCCCAAGACTTGCTCCTGCGTTGCGAGCGTGGCCCGAAACAAGTCTTCCGCCTCCTTTCTCTTGTTTCTGGCAGCATAGTTGAGGGCAAGGCTTTGTGCCGTATGTAATGTTTCCGGGGCGTCCCTCCCAAGCCAATACCCCTGCAGCCCGAGTATCCTCTCCAGCTCCTGTCCTGCCGCTTCCCACTCCTCGGCTTCCTCGAGGAACAAAGCAACATTGTGTCGGGTGATGAGGGTCTCGGGATGGGTGTCCCCGAGGACTTTGATCTGGCTCTGCAAGGCGAGCGCGAACATCTGCTCAGCCTGTGTGTTTCCCTGGCGGGCGTAGAGACAAGCGAGGGCACGCAGCATGCGGAGACACTCTGGGCTTTCAGGGCCAAGTCTGTCGCGGGCTATGACAATGGCCTGTGAGAAATGTTGTTCGGATTTGGGGAAGTTTCCTTGCCGTTCGTAGGCTATGGCGAGGGAGTAGTGAGCGTTGGCGGTACGCATGGTGTTGAGGCCGTGGGTGTTTATTGCTGATTCCAGCAGGCGTTCAAAGAGCACAGCTGGGTCGTCTTCAAGGGTGTCTCCATTCTGTGGTGCTAAAGAAGAAGAGCCGTTGCCCGAAGGGTCATTGTTTCCAGGTGTACCAGAAGCTGGAGATCCACTCGTGGGTGCTGGGAGGCCGCGGTTGTTTGCGAGGTTGTTGGCCTTGGTCTGGCTGGGCTGTCTCATGCTTGGGTGGGCTAGTCTCAAAGCAGCCAGTTCGGCTAGCTTTTGAATGGTGCTCGTGTGTTCGCGTCCAGAGCTCTCTTCTAGAAGCCGAAGCTCGCTGCGCAGCTCCTGAGGGTTGGGGATGAAGCAAGCACGGGATGACGGTTTCTTGCCACCCGCCACAGACAGGCTTTTCTGATCCAGGCCGAGTTTGTCGAGAGCTTGTCTGGCTGTCTCGACATCTTTGTCTGACAGATAGTAACGCCGTTTCGAGTCTTCCGAACGTCGAGTGAGAGCCTTCTCGAAGTGCGATTTTGCGGCTTCCATCCGGCCAATGTGCTGGTAGTACTGGGCAACCTTCAAGTGCAAAGTTGCAGTGCACTTGCCTTCTGAAAACTTCGTACGAAACTTTAGGGCAGCAAGGATGCTGGGGAGCAATGCTTCATCCAACTCATGATCACCATCCTTCAAGGTCTCGTAGAGCTGGCGAAGGACCTTCTCTTCAATTAATTCCTTCTCTTTCCTTTCCTCAAGATAGCGTTGCAGACAGAGGCGGACAATTCCGGTCACACGAATGAATCTATCATCTGCTGACCTCTCTATCATGCCGTACATTTCCAATTTTGGGGTCAGCTTCCAGTCAGCCTTCTGGAAGAAGTCTTTCGGGATACTCTGAACTTCCAAGACGCCAACTGAGCAAAGTAAACTTGCCGCTTCTGGGTGCTTTTTCTCCATCACTCTGAATAGTCGTTTCCAAGCTAGCATGGCATTCGTCGTATGATCGGGTTTGGTCGAGTCAGGAAATCCGACCATGCCTTCGTATTCCTTCAAGTTGATCTTCTTGTCGATCTTGTTGCGGTAAGCGTGTGGAAATGCAAGGACACCAGCTGTGCCCCCAAGCTTCTTGGCCAGCTGTTTGGCTTGTTCGAACCTCGGTGTGTCCTTTGGATTTTCTCCAAGAATCATGAACACGGCGTCTTTGTCTTGAAGGGGTTTAACTTCGACGACGAATTGCAACCTTTCCGCAAAGCGTCCTGCCAGACGTGCCTGCCTTGTTGTAACCAGAACCGTGCTGTGTCTGCCCCTGGGAATAAAATCCCAAAGGCTCCGCTCATCATGTGTGTCAGAGTCTGTGAGCCAGTCCAGCGAGGATTCATCGTCAAGACCATCCACAACCATCAGCCAATGACTGTTGGCGCTTTTCTTGAGCGCGTGGCGGACGTCCCTCACAACATCTTGCGGCGAATTTGGGTCCCTGAGACGGACTTGAAGGCCCTCCGCTATACGCTTGTATGAGAACTCGAATTGCTCGGCGCTGCCCGCGTCGATCCAGTGTATGTGAGCGCCGGGGTTTGCGATACAATATCGATAAGCATATTCAACGGCGATGTGTGTCTTTCTGTGGCCGGTTCAATTAGTCTGCTGCGGAATCCAGCTTTCAGTATGGACAAGTGGCATCGGAGATGAGAGTTAAAGATGCTTACCCAGTCCCTAAACCTCCGGTGAGTGCTACTACTAGGCCGTTTTCGTCATGAAACTTTTTTTCAAGGAGACCTAATATGTCTGCTCGGTCCACAAAGTGACCATCCTTCCTGATTGGAATTGGAAGCTTTGCCAAGTGTGGCAGGTGACTGTGAGACTGGCTGGGCTTGGAATCTGTTGAGTATAGGAGTCAGACTACTTGTCTAGTGATCTGCGTGGGTACGAGTACAAATGGAAAGGAGAAGCTGTTTGGATTCCGTCAAAATGCAGCATATGGATCCAAATATTCCTAGTTCTCGGCGAATAGACCCCATGGTCTGACCAAAGCCCCGAAACCCTGATGAGGAACCACCTTACCTACTTGCTTCCTCCTCTCCTGGTTTTCCCTTGCCACCTTGGCCATTTTCACAATCTGCTGGCGGACTGAGTCGTAGTTGGCATCTTCATTGTCTTCGAAGGTGTTCATGTTGAAGTGGTCGGCATTAAGACCTGTGGAGCCGTGGCCGTAGACTGTCGCAGATGACTGCGTAACAACAAATTCCTAAAAGAGAAGTTGAGATGTTAGTGATACCCACCTGGAAGGAATGTTGGAAATGGAATTGTCAACGTACCTGAGGCAGACTTCCGATCCCACCGAGCTTCCCTATGCTGGACGCATACATCTCGTAGAAAGAGTAGATTTCGGGCTGGACCTTGACCTCATTCTTCAGTACTTGGTTGAAGTCCTGAACAATTCCATGAAGCATTTGGTTGTTGTGCGTCATGACCTCGAGTGTCTCCAAGTGGGTCTTCACTTGAGCGGCTACGATTGCTCGATAGATATCGCCCTCCGTGCTGAGTGCGGAGTTGCCGTCCACTCCAGCATGTGGGGTACCAAGAAAGATAAGCCCAGTGATGGCGTCGATGAGTCCAGGAAAGTTGGATCTGTGGGAGTGGGCGATGTGGAAAGCCTGTATGGAATACATGTCAAGAGCTTGTCATTGATGGGTATGGTAGAGAAACACTTACACGCTGAAGTATCAAGCCGCCAAAACAATGAGCGACGAATATGATAGGTCGTTCGGTGCATTTCTAGACATGACAGAGTTAGAGCGCAGCTTGGATAGAAACTGGGGCATAGCCTACCTCTCTCAACTTCCCCATCAAAGCGTTCAGTAGCTGGTCAGCCGCCGTATTGACTGTTTGCCTGACAGCGTTTTGGCCATGCCAGGCAGACTGGTATCCAAAGTACAATATCCTTGCTCTAGGCAAATCGGCAGGCAGCATGGACTTGTCATCAAGCCAGTTGACCTTTGTTGCTTTGTGTGTCCAAGTCTTGTAGGGGTCGGCACCAATGCCGTGGATAAAGACAAGACTAGGTAGAGTGCCAAGTTAGACCGCTGCAAAGAAACATCAACTTGTACCCAAAAGAAATGGCAAGGTTCTCACTCAATGTCGGTTTCTTCCTCGGCAGGTTCAACCAGCTTCCTCAAGCCCAAATACTTTCGCTCGACTGTAATCATTGCCGGTAGCCCGCCAGGACCCTTCGTAGTCTTTGGCTTTGAAGCATCCTCGGTTGGTCCCTTCTGCTTGACATCTGTGGATGTCTGAGCAGTGTTGCTTGGCACAACTGGTACCTCGGGACCGGGCAAAGGTTTGGAAGCTGACTTGGATTCTTGGGCAGTGACAACTGGTTTCTCGGTCGCTGGCTTTGTGGCATCTTCTGGAGTGGTACTAGGAGCAACCTTTGTTGCACTTGAAGTCTGTGGGTCTCCCGCGGATTGACTTGTAGTAGGTGGGTCTGGCTGGGTTCCATTGGGCTTCGAGGCAGTGTTCGTAGCCGCCGTCGAGACTTGGGGAGGGCCATCCCCTGGGTTTGGGCTCTTGGGAGCCCCGCTCAACCCTGGGGTCTCGTTCTTTGCCTCGTTGGTTGTCGGCTTTGGCTGGTCCATCTTGAAGAAGGTATTATTCACTTAAAAATGTTGCTCAGGTAGAAAGTCTATTGAAGTGAGAAATATGATGATAGGTAGCCCATGGGACTTAAGTCAGGAATGTCCCTATCACGGCAGAGGTCTTATAATCCTGTCTTCATGCTCTTTCAGACTGCGCGTCGTCGTGCCTCACAAGGCTCAAGCATCATGGTTTTCAGCCGCATTGTCAAATCCCCCAAGTCTGAGCCCCAAAAGCCTCCCTCACAGGGATGTTTATGCCGGTGCCTGTCTTTCCATTTTCAGACTATGATGATGCCTTCGCCGGTCAGGATTTGACCAATCGAAGTGCAAGAAAAAAGATACTTTTACCTGAAGTACTGGCCAGTTGAAAAGGGCGTTCCAGCATGAGCTGCATGCATGTGCATGACCTAAATTGCGACCTTTTTACATAACCTTGTTTGAGAAAAAGCAACCTATCAATCCCAATCACTTCTGAGCCTGATAATGCTCTCGTGAACATCATGGTCCGGTGGAGATGAGGCACTGCCCGTGGTTCTACAAAAACCGTCTGTGCCTGAAGCGGGAAGGATTAACGGTAGCCGCCGCCCTCCCGGGCGGGTGCCATACTGGCGACAGGCACTGCCCCAACTCACAAACTCGGTCAGACGAGATAGCAGGTTGGTGGACGCCTTGCGGAAAGGGCTTGCGTCTCCACGCATAACAAATGCTGCGCGCGGGGAATGCCTGGCAAATCAATACGAACCAAGTCATCAGCCATAGGCTTGTGTGACACACCAGTGGCTTGTAGATCTCAACCACTCGTTGGTCCAGCATAGTCAAGAAATTGGCGCCATGAATTCAAGGCACACCACCAGCTAAGACCGACGACTTAATGACTAGCTATTGTTGAGTTGGACCCAAATCACTCAGCGCTTGTAGTCTTGCTTTATTCTCTCTTTGGGGCTAAGTGCATATATGGAAATGCACAAATGCTCGCGATAGAAGTCGATCGAATGCATATTCAAGAGTTTTAGTTCAGCAGCCCCATATTTGGAACTCAGCTTCTCCAATTTCCATTTTCTCCCTTGAATCTCTTCCAACACACAACGCCAGACTTACGTATCCAGCTGCCAGGCTACGGCGACAACCTCATCCGACACAATCAAGCCCGGTCCCACTAATGGCGGCTCACGAACAAACCAGACCTACGATGAACCCACCTGCCGGAGGCACAGAAAACGAGGACACCACCGTGCCCGGTCAACCTACTATTCCGTTCAATGACAATGCGAGGATCGTCACTTTCCTCACCACCGACCTCTCGACCGAAAGATTGAACAGTCTCTATTCGCTGCTATTCCTGACCGGCAAGCCTGAGAATATCTCCCCCTTACACCACCAACCCATCAAAGGGCGCACGATTCTCATCACCGAAAGGCCTGATCTGCACCTCATTTGGAACATCGACCGGATTTTCATCAAACCACTTCCGAAATATCTGCTCAGCCACTCGTTTTGGAAAGCCCACCTCCACCACCGACCTGGCAGATTGGACATTACGACCCCCACGTTATGCAACCCCAAAGACACCCTCCGTCTCGAAGCCCAAGGCTTCCTGCGCACTTACTCGCGTCTCATCCGACACGAGTCGGACTTTGATATGGCCCAAAGCCTGGGACTCCTCCCCAAGAGTCTAGACTGGGCCGGTTGGTCGCATTACATACAGGCATATGCATACCTTCGGGACACCCAAGTGGCCAGACGCTATCACTACGGCGAACTTCGCTTGCCAAGACTCAACGCCTGGACAATGGTCTGCCGCGGGGAACATTACTTTCAAATTCACTACGACCAGTTGTCCTTCTTTTCCTGTTTTGGCGGGCCGTATCTGCTGCTGTTCGGTGCAGTTACGGTGATGCTCGCGGCCCTGCAGACGGCTGTGCAGATGGTGCCGGAGGGGGGTCCTTACCGGGAGTTTGCAAATAGCTTTGTGCCCATGTCGATCGCGCTGACGGCGGCGGGGTTGCTGTCTTTTCCGGTGCTGTGGTTTTTGTTCACGATGAGGGAGCTGTGGTTGTTTATCTTCCGATATCGATCGCTTGCTTTGTGAGACAATCTCGACAACAACACCACAACCCAATGTGTGCACATTTTGATTATAGAAAGTTGCTTTTTTCTTCACAAATCCAAGCATAAAATAGAATCTCTTGGCATTATCAGGCTGTGATCCATTATAGGGGTATTTACACTAGCAACAACATTGCCATGAGACCCACAATTATCCCTTTGTTGGCTCCTTTTCCGTCAGCAAAAACACACTTACATAGGTAGGAAAACAATAGATTAGACTGTCAATCTGAAAACTCAATAAAAAAAATGAAAAAATGGCAAAACCATGTGTGCGTCATCACTACTGTTCAATGAATCCCCTCGGTCCTTGCTGCTTTCCCTTCACAACCTTCTTTTGCCCCGGAGCCGCTGGTCCACCAATCCGCTTTGACATCTCCTGTTCCAATAGCCTCATCCCTGCCTTGTTCTGCTCGAAATCCAATTCCTCGTCATGGGCATCCCATTGATAGTCCACCTTTTGCTGATTGTTGGCATGTGCGAAGTTCAGCTTGTTCTGGTCTGTGCTGCGCTGGAAGTCCAACTTTCGCTGGTCCGCCTTCACATCGAGCTTGGCCATCGACTTCTTGAGCGTGACTTGCTGCTCGCCTGTCTTCTTGACATTGTCGCGGGTTTCCTTGTTCATCTTGTGGAGCTGGTGAACCTTGTGCTTATCGACTGCCTCGGTGGCCTTGAGCTTTTGCTTTTCCATGGTTTTGTGAGTGAGGAGTTTCTGCTGGTCGATCGCTTGTGCGGCTTGAACCTTTTGCCAGTCTGTTCTCTGCTGGGTGATGAATTTCTGGTAGTCGGCTCTCTCCTGAGTGACAAGCTTGTGGTGGTCTGTCATCTGTGTCTGGTGGAGCTTTTGCTGATCCATCATTTGGGTCTTGCGGTAAGCCTGATAGTCCAGCATCTGTGCGAGGTGGACTTTCTGATTGTCCATCACCTGCTGGTGGCGCTCGTTGATGTGATGCTTCTGAGCGAGACCATTGTTGTCTACCGCGAGAAGTCCGGCTTTGTCTTGGTTGGCGAGCACGCGGCCCCGGTGAGCAATGTGGTTCTTTTCTTCCAATGTTTGGAGTTGCTGGAGTGTGACTTCTGCGTCTTGATGCAACTTGCTCTCATGAAGGATGTTGCTATTCTGGACCTTGTGAACTGTAGCTTGTCCTTCTTGAACCAGGCGCTGCTCGTGGCGGGTTTGCTCAATGAAAATCTTCTGGAATTGTGCTTCTTTATCCCGACGGAGCTGGTCATCATGGTCCCGCTGGATCTTCTCAAGGCGTTTGATCTCTTTTGCAAGTGTCTCAGGGTAGCCGATTGCGCCGAGTGGCTGATCAGCAGCGACGTCAGACCAGTATCTATCCTCAGCCCCCTTATCTCTCAGCATTTGCTCAAGGGCGTAGTTAAGCTCAGCTTCCTTCTCCGAATTTGATGGATGGAGGAATTTGAGATACATGGTTGGTGAGTAATGACAAGTGATCATGCTTCCCGTTTTCGGACTTGGCTCTTGCAGGGTATATACGTTGTTGTCGTTGTTGATGTCGTCCCAGACCATGTCAAGAAGAGCTTTGATCACTGCGAACGGTCGCGGATTTTCCAGAGCCAATATCAGGGCATTCTTCCATTTCGGTGTCTTCCAAAATTGAAAAAGGTCCAAACCACCTTTCTTGAGTTCAAGAAGAGTGTCCTCCATATCCACCTGACTGCCACTCCCATCACAGCAGCATGCCATTTCATGTAAGGGGGTTCGAACCCCGTGAAGGAAAGACGCAAAGTTGACAGAAAAGTTCTTGGTCGCTATCAGGGCACGGCAAACCTTGCTGTGGAGGTTCCTTGCAGCTTCGTGAAGGCTGCCATCGTTGGGCCTGTATGGCATCTTCAGCAGAGCCTTGACAATGTCAAGGTGACCTTCGCGGGATGCATAGAACAAAGCGGAACTGTCCAAGCTGTCCCGTATTCGGGTGTTTGCCCCGGCTTTGATCAGGTGATTGACAACTTCAGCATGCCCAAAGGCGGCGGCAAGAATGAGCGCTGTGGCCTTCGAAACCGGTGCCACAAAGTTCACATCGACTACTGTACGACCGTTATTAGCCACATACTCAGAAGAAAGTATTGGGGCACGTCAGCCTACCTTTGGCTTCAATCAATACTAGGATGACACCTGGCTCAATTGGGCGACTTCCTGGTGGTCGAGGCAGCAAACTCCAGAGAAGGGCGGTACAAGGCTCAGGACCATAGTCGCTGCCATATAGGGCGGTTGGTTCCGTCACGTCGAATTTGACGCCCAACTTAATCAAGCGCTTCACAAGTTTGATGGAACCAGGATGGGCCGCCAGACACTCCCTGACTGGCGCGCGGAGTTGGGGTATCGTCTTTCTGAACGTCTGAACAACATTAGAGCCATCAGATGATGTGACAATGTCGATGAACAAAAGTGCTGTCTCTTCAGTCAGTGAGGTAACCATGACTTCGAAGAAAGCACCCTCAATCGTGTCCACTGTTGCCCCACGGCCAAGAAGCATCCTCAAGACTTCAGTGTTTCCAGCCCTAACTGCCAGCTTCAGAGCTTCTCCAGACTGAAAGTTGACATTGGCGTGTCCAACACTGAGCATAGTCTCAACCATAGCCTCTGAACAACGGTGCATCAGATATGCCTCAATGGCAATAAGAAAGGCGTGGTTGGCTTGCTCTCTCCCTCGGCCACCCCACGTGAGCAGATCATGGACAAGCCAAAGATATTTGTCGTCCGGAGCGAGCCAGTCCTTAGAAGTCTGGATGACACCCTGCAAGGCATCAATGACTGTGCGAATATCGACATAGGCAGCGAAGAGCTCGAAAGCATCCCGCTCGTAGCTTTTGGCGGCATGACAGAAGGCTTGTCTGACATCGCTCCCTGAAACACCAAGATGAAGTAGTGCGCGGATTGTCGAGAGACCAGCCGGCATTTGCCATTTAGGATTTGCTAGAGCAGCGCGGAATCCAGCCAAGACTTCTTCTGGTGACTGACTGGCATGGGGTAGAAGGTTGAGGAGTGACAGATCCAAGCTTCTACAAGCAACTTGGAACACCGACTGCTCAAGAGGTTGGCGATTGTAGCCAGCTGCATGCAGTAGTCGTTTGACAATCCCAAGGCGTACCTCACTATCTGCAAGGCCAATAGAAGCAGAGACAGCAGCCTGCAGAGACTGTAGAGTGACTGAACCAGACAACAGGACGGAGAGAATTCCCAGCCACCCCTTTGTCGAAGCGAGCACAAGCGGCTGGCCTCCGTTGAAGTTGACATCTGCATTGGCTCTTTGTACCAAGAGTTGCACCAATGAAGACCGTGACGTAGGGTCGCCCTCAAGAGAATCCCCGTGGAGCGATATGGCGAGCAATCTGTTGACTGGCTCTCCCTCCAACCCAGCAGGAAGCAAAAGGCTGGCCATATCGTGGATGATTGAAATCGACCTCACCGAAGCTAGCGAGTCGACTGTTGTAGAGATGGCGAGCTTTGACGGCCCTCCATACAGCACGGCTTTGAGCATCGGCACAGAGCGGCTCTGAATGGCAGCATGTATCACCGCCCCGTTCTTATGCTCGATTGATGAGCCATGTTGAACAAGCGACTGGATGAGCTCAACCGACCGCCTCTGTTTGACAGCTTCAAGCAAGACTTCATCTCTCACAGGACCTTTTGCCCCTGACTGTAGACAAGCAATCAGGGCCCGGTCTAGACCAGCGGTGAATGCTTCTCCCACCATGGCGTCCAAGACAAGGGGGATAGATGCCATCTCGGGTGTAGACGCAATGGCGACAGCAATATCTTCGTGGTGACCCAATATCGCGGCTTTGAGTGCAGCTGCATTCTCAAATTTCGGGTCCGCCTGTGCGTCCAGCAAATTCTGAACCTTCATGTAGTTGCCTGATGCTGAAGCCCGCACCAACCCCTTGTGCCGGCAGTCTCCGCACGCTCCTTTAAGCTTTCCCAGCAGGAGGGGAAGCATGTCATTCGGACCGTTGTCCACAGCATGCAAAAACTGCTCATGCAGGGGCTCAGCATTCGCACCACCGGATATCAAGACAGACGCTTTGGCCGTATCATTCTGGGTGATGGCAAACGGAAGTGCTCTGTCGAACGCGTCTTGGTCCGCCTTCAGGGCGAGTGCATAGACGATCTCGTATGAGCAATTCTGCACGGCTCTCTCAAGAACATCACTGCGAATATCTTCTTGATCTCGGCCGGTCATAACCTTGAAGAGGTTGGTACTCTTCCGTCGCTTGATGGAAGCATTGGCTTCGAAGTCGGTCTGCAAGGCATAGACAAGGGCCGGAGTTGCATCGGGAACTTTTCCCTCGACGATACTTGCGAGAACCGCATTGGCGTCTTTGTAGGTGAATTCTCCTTTGGACTTTCGACTCTTGTTATTGCAGTGCTCCGACATGAGAGCTTTGGCCCGGGCCACTTCTTTCTCCGAGAATTTCATGTCGGGTTTGAAGATGGTGGACACGGTTCTGCACAAGCTGGCCCTCACGCCGAAAGGTGATGCTGGTGAGGAGAGTGGAGGCGAGTAGGGGGTTATTGGTGGACTCATTGGGGGACTCATTGGTGGACTCAATGTCGGGGTAAAAGCAGGAGATGCTGAGAACATTGTTGTTGTCGATGGTGTTGGTGGTGTTGAAATTGTTCGAGTGGAGCCCACTGTGAGATGCATTGGGGCTTCCATCGTTTCGAAGAGTTGGCTACCTACCTAGGTAAAGTACCTAGGTAACAATGTCTGAGGAGGGCTTTTGATTTCAAACACAGCCTAGCTTTGGTGAGATGAAGAATAGGGACAATTGAAGGAATTCTTTCCTGGGAATCTTCTGGGTACCCTCTTCCCACGGCTTTGGGTCAGTTCTAGAGATGACAGCGAACTGACAGAACTTCCATGTGAGGCTCTGCGGCAAAGCAAAGCGCACAATGAGCGGAGAACATGCAGTGTTGACTGCAGTGTTTGTTTCGATTTCAGACATTTTACCGGC